GCCTGTTCCAGGCTCTCAAATATTGTGGAAGACGCGAAAGTGAAAGGGACGCGAAAAGTTTCCTCCCGGTTTATTTTCGTGTTCACGCTTTGTCAATTCAGAGGACCTGACTATCTCGGAGCCTGCAACAGTCTAACCTTTGTAAAACGAACTGGTAACTCTCTGAACACCGTGATGACATGTTGCTTCGACAACAAAGGATTTTTATTTAGAGTAATAGCTTTTGCAATACTGTAATTCCTTTATAGTCATACAAATAAAGCTTTTGGTGTTGGTGTTGTTATTGTTGGGGAATAAAACATGCGATTCTCATGGTAACATTAAAAACGTTTCTACCATTCTTTTCAATACGTATCACTCACCTTTAGTCCTTTATTTGTCTTCTTGTGTTTTCTGTCGGTTTCGGACGATTTGGGGACAATACAGAAGGATGAATACCTAAGGATGTCTACTTGGGGTGGGGGGGGGGAGGGCATGGAAAAGCATCTGAACTAGTAACCAGGAGGTCGTTGGCTCAACTCCTATTAGGAGTACTCAATTTTTTTTTCTGAGCAACCTATGTCACTGACTAAATTCACCTCTTTCTCGTGTATTCACGTCTATCATTGCACATAAGTACATGACATTTCAGTCCTAGCATCATGCATGCAGGATGTTTGTTGCATGTAGGTACGTAGTTTGGTGGCCTAAGAAAGCTCCCACTAGTCTAGCTCCTGTAGCCTAGTGGCAGAGCATCTGGACCAGTAACCAGAGGGTATTTTCTAGCTAAGACAATTTTTTTGGAAGACGGTATGACCCGGTTCCTTTTAAAAAGATCTATTTTAGCTTTTTAACATTGAAAATGTTCATCTGAGTGTACTGAGCCATCAAATTGAGCCGAGGCTAAAAATATTGATACTATCATGGAAGCAAAGTATAAAGTTAAACATATCCAAGTAAAATTTCTTCTACATAGTTGACATTCATATTTTTCCGCGTGCCGCCTTCCTTCACGTAATTATAAATTTCACAATGACAATAATACACTCTAACGTGTACCCTGTAAAGAAAGGAAGATTGTCTCTAGCTGAAGCAAAAAACTGCCAGTTTTGCTGAAGCGTTCGTAAGAATGAGTTGTCAATAACTGGATTATGTTCCAACTTTCAGATTCCTTTCAAGTTACTTTCCCTTTAAAAGAAATTAGAAAATAAGCACCACAGCAGTCTTTATTTTCCATTTAGCATATATTGCTTTGTTCATAAATCTTGCCTGTCTTTTGGTTGTTTCTCTTTGTTTATTTTTTTGTCCGTGACCTTGCATGCTGAGAGAGTGCTTTCACTACCGGCCTCGCCCAGGTAACCAAATCAATAGGATCGTTATCCGGGATGACATCTGCTAACCACAAATATCTGGAGTGGAAAGGACTGGGGAAATGAAGGAGAACACCAGAGTGGGGTGCAAATCAAATTTCAGTTCTCTAGTTTAAGACGGCACACCCAAAATATTGTGAAAAAAGAGCACAAAAGTGAACCTACTGTTTTCTATTTTCAAAAATTAGAATTACAGCCAGAAAATGCTATGCGAGAGTCAGTTTAAACGAAGATAAACATGTACAAGATTCTCATTCCATTTTTCCCGCATTCCTTAATTTTCGGCCACTGTTTTCAAGATTTTCTACTCGCGGAAACGAAAAGGAATGATATCGGACACGCACTCGATAGGTGCCAGGTCATGAGAGAAAAGCTATATAAACGAAGGCACGTTTTATAGAAGTCAGTGCGGCTACAATTGTCTCCTGGCGTGAACACTTTTCTTGTAATCGAAGAAAGAGCATTATTCATCAAGAGCCTGAGTTAACAAGATGAGGAACACCTTTTCCTTAGCTCTAATCTGCGTCGCTGTCTTAATTCCACTGTTTCAAGAAGGTAAATGGCATTTTTCTGTGTCTTTTACCCTTTCTATCCACGTTAAAGTATTCTGATGTGTTCTTATTTTCTAGTACAGTTTATGTTATTTTTTACGGTTTTACGTTATGGCTCGTTTCGGTTTCCTAAACACTGATTGATTTCCTAAAACCTGATTGATTCGTTTTCTTGTAATTCAGTATCAATGATTAATGTCTTACTTTTTTGCATTTTTCGGCATTTTTCATTTGACGACTGTGAACTGTACTGCGGCTTCATTCCCGGGGGGGTACTCAACAAATTTTTATACGGGGAGGCTCCGCCCGAGGTCCAATCCCTTACCATTTTATATACCATTTTTCACGAAAAAGGTCCCCCTTTCGTATACCTTCTCATGAGAAATGGTATCCCTTTCAAATACCTCGTTTAGAACTTTGCATCCCTTTTAACTGCTGCGAAATGCATTGTCATTTAAATAGGAATCAATCACAAAAATAGAACGTTTTCCCTACTTTATGAAGCCATAAAATTCATCTGTTCGGCCCTTTCAGCCCTTTCACAGACCCTAATGACAGATTTTCCTACCCTTTCATATACTTCAACGAGTAAAATCCCTACCCTTTCATATACCTGAAGCCGCACAAAGGTCCCCCTTTCGGCCGGAGCCTCCCCGTATAGGCCATTATAGGGACTGCCCCCACCCCAGGAACCGTTTCTTCTACGATTTTGTTACATTTCTTTCAGCGCTCGCATTCGTCCATTATTTTCGATTTCTGCCTCGCAAAAAAACTGATCCTTAGAAGTTCTGATTAAGAATAAAAAACCGCTTAGACGAGATTCTTATATTTCTCTTGTCCCGGTCTCACTTCAGCCACTTTAGCTCATGTCTTCCGGTCGTCTGTCGCCCACTTGTTTTTGCTGTTTGCCTGTTTTATTTTTTTCTTTCAGAATTAAAGGCTTGTACTCAAATTTCATAGAACTCTGGCCAAAAATATGCCTCACAAGTTGTAAAATATAATTGTTTTGGCTAATTTGCCTCTTGTGGGCAATCCTAATAGAAAAATAAACAGCTGACCCAAATTCTTTTTTCAAGTAAAGGGTTTCAGACGTTTTGGGTGCTTCGTCACGCGTTCCTTCCCCACGATCGCGTGAAAAAGCCCAAAGAACGTACAGTAAAAACTCTAACCCTAGCCCCTGAGAACATGGTTGTTAGGAACCTTTTACGCTAAAATTTGCCGGTGAAGCCGGCCCGCTCCGACTATACAAGAACTTATAAAGCAGAAAATTTGAAAAAGGTTCTCATTTTCTAAAATCTATATAAAAAAATTATGTACACGTGGACAAATTCTCAAAGTTGATGATAATCCATGTACTGCAAAATCTACAAAGGAAAATCTCTGTTGTTCGACTGAGCAAACGCTGAGGTCACGTTTTACATCACGGTGACGAGCTCATGAGTCGTGTTTGGCCTGTCAACACCTTATTTCAAAGCTGAATACCACTAAATACTCCCATCTACAATGTATTTTTTCTTCAGAAAATAAGAACCTCTTTATGAACCTAACTAGCCTAAATTTCTGCTAGTTACCATATATGTAGGAACTTGTTTAGGTTGATTTGGCAAAATTAAAATGTAGCCAGGTTCTTACAAACGGGTTTTTACTTCATTCACAGCCGAAAATTGAATCGTATTCTCCTATTTACCTTTACAGAAAACCGAGAAGTAGGTACAACAGGGAAGTGTTCATAGGTGTGGCGTTAATGCCATTTCTCACTATTACTTTGCTACTTCTATAAAACTTTAGAAACTCAAAAATCGAGCGGCACGGATTCCGTTAAAGGGCAATCTATGACACCCTGATTCCGACCCTCTTATCGATAATCTTGGCTGGAGAAAACTTGACACGCAAAGATCCGCAAAGACAAATAAAAAAGGCTACAACCGTATATAAATCACTCAATGGCTTAGCTCCTGATTATCTTTGCTCTGTAACCTATCGTAGCGGTGTCACCAATTACTCTTTGAGAGACACCAACGGCAAACTAGCTGTTTCTCTCATTCATTCGTTCGTTCGTTCATTCATTCATTCATTCGTTCGTTCGTTCGTTCGTTCGTTCGTTCGTTCGTTCGTTCGTTCGTTCATTCATTCATTCGCTCATTCACTCATTCATTCATGTATTTGACGCCAAAGAAAATAAGGAAAAATTGGTTGTTTACCATTTATAAAAAAACTCCGGAAATTTTGGTTGGGAATTTTCGGTCGGTAAGAACGGTACGTGTCGTTTACCATTTGCCTAAAATTTCCAGATTGTCGCGCCGCGCTAGACTGGATTCTAGTTACAACATGAAACTAGTACGAAACTCAAGAAACTTGTAAATGGTAAACGAATTTCCATTCGGAACGTCCCAAAAGGGAAAACGGGACTACCTTTTCAGAATTTCCGTTTGTCCCGGGAATTTTCCAGTGGGACGAACCAAAAAAACTTTTACCATTTACATCCCAACCGGAATTTTCGGGAATTTGTGATAAGCGGTAAACAATCAATATGTCTGCCCAGCCGCCTGTAAAAGCCATGGTAGCCACTCCCCTCAAAAAAATCGATTTAATTTTGAGGGGAGGAAGGGAGCCGCCGAACACAGGTTGTCCCGACTGTTGGCGAATCTCTGGATGAAAGTAGGCCTGTTTCAAACGTCGTGCAATTGCCGGCTGTTCTAAGCTGGTTCGAATTCAGCACGACTCCAGCTAGCACTACTGTAACGTACGACTTGGTTTCAGAGGTAAAATTTAAGGACTCAGTCGAATGAAAAATCTGTTGCGGAAAACAAAACTTAAATATAAAAACTGGTTAGTGAACTTTTAAACTGTATTCTATTGTATTTATTATTTATGCAATGGGTTCAGCACGGCAGCAGCGCGAGGTTTAAAACTAAGCCTTGCTGGCTGCTGTGTGTAGCACCGCAAAACGGATTTAACCGCATTAGACTTTGGTTTATCATTATCAACCTAGTAAGCGCTTTACGGGAAAGAGGAATGGAATACCTCTTACAATGGAAGGAGGGAGGGGGGACGGGCACCCCAGTAACCCACCACTCTAGCTGATTACGCATTAATTCTTTCAGGCTTTTCTTTGAGATGCCACGTGTGCTATTCGACAAAATCCTGGGATGACTGCGTGAAGAATAGCAGGAATCACACCTGCCATCTTGAAGGGGTTGACGATTCCAGCTGGGCTTGTCAAACAGCGCACACTTCTAGACTGGGAAAGAACAACCAACAATTTGACACCTTTTACAAGAGCTGCGTAATTCTGGTAAGAATCTGAATGCATACAACCAGTTTTTAACTGTGTGACAACATGCATCTCACTCCTCAGTCCTAGAGAGGATCCTCTTTTCTTGAAACTAATTGACAAACAGTGCTTTAAGCCCAAGGGCTTTACCTTTTCTTCCTGCTTTGCGGTATTTTTATTCAAAAATTATTTTTTCCCGACGTTTGATACATCGCAGATCATTACGTCATCTGCCTATAACTCATTCTCGTCGCAGATAACTTTGCCGACTTTGGTCTGCTCATGCACAGCAAAGGAAAGACGTTTTTGTCCTCAGAGCCACTCACCTTTTTGTAAGGATAGAGATACGCGAGCAAAAGAAGCGGGGGAGTCTGATGACGAGAGTAGTTTGAGGTTTTGCTGCGGGTTCATTATCCTCCCACTCAGAAGGTTCGTAGGGCTTTATCACACGCGCGTTCCCCCTCCACGAGGGTGAGGAACTCGCTGCATGGGAGGGCAATAGACCATCAATCAAGGTCTTTTCCAGGCACGCCCGCCTAGCTCATGTACAGTGAACTAAAAAAAGGTGTTCACGGCTATCCGAAGGCAGAACAAAAACTGAAGCTAAATTTCTGACTAAAACTGAACGGAAGAAATGCAAGAATACGTAAAACATTTGCTTGATGGATGTTATCTACTTTTTGTGGAATATCTTCAAGAAAAAAAAACATCTCTTTATGTCCTGAAACCGTGCCGAGAATGGTGGGCCAAAGTTTAGGCCGAGAAAGTCAGTGCAAGAAGGTAAATTTGTAAAGAATTCAGTAGACTGTTCACAGTCCGCTATTTTTTCGTGAGATCGTTTAGATATACCGCGTCTTACCGTCACAGCTATCTTGTTTTTCAAATGTACCGAGGGGGCGGGCGTCGGAAATTATAGCTCTGGGGTGGGGGGGATTGGGGGGAGAAAAAATAGAGGGACTGTAATCTCTATTTTTCTCGCTTCCTCCCAAACCACCCCCGCCCCCTAAGTAGTTTTGACACTCACGCAAGATGGCAGCCCGTAACGCAAAGCGCTCAATCTCGATGATCTTACGGAAAAATAGAGGACTGTGAACAGTCTAAGAATTCAGTTAGGAGTATTTTGAATGAATAATAAAACAATTACACATATTACATTCTGCTAGCACAACTGCAATTAACTCTTATTGAATTGGGCTTCCGCGGTGTGATGTGAAGAATTATGCAGATCTCGGAGGATGTTATCCACCGAGGCTGAAGGCCAAGGTGAATAACATCCTCCTCGATCTGCTTAATTCTTCACATACCACACAGCCCCTCTCAATAAATGCTAAATATATATCACGTTTTTTTTCAGGAAATGTGTAATGAAGAGAGGTGCCGCAGAGGGTTTGTAAAACAGAAGGATCTAAATACAACAAAAGCCTCTTACTGTGAACTGGAATGCTGCTTTAGAGACGGTTGCAACGATACCCTTTCGGGGGCGAGTTCGACGAAGTCAATAGCCGATTGGCTTTCCAGCAGCAACGATATGACCATGGAAACTATTGCCCCCCGTTCCTCAATTTCTAGGGCGAGTTCGACGAAGTCAATAGCCGATTGGCTTTCCAGCAGCAACGATATGACCATGAAAACTATTGCTCCTCGTTCCTCCCTTTCGGGGGCGAGGTCGACGAAGTCAATAGCCGATTGGCCTTCCAGCAGCTTTGTATATATGATGGTTTTTGCTGTTTGGAGTTCGATAGCTCAGTAGTTCAGGAATGTAAAACTGTTTTCATTTTTTCGGCGAAAAAAAAGAAAACGCCTATGTTAGAAAGAGAGCTTAGGAATTGACACAGAAGTAATTTGTCAAATAGCTGAAATAGCTTGAGAGAATCTCACCCGCCCACATTTTCGGCATCAATCCCGTAGTCTCCAGTATTTTCCAGTGAGTTCAACCATAAATAGTGCTAATTCTTATGCAAGTTTTCTCAAAACGCAAGATTGATTGCATTGTTTCCCAAAGTTGATGAAAGCATGGTCACTTTACCACCTACAGCAGTACCTACTGTACGTTGTTTAAAACTGAATGTCATTCGAAGACGCTAAGTGAGTTTCATTCTCTTGAGTAGTATACAAGTGTATGCAACAACAACAAATTACTATTTTTTTGGTTACGATTGCGCAAGGCTGATGGGACAGCTATGAATGGGAAATTTATTTGCCCAATATTTCGGTTAGACAAAACCAACTTTCGTCAGGAGCTAGTAAAGGTTAGTTTTGTTCGCCCTGTGTAATTAAACTGTCCAGAAGAAAAGAGAGCACAATGAGCGTCGACAAAGGAACTCGTCAGGACGTGTTGCATAATCAAAAACTGAATGTTTCGATTGTGAAAACTTAATAAACCCGTTGTCTTGAGTAGAAAAACTATAACTGGGGCACGAAAACATTGTCAGTCCAGAATCGAAATGTCTCGCAGGAGAAAAGTCTTGCAATAAAAAGTCGCGAGTAAATTGTCTAGAACTACAACCAAAATCCAAAACGTGCACGCTCCCAGCTTCGGTTCCGTGTGAAGGCTAGGAGGCGAAAACCAGTCTAGTTTTTTGGCGTCGCCGGTGAATCTTTCGCAGCCAGAGCTTTTAGAGGACAATCAGAAGAAATCTTCCGATGCGAATCCCGCTGTCGAAGGCGAGTCCAGCATGCCACGCAGATTTGTTTCAACCATTTGCGTTCTCCATGGATAAACCCGAAGTGGTCTTTAATGCTAAGGCATTGTTCTCGCTGATAATCGCGACAAAACAAACCTGGCGCTGAAGGATTTCTCCTGCAATGGGTGCCCATAGGCGTACGGGCAATTTTCGGCCAGGGGGGGCGGTAAACCATTTGCCCAAAAAATTCTTGCAAGTTGCCCAAATTTTTACAAAACAGTCGAAAAGAAACGAGGCCCATTATGATGCAACAACTTAGGCCGTACTGAAAGTGCCTCGATACAGTTTTTCAGGGTCAATACCTAACAAACATTTGGAAAAATTGCCACCACAGTTGCATTAGATAAAGATGAAAATTTGTCATAATCAGGGTTGCAATGACATCACAGTTGTCATAGCAACGAAATGACGCTATTTCCTATTATACTTGCAGCATTATTTCTCACTATGAAATCGTTCTTGGGAGCTTTTTCCTGCAATAGTCGCCTAGATGTTCTTGAAGTTAAAACGGAATCTGTAAGAGCGTTATCGGGGCATTTTGGGATAAAGTTTTTATAGTTAGAAATACAGTAAAAAAAGGAAAATCTTGATGTTTAGCCGTTATCTGTAGAAAACGAAGCGCTTTTGACATGCAACCACCTCATAGTAGCTTCAATCTTTTTAAAAATGTGTGTGAATTATTTTAGAGATAATTCTGGTCAATTGCTACAAAGAAGGATTTCATTAGTATGTATCATGGCCCTCTTGTTAGCGGTTTTGTAAACATTTCGGTCTGCTTTAACAAATTAGTGAATAATTTGAACCACTTGATTCATTTTTTTAAAAAAAATTAAGATTCTTCTCTTAATTCAAAGAGAGAATTAGTCAGCCACTTCTTCACTTTCAGATCAATCGCTGATGCTATCTGCCATACACTGTTCTACGAGCGGAGATTATTCTAGAAAGTTAGGCGGAAGTTTATTCTAATCAATTCACGATTGGAAATAGCCCATTGCAGTACAGTGCCCAACGATAAAAAAAAAACCAGCATATGATACCCTTCCCTTATAAACAGAAACTCGCCACGTGCTTGGCAACCACTGTCTCGTGTGAATGTAAATATTTATCTCTTCAAAATACTAATAAAAAAAACATGAAAACGTCTTTAAAAGCTGGCTTTGCCCAAATTTTCTCTTGTTGCCCAAAAAATCTGAGTTGCCCAAAATTTGGGGGCGCTGCAGCCCCCCTCGCCCCCCCGGCCCGTACGCCTATGTGGGTGCCCGTAAAGGGTTCTACTTTCCAAATGAAGATAAAAGTCTCCCCATGTAACAAGTCCACGCTCAATGTCGAGCAATACTGAACCATGAAAATTAAGAATGACTGACCATTCCTATTGTTGGGCAAAATACGTTAAGGATACGAGATGCTTTTCTCGCTCCGTGCGCTCTAAAGGACTAATATCCTTACATAACAAAACTTGAGCGTATTCAGCCACAAACTCGGCCAATGTTAACTCCTCGTATTTGACCTCGCGCTGCGCTCGTGTGAGACAAAGAAAACTGTAAACGAAACAGTACGATACAAAACTCTAGTATACGCTCGAAGTAGCCTGGGACCAGGCTCCGCATTGGGGGAAAAAGGAGGGAAAAAACGGCGTGCGCGGAAAAAATCGGCGAGCCAAGCGAGCCGAGCGGTAGTCTGGGGAGGGAAAGGGTAGCGCCGCCCATCCCCGCCTCCCCCAAAATAGCCTGCGTAGCAATTTTCTAGACGAACCTCGCGAGGAAACGCTTGCTACGCAGGCTACTCCCCAGACTACCGCTCGGCTTGCTTCTCTCGCCAATATTTTTCCTATTTCACCTCTTTTTTTGCCTTTTCCTACTGACTGCGGAGCCTGGTCCCAGGCTACGCTCGAAGTAAAAACTGACTCGAAATGAAACACGAAACTCCTATCACCTGATACCAGGAGCCCATAACCCCAGGTGATGGGCTCCTGCTGATACTAAAGGGTGTGTGTTGCGCAATTAATCCCTTTGAACACAAGCTTGTCCAAAGGGGGTAAAAAACTGATCAGCCTTGCCTTCAATTTTAAGTGTTATTCTACGTAAATGATCCTGATCTACACCAAGATCCGGCTTTCCCTTGCTGCTGTTATCTATTGGGCAAAAATAAGCAAAAAATACTCAATATTTTATCCGTTTTTTCGACGTAGGAGACATCTGCACGCAGGTTACTTTTTTTTTCAATCCTCAGTATTTTTTCTCTTATTAGTTCGTTCGCGGTCGTTTGTTTATTTCTTTTACTCTTCATCGTAACCATTCATAATCTTTGGCCAATAGCGAGAATTAACAAGAAAGAACAAGCAAACTAGGTCAAACTAGGGTGATAACTGATATATACAAGAACCAAAATGTGAGCGGAGTCTTGATTTATAGAATTGCTTCCGACTGATCAATTAACTCCGCAGGACTTTGCGAAAATCAGTTTTTCGGCGTTATTCTTTAAAAGCAAAGTAAGGTACGACATAGCAATTTTGAAATTGCCTCAATCCATATATCTTGATATATCCCGCACGTAGCCTGTTCCAGGCGTTCAGATAGTGGGGAGCGGTGCGAAGTAAAAAGGAGCGCGAAAAAAAATAAAAGCGAGGGAGGGGGACTCCCCAGTCCCCCTCTACTTTTAATCGCTATCTTTACTTCGCACCGCTCTCCACTATCTGAACGCTTGGAACAGGCTATCCCGCACGCAGCCCACAGTACAGCCTTTCCAGGAGTGGCTCAGATAGAACGTGCCATTTGATTGGTCACTCGTGACGTTGCTAACATACTAGTAACAGCCTCTCGGATTGGTTCGCAGCTCACTATAAAAAAAAGTGACGCCAAGTCACGTTGTGTGACACAGTGAAGATTTGCTACGAAGCCACACACGGGGTAGATAGCGCTTTTGAAAACACATGTTCTGCGTGTGGAAACTCAAGCCTTCTTCTCAACAACGCTTTGTTGGCTTTGGGGAAAGTCCCCGGACCAGAGGCAGAGAGTGCCAGTCGTGAAGACGCGAGTTTTTCTCGAGTCTTTTGGCGAAGAAGCGTCTTGCAGAGCTGGACGAGGGAAGGACGGTTTGTCGAAGCAAAGTTATGCAAGCTGACATCGTGGCTGGTGTTCAACTCAACGGGGCTTACTCTCACTGTGTCCACCACTCTTTTTTAAATCTTCAAAAGTCAATAGCCAGTGTCAGAGCTCCTTTGAACTAACGTATGTTTGCTTTGCAGAGCGTTTAATGCTCGCCACGTGGTTCAAAGATGGCGGCGATGAAGAGAAGGCGACGCTACTCCTCCGGACAACCTAAGACTCTCGACCCTCTCAGAAGTTAACCTTGCTAAGTTTTTTTAATTTATGGGGAGTTTGCAGTTCTTGAAAATTAATACCCGCCGTTTGGAACCATAATCGCAGCAAACGTATTTGGCCATTCATAACTCGTATCATTGATACGAGTTATTGATATCGACATCAGTAAAATTATAGATTTCCACTCAGAAGCTGACCGCTTCATAACTCATATCATTGATATTGGCATCAGTAAAATTATAGATTTCCACTCAGAAGCTGACCGCTTCTCACTTAGGACTAAGGACTTTTTTTTTTTAATTTTTAAATTGATGCGTTGAGCTGTCTGTGTAACTTAAATCATCAGAAGCCTTGTATGTTTGTCGTCAATTCTTCCCCAATCCTTCTTTGTTCTGCCGGCCATTTGCAGAGCGGAAACTTCGCTGATGTCGAATGAGCAAGTTGAGACGATGAATCCTCTCAGAAATGTAAGACAGTTTCAAAATGGCAGCATATAAGCTTATAATATATGAGAGGTAAAGGAGCAGCCGTTGGCAAAGCATGGATCGAAGACCGGATAGGTGTTGTTCACGCTCTATCACGATAATTGGATAATTTTGCAACGCAAAAGATTGAAGGAAATCTCAAAATGTCAGTTGTGTAGGCAAAATTTGCTTTTTAGGTGCTCCACAGGTAGCCCAAGCTGTATGGCTCTACTGACCTTTGTAAAGCCTGTTCCAGGCTCACAGATATTGTAGAAGACGCGAAAGTGAAAAGCACGCGAAAAGTTTCCTCCCGTTTTATTTTCGAACAGTCCAGCCTTTGTAAAATGAACGGGTACTCTCTGAACACCATGATGACATTTAGCTATGACAGTAAAGGATTTTTTTTGTTGGGGAATAAAACATGTGATTCTCATGGAAACATTAAAAACGTTTCTACCATTCTTTTCAATATGTATCACTCACCTTTAGTCCTTTGTTTGTCTTCTTGTGTTTTCTGTTGGTTTCGGGACGAATTGGGGACAATGCAGAAGGTGGAAATAAAACCTCATCAAATGGCCCCTGGACAAACTACATGATGAATACCTAAGGATGTCTACTTGGGGTGTGGGTATGGAAAAGCATCTGAACTAGTAACCAGAAGATCGTAGGCTCAACTCCTATTAGGAGTACTCAAATTTTTTTTTCTAAGCAACCTATGTCACTGACTAAATTCACCTCTTTCTCGTGTATTCACGTCTATCATTGCACATAAGTACATGACATTTCAGTCCTAGCAGTATGCATGCGGGGTGTTTTTTGCATATACATACATAGTTTGGTGGCCTAAGAAAGCTCCCACTAGTCTAGCTCCTGTAGCCTAGTGGCAGACCAGCATCTGGGTTGGACTCCTGTCTGGAGTAACCTGCAGGGGGTCATAGGTTGGACTCCTGTTTCATATTAAGGGCCGTGAATATAAAGTTATCTAAAAGCCTGAAAAGGAAATCGCTTAAATCGCAATGGATCGGAAAAATAACTTTATATTCACGGCCATTTTAAATTACGCAATATGAAACTACATGTGTTAACGATTAAACTCACACACTGAGCTTGGGTCGCCTGTGGCATAACTGATGGTTTATGAGCCAAGCAAGGCAAATGCCGCATTTGGCGTGAAGTGCAAGACAGAGGGGAAAGAAAAAAATAATAAAAGCTTAAAGCTGTTTAGCTTAAAAATAAAGCTTAAAACTTTATTTTTTCTCTTCATCTTGTGCTTCACGCAAAATGCCTCACTTGGCTCTTAAAGCACCTGTTAGTGTAAGCTAAGAGTACTCAGATTTTTTCTAATAAGCCACATGTGTCACTGACTGAGAAAATGTCTTTGTCATTAATTTTTTATTCACCAAGCTTAAAATTCACCATCAAAATTTTCTGTCATGTATGAACAAGTATGGGCTGACCTTTGAAAACTGTTGGTAGAGTGGGAGTGGAGGTGTCACTGGAGTGTCACCTTATGTACCAAAATTAGAGGACACAACCTAGACAGTACATAATATTATCATGTCATGTCATGTCTGTTCTGTGGTTTCTGCACAATTCATGGTGGTGTTAGTGTCACCTTATTCTTCCCTCCCCACAAACGTAACGGAAAACAACATTCCTTTCCCAAGCTTAGCCAATCACATTGTTAGAGGACCTTGACAACCTATCTGACAGCATTAAACACTGGGAAAGCTTTCTGACCTGCAATAAATGTTAGATTCAGAGCAAAAATAAGTTTTAGTCAAAATGAATCATGTCCTTAGTCACGTCGTGTTTAGCCTGTCAACACTTCATTGTTGTTGATTTCACCTACCACATAAAACAATGAGAAAGGAATGTTGGTGAGTGTCTGCAAAACGCCTGCGTGGGAGGCTATGGTGGTGTCTGCAATAACTGATTTTCCCAACTGTGTGATAATGAAAAAATCAATTAATCTCAGTAAGACAACATGAAAACACTTAAAAATAGTTGGCAAATAAAAGCAAGGTCATTTTATTCCTGCCAAGGTCTGAATCACTCTGGTGCTTGACAAAAGTTCAGCCATATATGTTTGTGCTGTTTATATGAATCTCTAGAGTAGAGAGAGAGAGAGAGAGAGGCTGAGGAGAGATGCTAAAAATACAGAGCTTTCTAGGCTGGCGCTTTCCACCTTGTGAGCAGCAATTTTGAGAAAAAAAAAACGTTAAAAAATATTTAATGTTTTGCGGTCTACTCCTGTGATGGGAGTGACCTCTCTCCATTTACATTCCCTACAAAGATGGTGTAGGAAGCTTATAACATTTTTTATCATTGTTTCTTAAGAAGCCTTAGTATGTCAGAGTTCTGTTTTTGATGACTTGGTTTTGTCCCCAGCTCCTGGAAACTGCTGATTTTCAAACTCCACCAACAGACAGTCTGGTTGTGTTATTAAGTAGTCTTTAACATCCCATGCAAGACTGCCATCTTTGAGCATCAATAGTACACGGTCATCAGAAACAAGGTACCTAGGATGAAAATAATAACAGTGTCTAGTCAAACACCTGCAGTGTTGTAGTTTAGACTTCAAGACTTTATCATAAATTTTCTAAACTATATTTTTACAAGTGTCCTGGCACCGCAAATAGTTGTAGCTAGTCTAGGTGGGCAAGGAATGATTCGATTGTAGTTGATAATAACCTACTTATGATGAAGGCCATATACATATAGCAGCTGTTGATTAAGTAATGTTTAATAAATGAGTGGAAAGGTTTTATTGGAGTATAAAGCCACGAGGCGAAGCCGAGTGGCTTTATACTCATGAAGAAAGAAACATGAAGCAGATTTTTTTTAAACCTAAAATGAACAATCCAATGGCTATAGGACAAGCAAGGCTCTAACCTGAACTTCCCCTAAAAGTAAAATGCAATAACCATAATTATTTACACCAACATGCCACTACACAATCAACCTTATTACAATGACTTATTGCAACTATTGTAACATGTACCTTTCAACTTGAATCTGTGCGTTGAAAAGACTGGACTGCCATCTTGCTGTTATTTGCTCAGTGTCTTTCTTACTTGGTGAACCAGCCACTGTTGCAAACATCATCAAAACTTTTCCCTTCTTAGCCAACTTCATCAGGGCCATTGGATCATCTTTGAACTGGGTAGGATCAAAAGCTGGTCCTGGTGATGCAGGTTTACGAGGATCAAAGTCATCATAGCGGTCATCTTCATCAATATCTTCATCATTTTCCTGAAAAATTTAAAGTATAAATTTACTTATACAGGTTCATAAGGGAACATATTTCTGGCTCAGCAGTGATAACCTCAGAAGATGATATGCAATTTGGAGACTACAGGTATTCACTGCTACATAAAACTACTTGGACAGGAAAGAAGCCAAAAGAAGGATTTGAGGTCACACCTTGGAACTGATCTTGAGACCTCCTTCACAGAAGGCCATGCACCAGCCAACTACACTAAAAAAAAAATCCTTAATTCCTCCCCTGAGGAAGGTTAGATTTCAGCCTAAGACAAAAAAAGGTCAAAAGTATCTTATATCTGGGCAATCGAGACAACTTATGCAGGAAACCAGGAAATTTGCCCTGTATCAAGAAATCATAAATTGATATAACTGCTAGTTTATCATTCTCATGTCAGTGAATATGCTGCTTGTTGTCTCATGTGTTTAATAAAGACACGAGAAAAAGTTTTGTCCAAGGCAATAAGCAACAGGGTGCAAAGGTCGTTACTGTAAAAAACAACTCCAATAACCAAGAGGGAGGTGGGGTGGGGGGAAAAAACTCCCTCCAGGTTTAGTGGCTTGCAATATATCTCTGTCAAAAATAATTTATGCCCTTAATCTTGGCAAAAGAGTAATTTAAGAAAGGAGACAATCCATAGTAATTCAGCATATAATTAAGCAACTAGCTTTTAAAAACTGGGTTAAGTAAAAGACACAAATGCAGAATTCTGCATCATAATATTATGAATACGAATAGTAATAAACTATTGTTTATGTTGTTGTTGATTGACAAGCAAGTCAACAAAACTTAAACCCCTGATTGACCTGATTATGCACAATAATCAGCAGTTGTAGTTTGTGATGTATATTCGTGGAAAAAAAATTGTTCATAAAATGCGTCTTAAATTGTCGGCTGTATTCAGAAGTAAAAGGTGTCAAGACCTTAAGGACTACTGAGTTGAACAAGCATAGTGGAATGCAACCACCTGTAGACCCTGTCAACATGAAAACAAAAAATAATCTGCATTGTTCACGCATCCAAGAAAAGAGAATGTACATCAACGTGCAATTTGGTCAAATAAGCAAAGAATAAGTGAGCAATAAAATGTTAAGCTTAAGAACGCCGTGATGTGCTTACATCCCATTGGTCGAGGAGTTTGTGCATGTCTGCCTCAGAGTAATCCATCACATTTTTACCAATTTTAGAGCTTTTCTCCTTTTTCTTCTTTGGCTCCGATTTCTTTTTTTCCCCATCACAACTGTCTTGCAGAATCACAATTAAAAATAGCACAAAAAATAATAAATTAAACTTCGAACAATACTTTGCTGCCATTTTCCGGATTCTGGAAAAAAAAATTAATAATGACTGATCGACAGAGTACTGCTGTCAAGAAAGATTGCGGTCTCAGATTTATTTTCCTTCATGCGTAGCGTTCTTTTGGCAGGGCAGGGCATTTCAACTAGAAGCGTTGAAGTAAAGGGAAACAACGGCCATCTAATGGGCTTTCTGGTTCCCTTCAGATAATACTATTTTTCGCTGATACTGAAAAAGTTTCCGTTTGACGTTTGCGCGCCATAATTAGATTCCATCCAAACCGGAAGTTACCGGTTGGAATCACGGGATAGACCACTGGCTGACTGACCCAGCTATTTGGAAGCTTCAAATCAGCTGTATGGTGGCCAGCTGAGTCGAACTATGCAATGGAAGCCAGTAAACCAAAGAGAAAACACAAGAAAAAGCTCAAAGAGAAATCAACGAAAACTACAGAAAAAGATGAAGTAACTGAAGACTCAAAAGGTTTGAATAATTCCATTCGCGACTTGTTATCGGGTGTATAAACTGATGAACCTACAAGCATTGATAACGTAATTTTTGTTTGATTTAGCTGAGTTTGCTATTTTCTTGATTTGATAGGTGATACCTGTAATGATTTAACAAAAACAGAAGCGAGCACTGCTGGAGAATCAAGCGGCACTGCTTGTGTAAGTGAAACTTTAGCCGACGATTCCGCCAAATCGAACTTGCCTGGCTTAATTGCTGAAAATGACAGTGTTATTGAAAGTTCAAAGAACGAAATAGATATTCAACGAAGTGACGAAAATTCTACGTCAAACCTACAAGGAAGAGGTGATTTAACCGAAGATGCAGAGAAACGAGAAAACAAATTATCTTTTCATGCACAAGTTGAAGTAGAATTGGATAGAAACAGTACAAAATCAGAGAATAATGGGGAGGATCAGCATAGGGACACTTCAGGAAATTTAAATACAATACAGCTTGATAGCACTACACAGGGAAAGAATGATGATGATTCTGATTTTAAAAGTGATTCTAATAAAACTGAAATTCCACCTGTGGATGAAATTCAAACTGTTGATCAAAACAAGGCATCTGATGTTTCTGCTAATGTAATGAAGACAGAAAATGGTGATGCACGTTCAGTCAGTGAAATCCCTAAAGAACCTAGGATGGTACAACATGCATCAAAAAACACAATTGCAAGTGTTTCAGCAACTGAAGAAGTTAAAAATGTACCTTCACAAGTGATTTCTGACAGACAAGTGAAAGCTTCTCAGATGTATCCAAAACTGGACTCTTTAGCAAATGAAGCAGGTATTTATCCTTTTACGTTTACTCGTAGCCACCCCTGTAAGGCTATGTTCACACTAGCTACACTGGAGAGCCATTGCACCAGCACAAAAATCATTCCGGATAGGGCTTCCTTTCACACATAATGCTGAGTTTGGCCCACAATTTCTGTAGTAAATTGAGTGAAGCTGCACGACACCATTCTGAAAAGTGGCCATGGAGCTCATCACATATTGGATAGGTTTTGGGCCAAACTGTGGTGTAGTATGAACAGGTGTCTTGACGGTAGCGGAAGTGAATAACTGGGAAAGAGGACTGAAATCCACTGAGCTAATGTAAATAATTGGGATTTAGAGAACAAAAGCCACTTGGTCAACCACTCTGGCACAATGTTCAATGTCTGTGAATGACTTGTTCCTCCTCTGTGCCGTTGCTGTTCATAGTATACTGGATAGCTTTTCGTGTTGACACAAAAAGCTGTTCGGTAGGGTGTGAACATAGCCAAATATAACCATTTTTGTTTGCTGTGGCAAATAAATTGTACGTGTAAAAATTTAAAGGAAATATAAGAGGCTTAATTGGAATTTTCCAGAAGGTCATGGGGGTGTTAAAAAATTTTGCTTTTATGGAGGACATACGGATATTCTCTGGAGCTATACCTTCACCTTCTTTAACCTCCCTGCAGTGGTATACCTGCCAAAAGTCACGCCTGTGGATCGAAAAATTGGATATCACGCCTACTCACACCTGTTTTCCAGTTTATCATGCCTGGTAGAAAAGGTTGAGCCATTACAGCATCAACTGGCACATTTTGAAAAAATACATTAATTTTTTAAAGAAACTGGAATCAGTGAGAGAAAGTCACTTGAGATGGGGTCGTTTTCCTTCGTGTTCCCGTGTTTGTGTTAGACAGAACTCTTTGGAATGTCTTCAGAAGTCTTCGGATATCTTCCTTTATTATCGGACCCCTATGAAAAATCCTGGCACTCTCAGGATACAGGATAAAGATGTCACTTATTAAATTGAAAATAAAGTTGGCAGATATACAATGGCCATCTCCTTTCAATCCCTTTTTTTTTTTTATCAAAGTGGCCATTGAATGCTAGTGGAACCCGAAATAGAGGTTGGGTGGAGATGGGGGAGGGGGGGGGGGGAGAGATCAGATTACGACGATGACTTACTGTCAACTCACTTATGTGTGAATTTACATATTGGTACGTCCGTGTGATAATTTGTTGGTACAAGGGGATTTATACATGACTGTCAGGGACAGAGGACCAATAGTAACATGTACGGCCTTTAAGAACACAAACTCCTGGTACCGATGATGTCAGCAGTTACTAGAGCTGCAGAATTGTCTTGGCTCCACCTGGTAATTCTTTTATACTAAAACATTTTTTTAAGTCTGGGTCATTAAGGACAGTACATAAATGAATTAGGTACAGTTTTAGCTGAGTTACCTAATATATTTTGTTCTTCATTATATTAATAGTGTCAAGTATAAGACAGTACAGAACTACTCTGGAGGCTTTTAGTGAGGATCATTTAAAAACTTTCTACTTCAACCCATTGCTTGAACAGATGGAAGGATTTGTAGAGCATTTCCTCCGGGTATGATTTGATGCACGTCAAATGTCATTTTACTGTTTATCATCTAACTTTTTCAAGTGGCCTTACTCAAAGTTGCAAACATGCTGGTTGCTTGCAAATTTAAAAATAATATTACAACAATTAATAATCACAAATTGCTTCAAAATGTGCAAATTTATTACCTGTTTGTTAAACCTTTCTATAGATGTTTTTTTTTACAAGAGATGGTGTCATTATGAGAATCATAAGAGTGCTTATGACCTGGTAAAAATTTAAAATTCAGAGTTCCAAGCCTAGTCATAAGCTCATAGAATCCGAGTCACAGGATCAGAATGTTTTCCATTTTTCCCAAGAGTCCAGGGGGGAGGGTTCTTTCAGGGCTTAACAAGGGTTTATATCAATCAATCAATAATGTATTTCACTACACTGGCCACACACAACAAAAGCTGATTTCTATGTTGGGTGTTTGGTAAATTTCAGAGAATAATATTAATTACGTAAAAATGTACACCATTTACAAAATTTAGCTAGTTTTACAATATATGTTGGTGGGAGTTTATATTTAATGCATTTAATTTATATGTCATTCTAGCTAGTGTGACGAAATTGCTGGTGTGTAATTGCCATTTTGTTTCCAGATAAGTAAACAAGATGATCATGAGTTCTATGAGCTAGTCAGTGCATATTTCAGAGGAAGAAATGCTTTGGCTGTGGCCATTAAAGAATATGAGGTTGGTGGTTAACCCTTTCAATGTTAACATAAAAATTCAATCTCCAGTCTATACATTTCCCAGGAAGTATAGAATTTAAGTGGTGGGAAGTAATCAAAGTGTTAAATTATTCTTCTTGTGTTACAGTACATGTATCATGTCCTTCATAATATTGTTACCACTCTGTTTAAAATAAGGCATTGATGATGTCTAACAAGGATAAATTTGATGTTGATCACTCTTTTAGGGCAGTTTTAACTGATTACCAAAACCATAAATCCTATTGCCCAGAGTGAATGTGTTCTAACAGCAGTTAACTTCCTGCTCAGCTGATTCATGATTTCAAAACACTTGTGTGTTGGTAATTGTTTTAGCAAACTAAATTTTTTAATTTATCAAATCTGAATCCACACAGAAAAGTCCTCCACTGTAGGATTTTTTTTTCCATTTTTAGTAATAACAAGTTAAAGTTTTGGAAAAAGTATGCTTGAGGGAAGTTCAATACAGATCTAGACTGGACAACTGCTGCTGCTCTGACTATTTATTATCTTGTTTGTCATAGATTTTGCTTGCTGAGTGTGAGAAGAAAAAAGACCAGTTATGGATTACTAAGGATTTTACAGTAGCAGCTCAGGTAGGGAAAGAACTGTTTTTTTCATTCTAGATAGCTTATCCACATTATAATGCAACAACTGCATTTTATTGAGTTTCTTTTTGTCCTGTCTTGGAAGAAGTATGTCTCTTAACTTTTGGGGTGATTATTCAATGACATTTTTGTTTGTTTCATTCTTTTAATTATAGAATGTCTCCCTTGCAAATTAGCAGATATTCTTATTTTGTGTTCACTGAGGGGTGTGTTAAACTTAGTAACTTAATGAATTTATTCCAGATTTAAGTCACTATTAAATGTTACTTTCAGGGAAAATGTCAGGATCAAGTGAATGTGACACATAACCATACTTACCAGCAAGTTGAGATGAACCAAAGCATCCCAAAAGAGATTGAGAACATTTTAGACAAACTACACAAGGCTTTGCATGAGGTAACAGTGACAAAAACACAGCTGTACATGTGATAACATAATATCTGTCTGATTGACAGAAAGGTACCCACAGTACTGCTCAAAAGTAAGTCATTACGACCCTCCCTAGTTGTTTAATTATAGACAATCCTATAGCTTCATAGTGTTCACATTTTGATTGTAAAGTCTAAATCTATTATTTAGCCAGGTAACCCTGGCTAAATAACATTTATTATTATATGTACTGGTACTTGTCAATTAATTTATTTAGTGTAATCATTCTTTTATAAAGTTTTTTATTTATATCTGTTGTCTCATGACTGTCACTAGAATATTGATTGTGACATTTTGACTGCGTACTGCAGGTTTTCATCAGGTGACAGTGGTGACCTACAAGGATTATTTGTACCTGCACTGTGGTTGTTGGTGATTGGTGTATCACAAACCTCTCTCTTATGAAGCGGGTTTTGCCAATATATTCATATACTTGGGGTGGAAATTAAAAATGCGAAATGGGAAGGTAGATGCGTGAACAGGTTATTAAAGGAGCACGATAGGGATATGTGGCTTTCATGAGCTCAAACTTCAACTGTTTCTGAACATGCCAATAAGACCAGGCATTATCTCCTTTAGGACAAGGTTAAGTTTATTTATGACTGGTACTCTTGAAAAGTGAAAGAGGCAGCATTCACGCAAGACTTCATCCTAACAACATCAACTGGGACAAAGGAATTGAGATTCTTGAAGCATACGTGGATGCCTATGATCAGACTGCTGATGGATCGGAACAGTTTCCTCCTCTAATAATACTAACAATGCTTTCGATCAAAAGCTACCAAACCATAAACACGGTTCGTGATACACCAATCACCAACAGCTATGGTGGCGCAGATAGTCCTACTCAGTAAATCAACACAATTGCCTGATGAAGACCTACGGAATGTGGTCAAAATGTTGCAATCTATATCCAAGTGACAGTAGTGAGACCCTAAAATACATGCTAACCATGATAAACAGTATGTTTCATGACCTTGCATTTTTTGTTCTCTTTTATAGACTCTTGCATTGCAGAAATATACATGTCAACTTGCTCGCCTCCATGTTGACATGTATATCTATGATATGCTGCGTAATTCATCAATTTTATCTGGTGTTACAACTGATACACTCATTACTGGTAAGTGAAGACTATATTAGTTATTCGTTATTTGTAAGTGAAGATCATATTAGTAAAAGCAAGTCTCAACTTAAATTATTATTATTATTAAAAATTATTGTGCTACCTAACAACCAAGTATTTTGTTTGTACAGAGTTATGCCCTGCTGATATGAACCAAGAGGTTCAGAATGAAATTCAAAAGTTACGAGACTGTATCAGCGTACTATTCATGTTTGTCCGGCAACCAATCCAGGATACAGAATTTGTTTCTGTTATGAATGGCTGGATGGAGCAAATGGTATGATGTACAATCATGTAGTTTATTTTTAAAGAATGTCAGCAGAAGTGTTAGACTAGTCAAGATCTTTAGCTTTTTAATTTTTTTAACTGTTGCAAAATGTAAGTTTCATCAGTTTTGCATGTTTTTTTTTGTGTAAACATAAACCATAAAGGCCTTATTGGGGACCATATTTTATTTGTCTTACAAGATGTATGCATGCAAGTGCATTAATATTAATACACTTGAAAGACCCCCTGTAGTGTGATTCTCATAAGCAACCTCCTCCCATAAGTGACTGGCAGGTCTTTGCTTTTCGGGTGGTCCCTTACAGGAAGTTCGACTATAGTTTTTAATCTGAAAAGTGCTCAGTAACTCTAAAAGTATGGTCACACTTTGTATAGAAGTTTCTTGATAACATATTCCACCACTGTTTCATTTCATTCTACAGACTTGACCCTATGTGTTTGAGGGTTTATCTTAAGATAAATTAATAATCAACAGTTAAACCCATCAACAATAGATGGGTGTGGGGAAGGTGCCTGGTGAAACAGAAAGGGGCCGCAAGCGAGCCTAGAAGGTAACCATGACAACCCTTGAGCGGCACCCACCAGGCATCGTCACACTGAGAACCTCAGTGGAAAAGGCACATACCAAGAAAAGCATCCAGAGAGGAGGGAGAGTAGGGGGCAAAATGATTGACTTCTGTGACAGTACTGTAAAATCACTAAGGCCCTGCTAAACCCCAAGACCGCCCCACATACGATTAGTGGTTGAGACTGCTGGCCAGCATTGTCTCATGTTTAACCTCTCCTAAATTACATTTAGCCAGTCTTCATAAATTATGCATTTACCGTATTTCCTCATACTTGGTGGCTATTACTTGGAAGAAGGTTTCTGATACCTTAAGATCCCTAAGTACATTGTCAACTTTTGAAAAATCAGTCCGCCAGCTAAGGTTCTAGCTAATTCTCAATAATATCTATATTCTATTATGTAATTAGGCTTTTTATTGTATATAGCTATATCACGTAATTTTAGGCTTTATACTGTAAATTAGTTTTTGGATTTCCCTTTCTTTCTCTATTATTTCATTAATGATGTCCTATTATTTTATTTATTACTTTTTTTATTATAAAATTAGCCATTTTTATCTGTCTTCATAAAGCTTATCAAAGGTTACAAAATTTTTTTCTAAGATAGATTGATAATTGTAATTTTAGAAAAGATGAAATAAATAAATTTATGCTCATAATTTCATTCCTCTAATAATTTAGTTCAAACGTTTTGTCTGTATATACCCCTAGTTTTTATTTTATTTTAAATTTTAATTGCAAACGACCCCAATAAGCTCACGTAGCTTTAATACTAAAAATTAAAAAAGGCTATCTATCTACAGGGTTGATTATTTGAAACACAACAAGTAGGGGAAATCAAACAGCTAGGGATTTCTTTTGGTTCTATTTTTCTTCTATTTTCCAAAAAAGTATTGCCCACTGGAAAATCGTTGTGCCCCTAAATATTTTTTTTTATTATTCCATTAAATCAAAAATGATCAACCCGAGATTAAATAAAGCTTCAAATAAACTGAACATGGGCTTTTTTGAAGTGTTCCAAATTTGGTTCCTTATTTTGTTTTAACTAATTTTCATTAAACTGAACATGGGCTTTTTAAGTGTTCCAAATTTGGTTCCTTATTAACCAATTTTCATTGTCAATATCCTTGGTGTTAGAGCTTGAATAGTCACTGATCAGTTTTGCTGGATCAGACTCCACTTCAACTTGACAGAGAGGGTATAAAAGAAAGAGAAGATGGCTAGAGGGGTAGGGGGGGATTATTCGGGGAAGGTGATTAATCGAGGGATGGCTAGTATTTGAGGAAATATGGTAAATACGTAATAGTGCATGTTCTCTTTTAAACAGGTTGCTATTCTCCTTCGTGTTGCATCATTAGCTGACCTTGTATTCCTGTTAAATCACATGCTGAGATGCCCAGCAGGTTTTACCAGTAAAATAGCTCATTTCATCCAGTTCCCTGTGCCACAGTTCAAAACCCAAGGCTATAATGTTGTTGATGAACCTTATTACTGGGACAATCCTCTTGTTCATCATTTTGTTGCAATGTTATCTGCTCTCCTGCATCCTGTTAGGTGAGGACTTTAGAATAAACAAAACAGTTGTAGGGTAGTATAAATTTTGCAACTCAGACTCAGTTTGAGATTGTCGCTTGGTTTTTATAAGGTAGAACAATATTCATTATACACAGCTCTTTAAAGATGACATTGCTCACTTCCCTATTAGGAATTTTCTTTAGATTAAAGCTTATTATGTTAACCAAGGCTGTGCTGTACACTGTAGCTGTGAATAGAGGAATTTACATTGTTTATATTCAATGTTGGTCATATTCAATTTTGTATATTATTTTGTTTTTGGGTATGGTAGTGTTTGTTGATGAGTTTGAAGTAAAGGAGTGTAAAATTTGAACCCAAGGATAGAATTGACTAGCAAAATATACACCTACTGATGAAACAAATACTCAAAAGGTGAAATATTTATTATGTTAATTATATTTTCGTTGTTTTTTCTTGCAGGGAAAGAGACACTTTTCTACAAAAGCTTGCAATAGGAAAACAAGGTAAATTGTTTCCATTGGCTTAACCCAGTATAGATCTGCTATTGTTTCCATTGGCTTAACTCAGTATAGATCTGCTGCACTTATGAACACTATTTTGTTTAGTTCACTGTTGCCCAACCAGCCTCATTTTCAGGCAAATATACCATTGATCCACCTCTTTTCCAAGAAAATATACTATTGAAGCGATGGTATATTGCTTGCGTCTCTTCAAATTTGGTCAATGCCGGCTGGTTACTAAGAATTAGCCTGGAGATGTGAGGCACTCAGAAAGGATGAAATATTTTGGATGAATAATAAATCTATCTATTTATTGCCATGACAGATTTGCCCTCATTTAAAAGCCATTGCTAGGTAACAGTCCAATTTTTGAAAGGGAGAGTCATGTCATTAATAATCCGTTGTGCTTGTGGGAAACACCGGATGAGGAATGATTTGCAGTTGTTAACTTAAAATGATACAGGATGTACTTTGTAATTTTTTTAGGTGCTGTCAGTCTGATAAGCTGGACTATTGTGGATGATGATGGTGAATCTCTGGAGGTTAGTTCTGTGTATGTACAAGCTTTAAATTGTACAATTTTTGAATAAATGAACTTGAGGCTTGGTTTACCAACAAAGATAACTTATCGACCAGACGTCGTATGATTCCGCTTACATGCTAAAGTGGCCACATTGCCAGCATGGTTGCCTCGGTGGTGTAGGCAGTAGTGGTTGTCACACCCGAGTACAAACCAGGGAGACATCCATTTGATTCCGGCTCGAGACAACTATGTTTTTATTTTCAGATGAGGTGTGTGTCGACAGTCTTCTTACACCATGTGTTGTGGTAATAGTTTGTTGTATTCACTTTCAACCAGACTTAAGTTATTGCTTGATTCCTTTGAATGTCTTAGTGATGCAATCTTGTCAGATTTAATAATATGCAGGGCTGAAAACTTCCTGTTACATTATTCTTTTTTGTCCATACTTAACTGTGCCTACTGTAAAGTATCAAGGCTTATTAATCACATGCAAGTCTCATGATCTATTAAAATCAGCACTACAATGAAACCATTGACAAGTTTGCTGGGATTTTTCTCCCTGGTAGGTTATTGTTCACTAATGGGCATATAAGTATGATAGAAAAGAGGTGGTTACGTAGGTAATTTACCTAATACTGACAGCTGATGTTTTGTTTTCCTTACCTGAAATGTATTCTTGCACAACAGCTCATTTTAATAGACAGACATGTTGAAAAGATATTCTGACCATGAAGTTTCATTTTCAGGATGAGGATCCCGAAACCAGTTGGATGTTGATTGAAGAAAGTGATCTCATTGCCGTATTTTCACAGTTTCCATTTGATGCTATTTTCAAGCACCTTCTTAAAATGGATCCTAACACACCTAGTAAGGAATTAACCAAAATCAGATGTATTTTATAGATACTTAAACAACTCCATGAACTCTTTTACCTTCCCATTACTTTGTACATTGTCCATTGTTGCACTCCAAGATGCAGTTCAATGGTTGTGTAGTGTTCAGTTCTGTTACACCCTGTTTTGGGCTAGCAACAACTGTATATTTGCCTGTTGAAGGGTAATACATCCATCTCTCTTGAGATGCCAAACAAAGGGTTATAACTGTCTACCTTTATATGTAATAAAAATGGTTTTATTGTGCAAAATTCGGTTATATATCATAAGTTAAACTTTGTTAAAAGAATCCTTTACCCCCTTATTGCCTCCCTATCTTTGAAATCATTTATTGAAATAGTGTGTTCACCCTTCTACTGTTGAATCAGATGTAGCTCCCAAGTCTGCTGATAATAAGGTCTTCGGCGTTACCGGCTCACTTACCTAATCCAACGGACCCGGCACAGATGTTTTCCTTTTTTGATTGCTTGCTTTATGAACTTCCTTTTTTCTTAATTTGCAGATGATCTCCTTACTGAATCACACTATCATGTTGAGCTCACTACAAGTCGTGATATCATGAGAATGTTGGCATTTGCATCATGTACTGTGTACGTGATGGGAAATGCTTTCCGTACCTATGAGAAAGTGCGTTACAGGGCATTTGTCAAAAGAGTTGGACGAACTATCAGGTATTTTGTTTCTTAAAATTCAAACTTGTGGGCTTATATTTGGCTGTGTACTTACCACGATGGTTCAGTGAGTAACGGTTTGGAAAATTACTGTGGGAGTTTTTCGAACAATGTGGCTTGGACAAAGATCTTGTTTTCCTAGTAGAGATCGTACCTCTAAGAGTTTCCTATCACCCAAACTTTTGCTTTCAAACCAAACATGGCTCTTGCAAAATGATATTTAATGTTTTATGCTCATCACTCAAGCATTTCTAATTATTATTCTTCTGATGTGGAACCTTGAAGCCACCCGATTTTACATTTTAGGACTTTCTAATGATTATCTTGCAGAAGAAATTTGATTTCAATTGATACGTAGATGATTTAAGTTAGAAATGAACTTAACTGTTGCTCTTCCATTTTGACATGTCTACTGTACCTTTTTGGGAATCATAATCTATACCTTGAGGTAATAATTAAGTTTAATGTAAAATTCTTTAGGCAGATCGTTCAGTATGCGTTGGATCACTGGTCTGACTACAGAAGTTGGAGAGTTAATGTGTGCGTAGACTCAGAAGATACGGCTCCACACTCCTTTCCACCCGGTGACCAGTATTCTCTAAATCGTTTGCAAGTAGAAGTTGATCAATTTTTTCTTAGAGCTGCACACCAGATCATAAGTGCGCACAGGTATTTAACGTGGCAACAGCATTATATTAAAATAAGAATAAAATTGCTCTGTTCGTGATAGATGCTCTATCTATCTTTTGGTTCGCAATCTTTCTTTCTTGTAATCATCCAGTGCAGAAGTCCAAATTGAATCCCTTTGCACAACCAATGGAGATAATATATATAGGAGGCACAATGACCCACTGGTTAGTTCTTTGGTTCCTGTATCAAAAGGTCTGGGTCTAGGCCCGGCCAGGGTCATTCTTATTGTGTTGTGTTCTTGGGCGAAACGGTTTATTCTCACAGTGCCTCACTCCACCCTGGGCTGGGTTGTTCAAAGCAAGGTTAAGATAGCCCAGGGTTAGTGCGAAATATGAATTCAGATATGAAAGCTTAAAAATCAAATTCAGCTGAATTATTTTTGTCTACGATTTGGTGATAGGATACTCTAAAAAGAATAGAGAAAATTGTCCGAGAAAATGCTTTTGATAAAAAGAAACAGAAGTCCGGGTTAAAATCTAACCCTGGGTTAGCGCCAATCGGCCTTCGAACAGCTGGGCCCACTGGTGTATAAATGGCTACCAGCAGATGGACGGACTGGCATCCCGTCCAGGAGAGGGGGGGGGGGGGTGGGGTTGGAGTTGAATATGCACTTACTGCTTTTCCCACAAGCATTTACAATCATAGACTGAAATAATGCACTCTATTTATCAGTGGTTTATCATGATGAGTTTTTTGAAACAACTTTTTCCTGAAGAGAAATGCGAAAGATTCAGTTACATGTAGTTATTTTTAGCTTCCGAGTAATAGCACCCTTCTTCCCGATAATCATGTGTCAGATGGCATTTACAATACCAGCGTGGCTGTCACGTATCCATATTGTAAACGTCTTCATATATTACTTACACACGGTTTTATTCTCTTTGTAGACTTGGTGCCTGGCAGTTTTTGGCCGACATGCCATTTCGAAGTGTCTCTTCTGATACCCTCTGGAAGTTATTTTCAGCACTTCACTTAGATATCGCCAAACTTGATTCTGTGGCAAGCATTCAACGAGAGGAATTAATGAGAAATGACTGGAGGGAAGTTTTAGAAGGTAGATATATCGCGTTTAATGTTACAAGATATCACCTAAGTCGCGCCTGCATGTTTCCGACATAAACCGTTTGCAGCCGGTTTTATTGAGCTTGTTTTCAGGGACAAAACGTGTAATTTGAATTGTGCTATCTATCTTTACAGGACGACATGAGGAATTTATTGATCAGCTTGCAAGAATGTCTCAGTCAGAGGCTATCTTCTTGCTGACCACATTTGCCAACTTTGCCACCTCAAGAGATGGAAAAGAAAGAGAATTCATTGAGGCCATCACCTCGCAGATTTACAAGGTATGGATGATAGTCTGATTCTTGGAAGCGACACAGGCATCAACATTTTGTTCGTGGCCTTAGGCTGAATTCGTAGCTTTCTAGAAAAACGCTTGTTATGAAAATACTATTTTGGTGTACAAAGTTTTCATGAGAACGCACAATATTTTCTTTAAGAGTTGTCTTTTGTATTCGCGCAGGTTTCTTTCATTGCCAGTCAGACGAGAGAATCATGTTCGAAAACAGGAAAACACCTTCTTGGAACCATCTCTAGTTATCACCCGTTTGTAATATCAGTTTTGCTGGAAAGCGTCAGTACTACTATTCAAGTTATAGGGAAGGTGAGAATGTTTTTGTTTTGGTGCTTTTTGCTTTTTAGTTTTCCAATTCATATTGTTTTAGGTTGGGACTCAATGATATATACCGTGTTGTGATCTACGAGAAACAAAACAAAGAAGCAAAAAATAAAACTGGCATAACTCAATTACTTTGATGGAGGTCGTACATTTAAACATCGTCTCACATTCACGATGAATCACTCTTTTTTATGGGGAAGGGGTCTTGAATGTTGCACTTCTAAGCAACCTTGCGTCACTTGCCTGATACTATTATTATTTTTTCTTCAGAGTTGCGTTTACTTGTTCAGCGGTTTATCAATTAATCTTTGGCATCCAACCTACAAGAACATGGACTGCATCAAATCCTGGCTGCTGAAAGCTGACCTTTCTTCTCCAGAGCACCAGCTAGCGCGCTACATTGTTTCCAATCTGAACTGGGGTCATGTGGGGGAGGTAAATATGTGGTAATAATTATAACTACAAAACATCCCAGCATCTGCATCCAGGACCACTCTAGCTAGGTGGAGAGAGCGAGAGGTCAGGTGGAAATAACACTGTTGTAGTGTAACATGGTTTTTCCAGCTTTTTCTTTTGATACAATGAAAGAAAAAAGAGAAAATCATGTTTTGGACTTAAGCGTACACCTATTTCTTACTGTTGTCACAATCTTTGGGCTTGGTCTGCGTCCCACGCTCGAGCCAGTACGTAATCAGGTACTTTGTCAGTGTGCAATAGCATGACTCCGAGGCTTTAGGGTCAAAATTGCCAATTTTTCAAGACTGCATTGTCTCGCGATTCCCAAAAGGGACTGGAACTCAAAGAAATCCAAACCAAATATAGAAAAATGACTAGAAAACCTCGGAGTCATGTGAGAATTTTAATATATCGAGCGTGGGCTATTGTGATTTGCGGCCTTATGAATTTGTAAACTCAATAAATATTTGATATTATTATTAATTTTTTAGCCAGGCGAAAGTGATCAGCTGTTCTTGCATCAGTGCTGGCACAGAGCTATGGCAGCATCGCTTGTAGAAGTGTCAGCTCTTCGTCTTCCCAATTGGCCAGGAGGAGTAGCACATGAGGCATTCAGAGAAAACCAAGGACTCTTAAGTCAGATGGCACAAATAGCCACTGCATCGTATAATCGCATGATGCAGCCCAATTATGAACAACAGTTGTATGATTGGCTGTGGGGGGTGATGTTAGTTCTCAGGCTTCATGCAGCTGATCTGCCGACGCCTGTCATGCAGTTTACTCAGCAGCAGCTTCCACTTCAAGATGAATTACAAGGTATCAAGGTTCCTTCCTTCGCGATTTTACAAGGGAGTGATTTCCAGCAGACTTAGTTTAGGGTAGAGATACAGGGCTTACTCTTTAAACCTACTTTGTGAACACGAAAGTTATTTCATTTTAGCTTTTTATGGGAAATTTCGTTTTAAATCGTATTTCCGACTTTGGCTGCAACATCCTTACTTCCGGGATAATTTTTTTTATGCAGTCAATTTTGAAAGGGTGATCTTGAATTGACGTTAAGCACGACAAACGGTTTGGGTTCTGGCCTTTTCCACTATAGCAACAAGTTTGTTAACCTGGGCTTGTCAAGTTATCCCATCTCTGATATTATGGCTGTCACTTTCTATTTTAGCTTCCGAAGAAGCAGGCCCTGGATTTTCCAGCTTGGTTAAATCGCTGTCAAAGGAAACACTTGAGCTTGTTAATGAGAATGTATTGGCCAGTATGATTCATGCAATCAAAGCTGGGGGACAACTAGCATGCTATGCTGCTTTGGCGATGACTACTATCGGCACCAGGTTGATTAAAATAATAGGGAGTATTTAGTTTTTAGTCACTTAATATGTTTCGTAAAAATACAATTACAGTAAACAATATAGCGGGTTTAAGATGATGAATATGTAACTGGCACCAGTGAAATGTCGTAGCTGACTGAACGGTAACTGCTGTATAATTTCAGCAACGACTTAAAAAAAAATAGTTTAAAAGCAGTGCTGATTTATTCCGCAAAATTATTTAGTGATGATACGTTTAGGCTTTCAAGACTAATTATCAATCTGCCGTGAACTGAATATTTTTTAAGTTAACTTTGTTTTTTTTTTTCATTACAGCCGTGATTTGTTCCTAGGGGCAGGATTGGACCATTTAACAATTATTGTAAATGCGAACTGCTATGATGCTACACTGAGAATTGTAGCGAATGTCACTCCACTGTTTTTCAGCTGTCCTGAGAAGCTTACACAGGAAGCAAGGTTGGTTGGTAGAAGTCAATCTCTGGCCAGTCCTTATCAGTTTTTCACCAACGACTTGAGCTGAACGATTCTCAGTGCAAGTTAAAGACTTCGGTCTTGCTTGTATCAAATGCAACTGGCGGGTCTCGTTATTGAAGAAAATGTCTTAAAATACTGCATTCAATTTTTATCTGAGTTTGCTCAGCACAAAGTGCAATGCCGGTACCGCAGTCAAGTCCAAACGGCAATACATTCTAGGCATGACAAACTTGCGGCTGGAATAAGGTTGCCTGTCGATGCTGATTTCATACATTTAATATTACATAGGTTTGTATCTGTAATTCACCGCTTAAGTCAGCTGGACAATGATAACGCAGGCTATGCTGAGAAGCTTCTTCAGGCATCAACAGTGGGACAGTATTGCAAGAAACTGGTTGGAGTCATTCAGGTGTCGATCATTCATTTTTTTCGTTTCATTTTTTAAGATTTTTTGTTACTGCTAAGGCTATTGGTCGGTGTAGGGCCAACAAGTTAATCTGCACTGGTGTCCAATAGAGCATTTGTGCGTTGAAGATCAGGTAACCTAGTGAACCATTTTGAAAGTACCAGTATTCTGAGCATGACATTGCGTTGGAACGTGCGTGGGGCACTTGATAATCCAGAAAGTGTGATGTGAGGAACTCGGTAGCAGAGAAGCTCGATCAATGCTTTTTTTATGTGGATCACCAGGGTGAAAATTAGCCTGCAGAGCACGCGTAACTTTTTTTCATTTTATAGGTGAACGAAGACAAGCGCGAGACTCGAGCGATGAGGGAAGGCTTTAAAAACGTTTTTTTTTTACACGCTTCCCTTCGCGCGAATCTGGCACTCCACGCCTGTCTGAATCTTGTCTTCAATCGCCTGAAAGACGCGAAAAGAGTAACACGTGTGAGAATGGCGAAAAGCCCTTCACCCGGTCTATTTATTCATAGTAAATGACAATATGACGGGAAAAGAGAACAGTGATGAAATCTGTAAAATAAGTGCGAATTTTCATTCCTCTTTTTCCTTGTTCTAGAGCCATGTTCAGAAGTTTCAAGCACCCGGTATGGTTGGCTCTGTCAGTGTCGTGGAGTTCTGGTTGTTAACTCTTTGTACACTGCCAAACTGGTATAGGTCAGTGTACAATTGATTTAAAATTATGCATCATGAATTTGGCGATATAACTATTTTCATTTCTGAAAACACACAAGTGAAAGGAATGGTAGCCAGCCTAGTGTTTAAGTTATATTGTTTTCTCCTTTTACCTTAAACAAGTTGAAAAGTCGCAACAAGGTTGCTTCATTTGCACATGTGAGAGATCTTTATAAAAACAAATCTGGGGCAAGGAATCTACTTGCACCTTTGTTTTATGAAATTTTAGACTCTCATATGCAATTGTTTTCGCTCACAGTCCTTCTATTTTCACTTTTCAGCTTGAGTCGGCAAAAGAAAATAAATACTACTGCCACTTTGTATTCTGATATTTTAGACTTTCATATGCGAAACTGCCCACCTACCCCTCCCCTAAGCCAGCATTTTTAATACTTACTTTTCACTTAAGGCAAAATGTTGACTTAGGGGAGGGGTAGGTGGGCAGTTTCCCAGAAGGTAAAATGATCCGTTTTCCCTTATCCCACAGACTTTCTATTTTCACTTGAGAGTTCGAGAGCGTGAAAGACAATAGAAACAATATGTAAACTGCTAGCGAAAGGGGCTGGGGTGGATGATCCCCCGCCGAAAAAAGAGAGAGAGAAAAAAAGGAAACCTTTGTGTGAAGTCCAGGTTTTCTCCAATTTTTCAGATTTAGGAAGGCATTTTGGGACCACCTTCATCTGCTGCGGCAATTGTTTACCTCCTCTTTCAAGAGAAAATACTTATTGCCTTTATAGAGAAGATTCTGATAAAGATGCTAAATAGAGTTTGATTGAATGGAGCAGTAATTTTAAAAATTTGATTTCCCGACTCACCTACGTCTTATGTTATTGTTAAGGGATGTTCATATTCAGTTCGTTGTGGATAACCTGATAAAAATTGCTTTGAGAGTGGAAGGAGGCGTGAATGTGATACAAAAACATCTCATGGATTCTTACCAGGTACTTTTCAGTTGTTGCACCTTCTTGTTTTCACTGTCAGTGTGTCCTGGTGGGTATTAATTTCACCAAACATAACCAGAAACATAGTCTGAGAAAACACCCGACATCTCGCGACGCTACCTCTGGTTTCCCCGCGAAATGACGTCTGAGAAACGAACGCAGAAAGACTATACTGATGACGCGTCACTACCCAGATCTGGGTAGTGCATCTGATTGGATGAAACAGATTTCAACCAATCAGAACCACTACCCAGATCTGGGTAAGGACACGTCATCAGTATGGAATTTCGTCGCTGAGACGTCATTTTTTGTAGAAACCAGGGGCGGCGTCGCGAAATGTCGGCTGTTTTCTCAGGCTTCTAGAAACCCTGAACATTCTGCAAACAAAGTTGAGTCAGACTATGTATTATTAATTTTTCTCCAGCTGTTACTGAAAGATACAGGAAGTCATGGTGTTATTGCTTCGCTTCTTTCCTGGGTGACGTCAAGTAACAATGCTCCACCTGTATTATGGGAAATAAAGGTCAGCGAATCTTACAAAGTACTTTGAATAAAGGTTTTAAATATGAGGTCGTGTATTAAACCAAGATCCAAAAAGGTTCGAAATTAAAATGCTACTGTACCATACACAAGTACTGCCGAAGAGTTTTTTTTGTATTTGAATGGTCACATTTAAAGGATTTTCTTCGCAAACGTATTGAAGGGATAATTGTTGGTCTCCATAATCGATCCTAGGTATCAACTTTTGGAACATTAATTGTGCTGATTCATTTTCCTGTTGTTTCAATCTTATGCCCAGGCTCCCCGGGCTTTTTTTGAGCGAGTGGGCTCCTGGAGAAACTCTCGGAAGTGAAAAATAAATAAATAAATAAATAAATAAAACAACTTTGATTTGTTTCCTTGATTCTTTTAATGAGAGTAAAAAGAAGGACTCTAAAGCTTCTTGCGTTAATTCCGGGTTAACGCCTCTGTTAAATACTCACATAGACCTTTTGGTCAAGCAGTATAATCAGATTCTTAGAATATTTAACGCTTTCATTGGTCCACAAGGCAGTTTGCCGGTGGCAGTTTGGCCGAGCGGTTAGAGCGCCGGACTTGCAATTCGGATGCCCCGCGTTCCAAGTTTGCTCCAACCGCTAGCTGGATTGGTTCTCGGTAGTCCCGAGGTCAAATCGTGCTCTTTTTATCTGATTTATTTGTTTTAGTTGTTTGTTCGGCCCAACAAGCCTCTGCGCTATAAATACTGCCAAGGGTAAATATTGGAATTATTATTATTATTATTATTATTATTATTATTATTAATATTATTAATATTATTATTATGATCATCATTATGATTTAAGACGAAAATTACACAATTATAATTAGTAGCAGGTAGTGTAAGAAGTCAATATAATAGTCATTTGTGGCTTAATTCTTGCTTTTTTCACAGACGACTCCTGATTATAGCTACTACGCGTATTGTGTGTTATGCATGGAAACGCAGATGGAATTAAATTCTGGCCTGTCTGTAGAAATTAGCAGGAGATTGCTGAAACACCCAGATTCTACAATTGATGCGACATTAAAGGTTAGATCAGCAGTGGTTCTATAGACGACCAAGAAGAAGAAATCTCAAAGCCTTCTATAAATGTATCCAAACGTATCTTGCATAACTGCAATTCAGTGAGACCATTTCTTTATTTTCTTTCTGATGTTTGTAGAAAGTAGTTAAAAAGATGAAACTGTCATGGTCACCTCCCTTGTCCAGCCTGTCCATCTATCGTTGGTCCAGCCAAGCCCTGGTAACTGATATGGATCATCCATTGTTACCCCTCATATGGCAGCGTTTCTTCAGTTTATATCTGCAACGACCCGTCACACAGCCTGGGTGAGTGAGTGACAAGAACAAACCCCTTTAGGGTAGGCTGAAACAGACATGTTCATTTGCCAGTAATAGAGTACGCAAGTATTCTGATCAACTGCCATTAAAACAGAGTTTTATAAAAACCAAGAAAAGTGACAGAAACTGTAGGAAGAGTAACAGTTTACCTTATCCAATGGAATCTCTCATGAATCTCTTTGTGTGGCCAGCTCAGTTTCGGTTTACATACCGGTTTTGCTGCTGAGAAATCCCCATTTTTTAGCGCCGGGGATTACTTGATTTTGATCTCGACTTAACACTTTACAATTGATCTGGGGGGGTTATTATTTATTTATTTATTTACTTATTTAGTTTCATATTTACTTGGCTCATATCTATAATGACTATTTCTCTGTCAATATTCTTCCACCTTAACCACGTGCTCAGTTAATAGCAGCTGTTTCTTACTTGTTTCTACTATTTTTTCGTTAATTGGTTAATTAATTATGACTCGTGTCGTTCTTCTTCCAAGTCTTGCCCAGCGTACAGGCGTGGGCTATAGGTTCTTTGACAGCCAGAGTCATACCTCCACGCTAAAGAAAATGAAGCAAAGGCTACAAGCAACATCTGAACACCACCGAAACAAGTCTTTGGAGACAGGAGCTGATCATGATGCGGTAACAGATGGAGACAGTGAAATAAGCAAGCAATTTGAACAGACAAGAACTCTGCATGAAAAATTGTCAGGGTAAGCCCACTGATTTTGCAAACGTTAAAGGACCCTATTAAATGGTCGTGTCTGCTGAAAAGTAACGAAGCAAAAAAGGGTGATCGAAGAGGATAACGAAAGCCTAATTTGTTTGGAATTGAAAAGAGAGCCTGAAAGTCGATCTGTCGTCAAAATGAGTCATCTTTCTTGTCATCTTTTGAAGTCTTAACGATTTATAGTAGTTGTGACAACAAATTATGAAGGAAAATGAAAATAGTGACATTAAATTGATATTGAAGTTTCAGTTTACTGTTGCTACTTGTAGAGGGTATTACGCATTCCAAGGGCATGATAAATATTTGTTGAAGCCATAGAGCTTTTCGGTTGTTCTTTTTTTTATGTAGCTTGAAACAGTTATGCATTTTTTTAAGTGTTCCCTGGTTTGTAGTTGAATTAGCGGATATGAACTATGAACTCGTAGTCAAGGGTCGTTTCTTTCTCTTGTAGACCTTCCGTGTAAGCTTCCGTGTTTCCAGTAAACCGTCTTGTAACTGTTATTCTCCTTGCTTTTGTCATGGAGCTTTGACTATTTGTTTTTTTTTTTAATCGTAAAGACGTGTTTTGTTTCTCTGAATTGATTAATATCTAGGATTTTTCTTGTTCCCATGATTTGATTCAGACATGTCTACGATTTGACTGTTTAAGTTTGTCCAACAGATCTTCAGCTATAACTGAAGGGTGGAAGTAGAGGTCAGATCAGGGCGAGTGAAACTGTCAGCTGGTGGATGAGAGTAAATCCGTCTTCAATAAAGACGAGAAAATGTTAATAAGTGTCTTAGTACCTCTCTTTTTTTTTGCAAGCGAGTGAGGCTTTTAAGTCCCAACATAACGATCAAATATCTTTTGATGTATTTGCAAACAGGAAAGAACTGTGATTTGTGGTTGATTCTTTTGTGCAGGTTTTATCAAACTCTTGTTCTGTGGCTTGATGAACCAAGGCTTCATGATCCTAACCTCTTTCTGCCTTCATTACCTCCTCCTTATGATCCAGCAAGGCTTGAGACACTGCTCAAACCTGAACTGGTAAGTATGTGTAGCCATTTTTGCTAAACTTAAGTAAGAAATAGTCTTTAGTGGAAAAAAAAAACAGAACACGCGTGCTTCACAAAGACAATCCTTTCCGATCCTGAGTAGCCTGTGTGGCAGGCATTCGTAAAAGGGAAGGGAAATTTCGGAAAGGGCACTCAACGACAGTTTCTTCCTAAATACATTAAAAACTCTTTTTAGCTTATCCAGAGTACTTTTAGATCCCTAGTTTCCTTTTTCAACGAAAAGTTGTATCTGTTCGGTCATCCTAGGGGAACTTGAGTCTTTTCGAAATTACAAGGGCTTCAGTATTATTTTCCCGAAAATTTTAAATGCAATTTTAACGATTTACGAAAGTGAGAATTTTTCTTGTTCTTCTCTCCATCACATTTTTGAATCCGAAAATTTTAGGTTTCCTTTTTCAACGAAAATTAGCCTAACAGGGGGAGTAAAATATGAGAAATGAAACTTCAGAAAATCGTACGGAATTGATTAGACAAGCTTCGAAAATTGTACCTGAATGGAACGGTCATCTAGAAATTTCTAGCCGTCCTCAAGCAGTGAAAAATTCTAGGCAATATTTGCTTCTCCGATAAATCACAAAAAACAGTTGTTGGGTGCCGCTGATTTCGGGTGCGTCCGTCAGGGTGGAGGGGAGGAGAAAGTTTCTTTCACCCTTCCTTCTACTAATTCGCGCGCCTCTTGCGTTCTCGCGTGCCTAAGTCACCTGTTTCCCCTTCCCACGAAGCTTAGAGCCTGGGCAAGTGAAACTTTCCCTCTTCATTGAAAGCATTTTTCGAATCAAAGACCAAAATATGACAAAGAAGAAAGAAAAAGAATAAGAATTGCAATATTTGTGGACAGATGTTTCGGTTTCTGTACAGGAAAGCAATGAAACAACCTCCTTTTTTTTGTATCAATGTATCATTAGATTATTTAGAACTGTCTTTTACTGAATAGCAGGATAATGATTTTAGACAGGTATGCTGCAGCACGTTACCACAAAATGTATCTCTAAGATATAGTGTCGAGGATTAGAAATATTTAAATTACCGTGACGTCGTGGAGTCTAAACCGAGTAATAACGGTCTATTTAAGGAACCGTGGAGTGATTTGCTTTTCGTGAAGAAAATTGATATGGAAATAACTGAGTCTGTCCGTTTCTGGGTGAAACACGCGTTGGGGCCTACGACAAAACCTTTGGAGAGTAGAATGACTGGTCAGTGGAGTGACAGGAGTCCAGAGACAGGTAATTACTTAATCTGTGGAAATATTCCTGCGCTACACGGCTGCAAAATATCACTTTGTTAGGCAGCCCTTTTATAGAAACGCTTGCCATCCAATTCAACTTGCTTTTGAAGCGTACTTGTTCGTTTTATGAATTGGTAATCCAGTCGCGCAAAGATTAAGGTGGGAGAAGTTGTGGAAGGAGGGTGTAAAGAGTGGAGAGGGCGGGGAGATTATAAGGAAGAGGTTTATGGTATATCCTGGTAAAAACTTTAGGGAAGAATGTTCGATCACGGAACGGATGCATGTTATCATTTAAATCATTTATGAATAGTGAAATACTAGTTTGCTGACTGTCAGCCGGTCAGATTTAAACAAAGGCTATCTGACGCTGCTGTTTACGACGATCCATAGACCTTTAGGTTTGTTTTTATGCGAGTTACTTCAAGTAGATAACTGTTTTTCTTGTCCAAATTTCCCTCCTATTTGGATAATTTGTTTATAGTGGACAGCGTTAAGATATTATAGCTGGCCAAACTGAAGTGGCGAATAAGGTGGTTTTGTTAAACACTGGCTTAGCTCTGTAACCAACACATCAATTGTCTCGTAGCATATCAAGAGGAAGGGTTACGAGAGTTAATTAAACGATCACGTAAGGGAAAATGCTGCAATCCTTTCTCAAATTCTCTCAACTAATCCTTAAAGAGGAAATGTATGGAGATCAGTCTGGAAAAGTTGTATGTGGATTGATATTGGGGCTCAAAGGGTTAATAGCAGGCTACACTGCAAATGTTTACGGTGGTGTTGATAATTGATCTTATTAATATTGATTGTTAATTTTATCTAAAGCTGCTTCAAGGATTATTAGAAGAATGAAAACACATCCTGCACCCTTACCACCCCCCTCTGTCAAAAGGTTAGAGCCCATCCTGCCCCCCATGACAGATGCCACTCTGATGAACAAGCAGAAGTTACTCAACATTGTGTATACACAGATACAAGGAATAGCCAACCATGCAAGGTCAGTAGAGAAACTGCTCTGATAGATCGTGATTGCTTTCAGCTAGCTATATATGAAATATATGCTGTAGGTAATTTTTTATTTCAGTAATTTTTTGTTTTGCCATTAACATCCAGAGAGAATAATGGGAGCATACATTACCATACCCCCCAAAACAAAGAAAAAACAAAATCAACTGGAATAATCAGAACCTTTCTCCAATAATAGACGAATTCTTGAACGTTCATTATGTTGCTGAATCTTTAAATTTCTCCAAAATGATATGAATGTCAATATTTTTCTTTTTTTGAGTTTAGCCTCTCCACAGTAGCATAAAATAACCTTTTCATTAATTACTCTGCAAGTCAGGCAGCCAGGAATAAAGTTTAGAAGCTTCATGCGACCGAACTGGATGTGAAGTCTGAGCTGTTATATGGACGACCTTGCTAGCCACAAAAATTACCTTTTAAACTTTTAGCGAAGAACTTTCGTGTTCTTTGAACTCCATGCTAAAGTGAGGAGAAACTCAGTTGTAACAAAAGCGTGAACGCGCAAATTGGGTTCATCTTATGTCTGACTGGAAATGACTTCGGCCCACAGGTGAATGAAACTAGAAATAATATGAGAACGTAAACGTTTTTTTCTTTGTTCATACTACAGAAAATTTTGTGGGAACGTTGGTCATCATATTTCCCTGGACATTGAATACATAGAGCTGATACCCAAAATGTATTCAAACGAAATGTCGCAGGTAAGTACTCAGTTAAATCGCCCTGTTATCTTGTTGTATCGGTGCTTTGAGTTTGGGGTTTAAACTTACTTAAGTCGAGGGAACTTTGAAAGTAAATACCTGATTCTACTTTTATTAGACGAACACTCTGACATGCCAAAGTTCTGAATAAGTGCGACCATCTTACTGAAATCATTTGAAAGGTCCAGAGCCAAGTAGAGTTAAGATCGCAGCGTTTGCGTAGTAGTGTTAAGAGTGATTCTTGTTTAGGTTAATGGTCACTGATTAACAATGACAATATCAAATAACTGAAAGCCCGAGTGTATACCGCGGTAAGGGTATGTATGTAGTTAGGGCAATTATTTTTAGATGATCGCCAGATTATTTAAGCCGTGTTTCAGATAGGTGGAAAGCTGCTGTTTTATAGTAGAATTTACCCTTAGCACAAAAAACCTTTCCTCTGTAGGTTGTAGTTCAAGTTCCTTGTCGCGGCAAGTTTTTCAAAGAAGGAAATCAGTGTAGAGGTCCTGCTACCCTCACTCTCAAGGTAATGGTCAAGTTATTGTATGATGACACTTGTTTTTCTTTACCAACATTACTTTAGCTCAGAGATCCTGGTGTCATGTTGACGAAACTGTTACTGGCCGAATTTCATGATAAAACATACACCTCCACTGAATTCCTTTTCAAAGTTGTTTGTGAGTGTTGTAAGCCGTCTTCTCGCGTGCATTAGAAGTCAAATCTCTGCAATAGTTAACCTAATTGTGCTCGGGAGGTAATTCTTAGTATATTTTGACCTGATGAGTGTGTTAATGATCCTTGCTGTACTGTTATGTACACTGTATGTATTGTTTCACAGTTCCCGGCGAAACGTGCCAATGAAGCTGTGATTAGGAGGGTTGCTGATAATCGCCGAGAACAGGAGCAAGTAATACAGAACTTCATCCAACCTTGCCCGACACAGCTGTGTGAAGGTGCAGCGTATATTGAGAGCATTATAACGTGAGTATCTATCATTTTGAAGAATATTCACATTATAGCGTTTGAACAGCTGAAGTGCCGAGCCTAAAAACGCGTCAATTTTCAGACCTTGCTCGTACGTGAGCCCTTTCCAAAGCCAACGGACCAACTACCATAATCTCGTACCCAGCCAGATCTCTTGTTACCCGCTTCTGCATATGGCGTCATAACTCACGTTCTGAGAGTCTCGAGAGTCGCGGATGGGGCCGGGTGTGGGGAGGGGAGGGGAGGGGGGGAGGGGTAGTAATCAGTCTATTGCTTCTGTATTTCCGGAGTATTTGAGCACTCTTCGCTTTCTGTTTACTGAATAAATGTGTGGTTGAAATACTTTGTCAACGTACATTTCCTTAGCTTTGACAAAGAGATCAGTTTTTAATACAGTGTATTAGTGCTGATGTTCGGTCGTTTCTTAATCTTTTATATCTTTTATTTTCAACTAATCAACTAAATAATTCTCCACATGTGCCTGAGAAAGTAGCTTGATCGATCCCTTTCAGATCGTTGGTGAATAAAGCGCAGGATTCATCTGAAAGAAGTAAACAAGGTCAGTACTGTGTTTGAATGGTTTCCCAATATATGTGGAGTCCAAAAAAAAAAAAAAAACAGCAAGGGATTATCTCTTGGTACTTGGTTCAATTACAAAACATATATGTAAAAAAACGCCGTAGGTTTCATTAGACCACTTGTATGGCTATATTTCCCCCTACACATTACCTGACATTATATAATGATCCAACGATATGGCTCCTTTATTATACATAAGTGGCTGTGAGTTGTTAAAAGAGCGATCGCCGACTTTTTATTTTGAATTATTTCAGAAATTATCAGCGACATTGGTACTTCTTTGTTTTATCAATTTTGTGGAGCAATGGATGACAATGTGATGAACTATCAGCCAACTTTGCAGTTTTTCACGTCCTGTGTGGAGATACTGGGAAAGGTCAGTGCTGACTATGATGATCCCGGCTATACATGAACTGATTGGAGGGAAGCGTTCAGGCCTGAGGTCCTGTTTTTGCAAGCGTCGGAGTCGGAGTCGGAGTCGGAGTCGTAAGCGGAGTCCTAAGAACGCTTATGACCTAGTGAAAATCAAAAATCGGAGTCGTATGCGGAGTCATAGGCGCGACGGAATCGGAGTCAGAAGAATCAGAACGTTTCCATTTTCTTCCGACTCCGCTTACGACTCCGTCGCTTACGCCCCGCTTATGATCTAGTGAAAACCAGATTGTCGGAGTCGGAAGCAGAAGCGGAAGGATAAACCAATCATAATGCACGTTCCCAGCCACCCTTTGTGATTGGTTTAGTTCTTCCGTTTCTACTTCTGACTCCGACAATCTTGTTTTAACGAGGTCATAGCGGAACGTAAGCGACGGAGTCGTAAGCAGAATCGGAAACCTATTTTCTCTAGATCATAAGCTCTAGGCTTCTGATTACGACTCCGACTACAACTCCGTCGCTAGTGAAAACAGCCCTTAAGAGAGTAGGGTGAAGATCCCTTCTTGTGATGCTGATGTGTTCTATTGTCAAAATGTTATATTTTCTTTCCATTTTTTTTCAACTTTTAACTAAGGAATACTAACGGAGAACATCAAAAACAAGCTTTAATAGCAAATGTCAATTAAGTAATGATTGAAACACGAACAGTAGTGTTTTTTGAGTAATGTTTAAAACACGAACAACAGTGTTTTATCATAGTTAATATTTCGAAAGAAGTAAAGCAAATCTCTATTTGTCTTCATTGAAAATGGCAAGTTTGTCGTTATAGCCGAGAATAGTTCACGCAGCCGTTCTTTGTCTCGTCTCGCAACGCTGGGCATCTAATGCCAACGTCAAGGGCAAAATCCAAGTGAGGGTATTTCTCGCCATAATCCTCTTAGCGTGTTGTTTTTCACTACGTGTCCTTATCTAACTTAGATTCTGGCGTGTTTGATTTTTTTCATTTTTAGACGTTTATAATGAACAACCCTAGCCAGACAGAGCAGCTGTTATCGGCCATCTTGGACCATTCTTGGGTGTCAATGTTGTCAGTTCCGTTCTTTAGTCCCAATGACAATCCTGATTCGTTTGTTGCCATGTATCGCAGGGTACTGGAAGCCACTGATGGAGATCTTGTATTCTCGTTGCTCACCAAGGTTAATGTTTTTTTGTCTTGAACTAGTAGCCTTGATCTCGCTGCTTCAATGTAAAAATAAATTCTGTATGCAACTCAAGATTTTTAATCAGGCAAAACTGTGCTCTTGTCAGGAACCTGCGCTGCGCGTAGGTACTGCCTCCCTTAAGAGTAAGAACTGCCCAAGACGTCGGTAAAGTTCTGAATTTTTCCCCTATATATAAGATAGTGTACTGTCTCTCTATCGCTTGCCAGCAACAGCAGTTTTTTCAGGCTCAACCAGTCCACGTTTGTACGTAACTTAGGGTCAATCTAGTTGTGCCCGTCTCGTCAAAGTCCGTATAATTGTGAACCTCTGTGACCTCTTACAAGACAATCGTAACACGTTCTATCCAGAATATGATTCCATTTTGAATAGTAGATACTTGTACTGACTTGTTTTTATCGTTGTGTAGTTTGACCTGCCCAAGTGGCTGTCTTCACCAAAGAGTGATCTCACCGAGCGATCCTCATTAACCTCTGTTGTGTTTGACGCACTTAACAATGTGGGGTTTGAGCCTTCCGATGACAAGAGAACCATTCTGGAAGTGAGTTAGACCACTGTGCTTTCTTTGCCTCAAGGGCCGATTAACTACAACATTTCTGTCCGTTATATCGAGTTTCCCCTGTAGATCGTTTTCTGTCTAATTTCAAACCATTAGACGTGATAGCTATCGTAATGAGTTATCATCTTTTCTCGCGGTGTTTTGGTACATTTACGTAAGTGGAGATATTTTCTCCCTGGACTGTATTCTGAAAGAAAAGTCATTGTATTTCACGGCAAATGACGGATATCATAAACTTATTTACTCATCTGTTTTAACATGTAGGTTTATTTACAACACTTGTCAAAAATGCTGATGTACAACTTCCCCGAGCAATACAGCGATGCCCTGAGACTTCTCTGTGAAGGTATGCTTGGCTTCCCTCTGTAATCCTTTACAGCTGGCAAAATATTTTCAGTTGTAGAAACTCTTTATGTACGGTCCTATTTCTCTTCCGTGTCAGGTTCAAGTAAGCGGACGCTCTGTCTTGAAGTATGGAACACGTTTATGTCTTGCATTGGTTGTGTTCCTTCGACTGAGAATGAAGTGCAAGGCTCATCCAAAGAGTTGTTAGGCGACGAGCAGGTATTAGTAGTACAGGGATGACACACCAGTTAGGCCTCGTTTCTCAGGGGATCTCTTTAATAAGGAGGGAATACATTAGCACTGATGGCGTCATAGACTCAGGTTCACTAAGCCCTAACGTAATTATGCAAGTTCTATTTCCTGAGATTTCGCCTAAAAAGGAGGCTTAATTGGTGTACCCTGCCGCTGAATAGGTGTGGATTGTGTCAAGTTTAGTTCTGTCGCTCCTAAAGTGCTTAAAAAACGCAGTGAGAATCCAAGTTTTTATATATAATTAATATTTATATTGATGCGAAGTGTTCTCAAACGTGGAATTCTTTGGTTAAATTCAACAGGTGTTGGAAACCCTGGACTGGCTGACAAAGTACTTTAGCGGTCAGCGGGCTGAACTGGGAGGTCATGTGACCGGTGGCCTCTACACCATGTGGAGGCCGTACATAAAACAGCTTTCTTTTGTCCTTGGTTTCATGTGCCAACAGATCGTAGTTAGAAGAGCTGCTGTGGTCTATGCAAACAGAGGCCAAGGATTAGACGCAGGTGAGGCTCCTATTTGTAATTATACGCTGTCTCAATAGTGGGGCCTCCAAAGATATTTTTCGTGCATCTTGTTTAGCTAATCTTTGGAATGGCTGTTCACAACAGACATGACGCTGATTTTTATACGACAACGTTCTGTATCTGCATTGTGGTTTTCCAACCATTTCTTTGGTGTGTTTATTATAGTGTTGACTGAGCTTTGGACGTTGATCTGTCGCGTGTTTGAACCGTGGATTTGTTCACAAGACTCTCCTATTCCAGGGTAAGATTCAGTTCACTTAAACTTGTTACCGTAGTTTCTGGATTGCTTCATTAAGTAATCCTTGTGAACATTAAAGCCTTCAGTTATATTCTTCATGTTCTTTTTTGCATGATGCAGTCAATCAAGTGCGTGTATAATAACTTTGTGTGGTGCCCTCGGCCCTAGACTACGAGTGGTCTTCATTTTCCTCAGAGATAGTAGAGAGAATGAAACACGCGAGCACGCGTTACAATCTCCATCCGCGCGGAAGGTGCTGGGCTCTCGTGCCGTAAAACTCGTAACGCAAAAAACCCTCGTCGAAAGGGGGATGGGGGGGGGGGGGGGAAGGGAAAAAGGGAGGGGGATTTCTCCCTCTCCTCTCCCCTTTCCCTTTTTGCGCCCGCCACGCAGGCTACTCATTCTTATCCCTGAGGAAAATAATGGGCTATTAATAACTTATTGACTACTTTCGGCCTCTACGTTTTGAAGCAATACCTTTCGGTTACTGCTGAGAAAGCTATTAAGGTGACCAAATTCCCAACTTGCATAACCTGTCTTTCCTGTTTTGCAGGAATGGTCCTGTGGCTCCTTGGAATGAAAGTGAAGTACCTCAGGCTTCAGACATGGTGACCCTGTTCACTGATACATTGGGCTGTCTGCAAACACATTTAAATGGTACGAGATTGTGGCTAGGGATGAAAACAATGCTAGTAGCCAGCAGTAGTTGTCAGAATATTGATATAAGAGTCGTGTATTTAACTCATTTTTGAATTTAGAAAATCTCTGTATTTTAACCCATTAAGCCCCAATGTCAATACACAAATTCTTCTAACTGGCCTCTGTAATTTTCGTAAAGCGTATGTTGGAAGAAGTTGTTGAAAGAGAAAAACAATTAAGGTGTGTTAGCTGTTTTACGACTTTTTCTGATTATGTCCTGATATAGTGTGGAGAAATTTGATATGATTGGTCACTTCTGGGGCTTAATGGGTTAACTGAGAAATCTTTGGAGTCGCCTTACAATTTTAATCGAACATGTTAGCATTAACAATGACACAGATGGTTTGAAACGTAAGATCTTTCTCCACACCAGTGTAAGGTGAAATGGAGAAAAGTGTTCGAAACCGAACTTTTCTTAGATCAGCTTTAAAATCGCTAAAACAGATCTCTACCTTGATAAAAATGAGGTCTGCTTCAGTGAACAACGCGAGTTAAGGAAAATCTATGAATAGTACTTTAAGCAGATAGCTCTGAATAACACCTCTATTTTTTTTTAAATTTTGCTTTTAATTTTTTATTTTACCCAGCTCCTTACAGCAGTACGTCGATGATGAACATGTTTTGGAGTTTCTTTGTAACGTCCCTATCCAAACCGGGAATTCCTGATTATGTTCTACGAGTGTACAACTCCAAGTTTTTTCTTCTTCCCTGGCAAAGCTTTCTCCCCACGCTGCACAACTTACAGCTCATGCAACAGGTTCGTTTTAAGGTCGCGTTTGTCACGCATTTCCTCAGTCTTCCGTTCTTTTATCAGACATTTTCTTTGTCGCTTTGGTCAACTTTTCTTTCTTTTTCCGTTAGTTGTACGGCGTGTGCAAGAAAAGTTTTGCCTTTCTTGGTATCGTGTTTCCTCTTATGGACTGGAGCAAGATCATATCTGCCTACTGGTAAGTAACATTCATTCTACATTGCCTATCTCTTACTGGTATCGCTGAAGCTTTCCAATGGTTGCGCTCGCACAAACGACCTTTACATCTGCTTTAGCTGCCTGATCACAGTGTACATTCAATCTAATTGATAAATATTGTCGTTATTTTTTCCCGTCTGGGTGTCCTCGGCTAAACTTAATGTCATGGTGAGTTGATGCGAGGAAGGAAAGAAAAAGCTTAAGGGTGGGTGAATGTGACGACCGCGCCCTAAGAAGTTTGGTATTTTTTCCAGCGTGGTACGATTTTACGTTCGCATTCTCTTGTGGGATGGGAGGGATGTGTCGATGTCATTTTAGGGCAGATATTGTACAAAAGGTTAGCTTAGTTAGGGTAGTGAGTGTAAAGAAAGAGACATGGCGTAACTGAAAGACCGCAGAGGTAACGGATTTGATTGTTTATTATTTTTCATTTGGTTTATCAGCGAGGGCCAGACTTCAGAAGCTGTAGTGCGCCTTCACTCATCCCTGTTTCATCTGCTTGTAATCTTCGCCAACGAGAATGACATAGTGAACGACGCAGTGAACGCAAAGGTGAGTATTTCAAAGCAGAGGTCTTCGTTGTTATTGTTTTAGTTTGATGCGTTTCGTCGCGCTGTTTTACCAAATTTTGTCGAACTTGTACTTTAAAACGAGACTTTGTTCTTGAAAGTAGCATAGCAGAAGGAAAATGCAGGGACAATTTAAATTTTTATAGATGAAAGGAAAGGGAAGATTGTCCTGTTTTACCTTACTGGTACAAACTCACTGAGTTGTATAGGTCATGGCAAATAAGGCAGTAATACCCAAACTTTCGACCTGCCGTGGTTTAAAGTACGTTTTGTTCGAAGGCGTGTCAGCTGGGAGACAGTTCGCTCACCAAATGATTATAAGCGTGTCCAACTCGCTGATTCTATCCTTGAAAATTGTCTGGATTCTTTAAAGCGCATTTTCTTCTAGACTATGAAAAGTAATTTGACACTAGGGTTATTTGGGCTTGAAATAGTTTTGGAAATGGCTTTAGTATTTTAAACTATTATGTTCATTTGTTCGTGTAGGGAATGCCGAATTTACTGGAGTCTGCACTGAAATTTCCTTGGCACTACTTGGATGGAAGGTTTGTACGCGACAAAGTTTAATACAGACTGCTCTAACAGCCACACACCGACTTTATTTTTATGATGTAATTAAACAATGATTAAACTAGGGAAAATTTTATTTGGGAACCGAAACAATTCCCTTAGCATTATGATACCGCTTATCTGTGAATAGTCTTTTCTAAGAACACTATTTGCGTGGTTTTCCAGCTTGTTCTGCCGGAGTTGAGCATGCAGGGAACGGTGACTATATTTTCAACGTTCCTAATATTTTACAGGTCTTTCGAAGAAGTCGTTTCGTGGCAAGTTTCTCACGGTAATGCAGAGTTAGTGCTTCAGGAAAACTCTTCCATTTGGTATGCCTTAAGGTAGGTATCACAGTTACAGTCGAAATAAATGTTATATGTGTTCTACTTGCTATCTACACACTGTCGATAACACAGAGAAAGATAGTTGATTTAGTCGTTGTGTCCTACAGTTTGGTCCAATCCATTCTTTCAATGACATCATCCTCTTGCGTCACATCTGATCAAGTCGTTTTATTTCAGGTTAATAAGAGCTGCTGCGGGGATCGTGGTCTCGGAAGATGGTTCAATGCAGCCTACACGGCCTGTAAGTTTCTACACAGAAATTTGCAAATAATAATATTTCTCCCTAGGATTAACTTGAAGAGGATGGGCGATCGGTGCGAAACAGAGCACGAAGATCAGTGGTGCGGTAGGTTACAATTGCAAGGGAAACGGGCTAGGGACGCGAAGAGTATAGAGCGATAGTCTTGTCTAGTCGTCCAGTCTTCATGTCAACTTCGGGAATTCCTTGGAAGCCTTGAGGGTATTTTCAAGATGATTCGGATGATTTTCGGAAAGCTTCATGGGAACAAATGGCACATTGATTGGTACTCCAAGAATTTAGAACTTGACATTAATTTTGCTCTGTCCATCCACTTGGCAACAATCTTTTTTGAGTGGTGGTAGAGGGCTTTGTTTTATGCATGTTATAGGGACCAATAAAAATGAAGGTGAAGATCTGCTTCTATTAATCGTAACATTAACACGAACCTGTACAAATGTTTCTTGCAGGATACTGCAGTGAAACGGGCGTCATACGTCCGCTGTGTCGCGAGCCTGTTAAGCCGGTGTTCCACAGACACGAAGCTCAAAGCAAAGTCTTTTGGTCCAGTAATTCTGTTTGTTCTCAAAGATACTGAGTCTGTTGCCGGGTCAGGTCAGTGACAGAAAGTTTTTTTCGTCCTTGGCCTTAAAAAGGCATCAAATGATATGCACCTCAGGTCCTCAGATAGAATTGTTAATTGCTACAAGAACCTGATGTTAAGAGCATGTCGGGGTAAAACTGAACAACTTCCGAGATAATCTCGTACGGTTAACTTGAACTCTTAATAGCTCACCATTCTACAACAACTGACTTGCTTTTACTATCTCATGCTTGTAAAGCATGTATACTTAATCTTACCCTTTTCGTGTATCTTGCCTAATTAATCTTATAAAAATATTTTCCTCACTTTTTATTTTACGAATCGTAAATATCAAGGTTCCGCTCTTTCAGGTGTTGATCCAGCAAGCACCGCCTCGGAAGTCTGCCTGATGATGTGTGAGGAACTCAACCTTTTAAACATCTGCTCCCCTGTGGGGGATGTACTGAAAGTCACGTTAGACTTCATATTACAGTTCATCCGGGAATCCACCTGTACAATGCTAGTTTTAGCTTCAATCCCAGCAGCCTGTAGGACCCTGGCTAGCATCCAGTTTATGGTTTCTGTTGTAGAGACTGGAATTGAGTCGTATTTTAGAAAGCACTCTTCCTCAAATTCTATTGATTCTGGAGCGAATGCGGACTGGGGCTGGGGACACATAGTCCCAAGTGTAGCTGTCCCGGAACTAGCGCAAGATGAATTTGTCAACGGTTGGTGCTATTTCCGTCTTTTGATTTGTTTCTTTTGTTTCTTTTCGAGCCGAAAAGTAAATTGTGTGACACCAACAGGCGGAAGAACAAACGTGTTGTGCAAAATTAAAGAAAGATTACCGACGGTTATGTCCATTGGGGTCGATCTCGGTTGGTCAACGCGTACAAACCAAAGGCCTTGTCGTTCTCAATCCTCACGTAAATGATCGTAAATGGACATTTTCGTAAACAGCCGCCAGAGTGGATTAGTTGATACGCCGAGAAATATCGATCTCTTGTGGACAGCTTTGAGCACTTAAGTTTGTATGCGGCTACAAACAGAAACAGACTCGTGAGGACATAGCTAAGTGTCGGCCATTCACACTTTCACCTCTTAAAATGGCGTATCAATCTTCAAACATCTTCTTGTAGAATCCTGAAACGTAAATACAGTCGACTCCCGATAATTCGAACCTTCAAGGGAAATAGAAAAAAGTTCGATTTATAGGAAGTTCGAGTTATCGAGAGTAAAATTATATAGAAAACGATCTGAAGGGAAATGTAAATTGCTTCGAGTTAGCGGGAGGTTCGAGTTATAGAGGATTCGAGTTACCGGGATTGGACTGTAGTACTATGCAAGAGTTCTCCCTAAGAAGTTTCATTTGAATGTTAACACCTTAGGATTTCATCCACATGTGTAAAAGTGAGACTGAGAAATGATTTTGCCTTAACTTGGTCTAGGGGTGAAAAGGGTTACGTTGAATAACGATATGCTGTTTATATATTTTTAGAATGTGTAGGACAGGGTGCATTGCTTACTCTGTACACAAACATCCTGCTGAGATTGTCCACTTGTCAGAGTCCCGTCCAAGAGATGTCTGTGTTAACTGATATAGTCACATGGTGTACGCACATTAAAGTCAGGTAGGTTCCGCAAGTGAAGCTGGGATCGCATGCTGCCTCCATCTTTGATTTTGAAAAAGAAAAGAAAAGGAAAAAAAAAAGTTGTGGAGAAGGAGACAACCAAAAGCGCCAATGCGCCATACTAGGGATGTCCCCACTAATTAAAATATAAGAAAAATATATACAAATAGAAATATAAATGTTCTAGTTATCCCTAATAAAGCTTAAAACATTTCTTTTAAAAGTTGCAATACTGTTTGATTCTCTAATATGATTGGGTAACCATTCCATTCATTTGAAAAAGGAGGAAGTCTGGGGAGAGTAGGTTTTGAAGTCAACATGGCAGCCGATACACAGAACCCAAACACCCCGTGCCCCCAAGAAAATACCTGCGCCTTAGATTTCAAGAATGACATAGAAGCATGGTGACTAGAAAGGACACAATAATTATCGAACATGTTCAGTTTGTCGTTGAATTTTACTTGTGGCTCAGTTATAACTATTTTGTACAAATTATTTCGGGGTTTGAAAGTGGTGGCGGTGGTAGTAGACTGCATCGCATCGCTTTTACTTAGGGATTGCCTCACGGGTCAAAATAGATAAATTCATTTCCTTATCAAGATGAATTTATGCTTGCATCACGTTTATCACGTTTATTAATTTTTCAGACGCGAATTTGAAACCAAGCTTGCTTTACTGTGGCACAAGATTCTTCAGCTGTCCATCAGACAAGTTTATTACGCTGCTGGACCTTTGAATAATCTCACTAAACAACTGTCCTTCCTTGCATCAACTCTTCATACCTTAGGAGAGGATAAAGCTTCATCTGGTTTGCTAGGGGCCATTGGCTTTGGAAAGAAGTCTCAGCTCAGCGTTAAGTGAGTTGTTATATTTCATTTGTTTGGTAAAAGGATTTTCTTAGGAACACTCCAAGCCTTTTAATCTTTCATAAATTGCTAATAGTGGGTACCATATCACTTTCCAGAAAAGAACTTGATCGCGGCCAAGAAGAGAAATTTCGAACGCTACACTTTCACTTTTGACCTCAGTGTAGAAAACATCTGTCTCCGACGGATTCGAACGCATGATCTCCCGACAAGCACTCTGGCGTTCAACTGTTTAGCCTCAGATAGACTCATTGCGGGCTCGGTCATAAATGGCATGCGTTATAAATGCTACAGTCACTAGGGCAGTGATAAGTAATGAAAGGTGGCTAAAAAGTATGGTTTTACCATTTCTTTTACGTATCGTTTCAGATTCCGATTCATGTGCAGGGCGTTAGAAGCATTTTTGTTGGCACAGATGCCGTCTAACTCATTGTTGAGATTAGATGCTAAAGCACCAGGATATGTACGAGAACCGAAAAAGGTATACAGTATTACCCTTCACCCCCTCAATTCCAGACTGAAATATGCGGACAAACTTTGAGTCTGTGGATTGAAACCTTTTGTGCGGGCATGTACATGAAGCCTCGCTGTTAATTCTTTCTCATGGCACTGCTTACTTTTCAAAATTTTGCCAACGAGATGTATTTAAGTTATTTTGATTATGGAATTCCTACAGTGTAAAGCGGTTTTTTAATCATCGCCTTACTGAGGAGAAGAAATGCAAGTAAACTTTGTCAAGGTCCGTTAAGCCCCTGCCTAAGTGGCTCATGTTGTTCGTTCGATTAAATTGATGTATTGGTGCATTTGCGCTTTCTTTTCCATTAGGTCTCCTCGCTACAACTTGTGTAATGCAGTTTGTCTTATCTGTAATATGTTCGTATCACTTTGTTTCACTATGGCTTCCAGTGTATCTCTGTGACTCATGTTTCATCCTATCTAACCTGACTCGTTTCTATTTGTATCGCACGTGGAGGACGGAACGCGAGGAGTGATGGGAAGGAGGAAAATGAAAAGGAGAGCGCCGGTCTCGCCGCTCACTTCCGCCTTCCTGGAATCACCCCTGCCTTGCTCTACCCTCGACCACGCATCTCTCGTTAATATTAGGGACCTTAAGATCTGAGGACGGCGACGGCATCGTAAACGTCTCTTAAAAGTGAATTTGCGTGCTCTCAATCTTCATGCCGATTATTCCAAGTCACTTACCTTGTGAAATGTTGGCGAACTCTCCTGCAGTTGAATTCCTCAGAACCATATTCCAGACAAAAAATGGAGAGAAAAATTTCGTAATTGCTTGTTCACGTCCTCCATTAAACGTGAAACAAGGAATTTTCACATCGTAGCCGTGCAGTGACGGCAAAGAAATGTGCAGCATTGCGTGTTTAACTTATTGCTTATTTGAAGTTGTCGTTGCCGTCGTCCGATCTTAAGATTTGTATAAATAGGAGACTGACAGATGACTGCTACGTAACGCTTAAGCTTGTTTTATTTTTGTTAAGGCCAAACAGCTAGCACCAGGAGGAAGAATCGTTACATCCACTGCTGAAGCCGAGCAAGCACTTTCTAACCTGGAAGCTTTACGAGTTAGTAAACAGTACGCTTCCCTCGCGGAGTATATCATAGAAGCTCATTCCTTCATAGCAAATCCTCTGCATTCCCTCATGGAGGGGCCAAAATTTGTTGTTAAGCTCGTGCAGCAGCTTTTTCCAGATGAAAGAGCTTTGGATATAATTGGCTTCTACGACGCCCCGGCAGCCAAACCTTAAAGAAAAATCTTCACGATGTGGCAGAATTGGTATAAACTGAATGCGAAAGTCATCGCAATGGGCCAATCAGAACTAGGATTACAGCAATAACATCGCGGCTTCCCGGGTACAGCGCGGGAAATGCCTAGCAACCACATCATGATTGTTTTGGGATTCCTAATTGATTGGCTAGTGGAAAGTTGGCGGGAAATCTTCAAGCCAATGGCGAAACGAGGAAATGCAAGCGGAAAAAATTCGCTTTGGACACTCGATCAGCTAAATAATGCTCTGAGGTGGAACTAACTTCACTGAATTTTCAGTGAATTTGAATTTCACATTAGTTAAATTTCAATGAATTTGTAAAGCATGACTATCCAAGTCAACTTTGTACCCTTTAGGGCCTGTATGACGGCGCTGTCTTTGTTTAATAGAAAAGGTCTATTAGGTTCAGTAAGAACTGCAGTATGCCGTTCGATAAAGTCGAATAATGACACACATGATTTATATTTTAGAGATAGATTATATTAATGTTGGTCTCCCTCGGGACCAAATAGAAACTGTTGTATAATAGTTAAGAAACTTTCAGTTAAATTTCCGGTACACAGTATGACGGTGCTCTTTTCCTCTTTTTTAATCGGGGAACTGCATTTCTTTTACGCACACCCCGAAGCGAGAGAGGACGATTTGGATGAACCAACAATCTCTTTTCCGAACATGAGTAAAGCGCCTTTTATGGTTAACATAAATTTATATATTAGCTGCGATCGAGGGTCCGTTTGCATCAAGAAAGGGAACTTAAGATTGAGTGGGGTTTCTAAACAACTATTCTCTTTTTCGAAATATTTTTTTGTGTTTTCTTTGCTTCCTATATCCCTCGACCCGCCCGCTTTGGCTGGGTTATCCCTCATATCATGCGAGAAAATTTTCCGGAAAAAAGAGAATGGTTTCAGATAATTCGCACTTAATCCAGGACTAATGGCCTGTTTACATGGAGTTGGGGGACCCCATGTAGGTGAGAGCCCTTTAAGGTGGGTAATTCGCCTGTCAATCTCATATATTCACCCCACCTATCATGTAAACGTGATCAAATTAAAATGAAAGATAATATGGACAGGCTGATTACACCACCTATCTGGGGCCCCACCTCCATCTAAACAGGCACTAGATCTTAAGTTGCATTGTGCAATAAGCCGTAAACGGAAACTCGCCTGCTGTAAATAAATCCCATTCCATGGAATATTGGTAGCTCCATAAACCATCATAAAGTCACTTTTCAAAAATATTATTCTTTTTATTATTTAGAATTTACAAGTGTCAAAAAACCATGTAACTTCCTACACCTTTTCCTTGCACTGGTTTTTGACCCGGCACTAGTACCAACAAAACCTTTAACGACCTAGATTGTCCGGCATAAACACTCAATACTTGCTTTATAGAACCCAGCAGCTTCCAAGTTACCAACGCAAATAAATGTTGTGACTTTTTCTACTCGAGTTGTACGATTTGCGATTCACGAATTTCCATTTTAAAACAAACATTTGAAATATAGCGGTATTTCACTTGCCTAATGACTGAACAAACTATACACTACCAGTTTATACCCGTTTTAATCAGGTCATGGGTCTATCAGTATTAACTGCAAGCAAGCTCAATTTTGTGTGTTAGGCGCGAAGGCAAGTGTTTAACCAAGTAAGTCACGCGGAAATCTTAGGGATCCATCACCTCCCAAGCCAACTTTCACTCCAGACTCGTACCCAGACGCCCTTCCCAAGAGTCCCCGCGCGCCTCAACTTAACCCCAATTTCCTCTCACCTCAAAACACGTAAATAGCGACTGGGTACGAGTCTGGTTTCACTCTAAGACAAGTAGACATTTTACGAGAAATTTGCCTTGGATCTTATAGGATCTACAACAGTACACCACGTCACTTACAATTCGATACAAGTTACCGTACTTAGGATAAGGCGTCAGAGCAGTTTTCAAGACTTCCAAATTTCGCGAACCTGATATTCAGTTATGAATCAGTAGAACAAATAAAAACGCAAGATACTACGCACCGGTAAGATTTGCTTTGATAAATCACGCTAGATTGGAAATTTAAGAAGCCTTTCAAATGTTGCTTTTAAGTGTTATTGCACCAGTTTTTACAAAACTGTTTTGTTCTTCTTGTTTTGTAGTTCGTGGGAAGTTCATAGCGATGTAACTTTCACTCCTCTTTTGCTAGGATCCAATATCTCTGCGTTCTTCTGTTCTCGTCCAGCTGATTTCTGAAACACTCGATGAAAGTTCGGACTTGATATTGGAGAATCCGTAGAATCTCGTCTGCTTTTCACCATCGGCTTATTAACAGCACTTTTCTCTGAACTCTTTCCTTTTCGCGGGCGACTACATTTCCCACAAGTGGACTTTGAGCTTTTGGATTCTGGACGGCGAATCCAGATGTTTTCAACGTGTTCGCAGCTGCAGGTCGACGAGGCAACGCTTTCAGTGTCCGCAGAACGATGAGAATTGACTTCCGATTTTCCGTTTTGAATCCAAGCATTGCTTGCTTCGGGGTATCCCGTTGGTTTCCGAGCTTGTCCGAATAAGTGTACTTCTACCTCGGAATCAATCTCAGAGTCCGAGTCGCGGTAAGATTTGAATTTTTGCGCGCTCCTTTTGTAAGGTCGTGATGAACTGGACTGATCTGGTGCTTGTCGCGATCTCACTTCATTTACTTCCTTTGGAATTAACTCCGCCATTTCATAGGTTTCTCCAAACTCACTGTTGGTCCACTGATTGAGCCTCCGCGCAGTGCTTGGCGAAATAAGAGACATGCCGTCCCCTTGTTGAGGTACTGACAGCTGGGCGTGTCCAACACCCCTTTCTGTATTCTTATGAACCGCATTCCTGATCCGAGACAACACAGACCGTTCTGCAACAGACTCCTTTTCTTTTAAACTTTCAGTCTTCTTGGGCTTGTGTGATACGTGTAGGGGATATGAATCACTCAGCAATGGAATCACTGCGCAACCATCGCTGGATGATCTGGAATGATGGGGTCGGGGTCCTGAAGCTGGTCCTAAGCAACGCTGGTCACCATCAAGCCTGTCATGTTCCTTCTTACAGCTCATATCTCTGTGAGGCTGTCTGCGATGCTTGGATAAAGAATCGTTACTTTGACTCCACTTAAAATGCGCGTTATTTCGACCGTCAAAAGATGCTCCGTTTCCGACACTGTTGGAGTCACCACCACGTGCCTTTGCTCTTCTTTGTCTGCCAGCGAGGGACCTGGGTCCAATATCTGATCTTGTACGTATGAGAGCAGCACTGGTTTCTTCCTCCTGACCAGCGGCGGCCACGCCATGGTTGGAGCTAGAGCTTGAGTGAGCGAGAGATCCTGATGATCCAGTCTTCTTTCTTGATGACGCCTGCTTCTGATTCGCGGCTACCTCAATATCCTGCCTTGTAACACCTGGGAAGAATGACTCGCCTTGCTGGACAGCTTGGCCTTGAGGATAAATTGACTGGGAAACCATGCTTTGTTGAATGTTACTCACAGCAACATCGTAGGCTGGAGGTTCGTAGTTTCGCTTGACAGTCTGGTTCACCGTGAGGGACTGTTGGGTACCTTGGACTTGAAGCTGCGGAGACTGGGCTCTAGGTGAACGATTTTTCAACCTTGCTACGTCACTTTTCAATTGTGCTTGAGCTGCCGCTGTTCGCATGTTTGCGGGCATGCTTCGGTTAAGTCTTGCTGCTCTAGAAGAAACTGACTCGCTGTCGGTGGAACTTGAAGGTTTAACAGCCATGAGGTTGCGCAAGGCGGCAGTTGATGATTGCGAGATGGCTTTATGCTTAGAATTGACGAGAGATTTGAGGAGCGAAACTGCTCCCAGTTCCCACAGAAGCTCTTGATCCTCCAAACACCGGGCTGACAGATTCCATAAGGCGCCGCAAACATTGCTAACAACCCTGAGGCTCGACGAACGAAGATGGCACAGTAGCACTTGAAAACAGCCACAATCACGGAGAGTCTTGCGGTAATCTGGTCGCACAGCGATGTGAGATGAAAGGTTCCTCAGTATCCCTCCACTGCTTTCTACCACGGAGATATTTCCAGATGGGCTGGAATATTTCAAACACTTGACAAGGAATTTCAGTGCACCAGGAGCTGCACATATTTCCGACTTGTTTTCCGAACAGTGAGCTGACAGGTTCCACAGAGCACTGAGTGTTGTTCTGAGCGCGGGCTCACCGTGAACTGCTTGCGCCGCGGATAACAGCGCACTGATTGCACCAGCGTCACGCAAGGTCTTGCGACAAAGTTCATCGGCTCTCCAGGAGAGATTCCTCAACACGCTTGCAGAGACTTGAATGATCTCTTCTTCTTCAACAGTGTTCAGCTGAGCTATTATGGCTTCCACAGCACCAGGAATACTACATAAAAGGTTCTTGTTCTTGACGTTGCCAAAAGTCAGGTTTGTAAGTGTCATACCCGCATACTTCCTCAGACTGATGCTGTAGAAATCTTTACAGTGTTCGTTGATTTGATGATCAATTTGTAATAGTTCTGCAATAGCTTGAAGCCCTCCTAGCTCGCATATGGCCTTGCGATGATCTTCTTCAAACGAAAGCTTCATAAGAGCCGCTACGGCAGGTCCTGGCCCATAATCCCTTAGAGGTGGATACCAACGTTCCGCGCAAGGATGCACGGGAAGTCCTTTGAACTGTATCACATCACAATGCGCACGAGCAATTTCCAACAATCTTAAAACTCGAACTTCGCGACGTCCACGCCTATCTTCCACATTTGAGTAAACAATATTATGTAGCGCCAAGCCAGCTCGCGCCCGAGCCTCACGACGCGCATTTTTGTCAGCAATGCCTTTGCCATGGAGTAGATCAATAAGAAGAGGTAAACAACCTGACTGCCGCATAGCGGCACAGCTGTCTCTGCTGTTGGACATAGCTAACAAAGTCCGGGACATATCGTCTTTATCATGTGTTCCTAGCATGGATAAGAGTGACTGAACCATGTCAATCCGCGTGTCAAGATCATGATGTGTAGCAGCAGTGCTGGCAAAACTAACCACGCTGGACGTCTCCAAGCCTTCCAACGCGTCATGCGGTGAATAACATATTGCTTCCACGCTGGTCTGACTCACGCTTCTCGCCATACCTCTTGATTGAGTGGCAGCAGACTCCCCGCCAGTTGGGTTTCCTGTGGCCAAGCCTGGTCTGATCTCTTGAGGGGCTGTGGTGCACCTATGCGGCCGTTCTCTGTTGCTGGACAATGGTTCATTGACACGCCCGATGTCGTCAGCTGGGTTCACGACAGTTGACATCTTTGTCTGTGTAGCTGCTGGCTTAATGCTTTGCAGAATATTATGCTTTGCATTAGTACTGACAACAGAAAGAGGTTTCGATATGGTGGGATCTGTTTTAACATCCTTAGTGATGCTCGCAACTCCTTGGGTTAAGACGCCACTGTTGGGTGGACCTGTTAAAAAAATGAATGAAGGGTTAGTTTCTAAAGACAGTGAGGAGCTGCATCTAATAAATTCGCACTGACGAAGGGCTGTCACTCCAACCGTCAGCTTTTCAACCTATCTAAGGTTGTAAAATAGCTTTCTCAAGTTAATGGACAGAACCAAATTTTCGGTCTTAATTTTGCGTTTAAACCTACAACAAGGAATCAGAGATGGACCGGAAGGAATTTATCCCACAATCGTTTAAGATTGAACACACTTTTTCCCTCACAAAAAACTCAAATAAACAACTGTACGTAGAAAGTTGGCTAATGGCCAGTTTAGTGAAAGAATACAGAAGTTTCTGGGTATTACACAAGACTTGTGCAAAATACTTATTGTACTTTAAAAAGCCCATGCTATGATTCAGAATTTTTTTCTAGATCAATTTAATGGAAATATAAGTAGAGAAAGAATTGACGCATGAATCTTTACCTTGTCCGGCTTCATGAGTATGGGGATCCTGTTCGCTACCAAAGCCACTGTCTCTGCCAGGTACTGGAGCTGCTACTCCAGGATGAACTTTTTCTTTGGCTTTTTCCTCCCTGAGCGCCTGAACTTTATCTTCAGCTTCTGTCATCCCTAAGTTTCTTGCTTCCTCTTCAATGGCTCTCTGCTCTTCAAGGGTCATGCGGTATGACCTATTTGATGCGGAATGATCAAATCCTGCTCGACCCTGTAAAAAACAGTAGAATATTAAAGTGCTGAAATACGAAAGACGAAAAACAGACTAGCATACCACTGTATTCCCTACTTGAATTATTCCTGAGGACAATGGACACCCCTCCACAAGACAGGAATAGAGCAGAAATCTTACATGTATCAAGCTCTGACGCTTTAAGTGATAAAATAGAACCATCTAACAAATAAGCAGCCATTTAATGTTTTTCATTGCCCATGGTAGGAAATGTTCAAAACTCAAGTGGAATCACAAGCCACCACAGAATGGTTTCTATGGTATGAACCATGACTGTACAGAGAGTGGCAAACAGTATTATTGTCTAATTGCTTTAAAATTATTCATCCACTTCTAGCAAGCTAATTTTATTGTTAAGTAACATGCGAAAGACAGAGAAACAAATTGTGACATTTATTACATCACTTCCATAGCCTACATTCTCACAGATCATATTTCCCAGCCAAATAACTGTCATTTATAAGCGCCCCCTACCCCACTCTCCCAGATATAGGTTCACCTACCTGTTAACAAAAAAATACAGCCAATTATGAGCCCCCCAACACCGCCCTCCCAGGCTTTTATTGAAATGAATTCGATTTTCTGAGAAGTTTTCAAGCTTAATTAAAAGCCAGTACAGTGGGACTTGAGTAAATAGTCAGGATAATCGAAAGACCAGATAATCGAAAAGTCCAGATAATCAAGGTCCTGATAATCGAGGTTCGACGGGCATACAAAACATATTTTGATCAGCAATTCTATTTTTGTAGCTTGTTTCGAAGCACTTTTTCTATTCCGGTTATAATCTCGTCCTAAGCCCCTCTGTTTATAAGCCCTCCTAAAACCTGTTACGAAGACATGTACGCCCAGGGCCTTTAAGTAGCAGTTTACAGTGGTGCTCAAGAAATAACTCAGTTCTTGTAAAAAATCACTGTAGGCACCATAAGTACTGCTATAGATGAGTGTATACTCACTATTTCCATTATGAATTATTTAGTTTATCATTTTTTAACACCGATGGACTTACCCCACAAGATTGCTGCTCATCCTCCATCCAAGGTGGTGTCAAGTAAATATTCTCCTCTGATGGTCGCCTGGAGTTTTCCATTGATCTTGTTTTACGATACTGTGCAGCAAAGTCCTAAATACACAAATACATTACTTGAGCACCAAATTACATTTGTAAATGTAGCTTTGCTGCAGAATTATCCATAATCTCTGATAACACCCAAAACTTGGTAGAATCCCCCAGTTTCTTCAACTCCTGATACAGAAGTCAAACTGACTACTTCTTCTTCCCTCAGTCAAATACTGTCACACGACACAGCCAAAACAACTCAAAGTGGAATGATGGATTATTATGAAGTGGACACATGCTGCACAATATTATATGAACTGTAATAATATTGTTTACCCACGAAACACTTATGAGTTCTTAATAATTCCTTTTTTAAAGGTGTCCCTGTGTTCCAGATTGAATTGGAATAATTATTGGAAATGCATTGTTGTTTTTTGAGAAGAGAGGCAAGGGAGAGAACCAACAACAAACTCAATCCACATTTGATGTCAACATCAGGATTTGAACCCAGGCCAAATTGGTGGGAGATGAATGCTCTTACCACTTTCTCACTTACATCATACACACCATAAGCCTGTTAGGAAAAAGCTTAATCTTATCTTGAAGTATGGATAAACGGATGTACGTATAAAAGGGATTGGGTTGGCCATGACAGCTGCAAATAATCTTGAAAACCGGTTCATGTTTCTTTTATTCATTACAGCAGTATTAACTCATGCCTATGGTACATTTGGGGACTTCATAAACTATTATTTTCTGGAACAATATGCTTCAAATCACAGTATAAAATAAGGGTTAAAAACCAAAAGAAGTTTGAAGATTTCTGTATGACTCCAATAACTGAAGAGAGGTACTGGTCATTTTTCCCAACAGCACAAAAAGATGTTTTACTCACTCTTGTGGAATCCACTTCATCTTGTTCATGCCAGGGAGGTGGCTGCTGACCAGCTTGGCGCATTCTTTCCTCCATTACCATGTTATTGATGCTGAAATTTTTTGCTACTGGCTGTTCAGTAACTGGAACAAAATCCTGGTAAGAAAAAAAAACAGAAATTTCCTTTCATTAATTTTCTATTCTAAGTTAACTGACATGCACAACTCTAAATGTAAATGAACACAATCACAAGTGTGGTTAAAAGGATGCTCAGGCAACGACGATAATGACATAAAAGTGTCATAAAAGCAATACGTTTAGATAAGCAAAACAACAACTTTGCACGTGCATCTTGCTTTTTGTACACTTCTTTCTTTGATGTTGTGGAGGACATGAACACAGGAAAACTTACACACAGTCCTTTAGAAATCAACTCAAGACAAAATTCACCAACAGTTTACAAGCTGAAGGACAAGGAACACATAATGTTGAATTTTGAAGCAGAGTGAATTAACTTTTTGAGAAATGTTTTCACCATCATCGTTCTTATTACTATTTTAAGCTTCCTAATGGGTATTCGAGAACAGAAAAACAACTGGGCTGAGCTGCTGACATCATCAAATGTGTGTTTGGTGTTAGAGATTACAAAGTTTGTTTTTGTTTTCTGTAATGCAGCTATCTAGTAAAATTCAGAAGTAGGAAACTATGTCTTCTGAGAAAAAATAGTTCTTTGATAATTGAATCAAAACATGGAAAGAAAAAAAGTATTATGCACTTTAAAATGACCTTGCTTACTGTAAGTCAAATGTTGCCCTCCCCAACTTACTGAACAAAGTTGAAAGAAAACTTAGGTGTTTTTCAGGCATGGTATGTCTTATGCAGGTGTATGTACCAGAATTTCAACAATTCTTATATCTGCCAAAACTTATCAAACAATATGTAAGACAAATAGCAAGAATTCCAAGACATGCAAACCTGAAAATGACAACTTCATTAAAGTGGAGGAACCCCGGGGATGGAAGAACACTTCGTATATAAAAAAACAATTAGAGCATCACTGCAAATAATGTATTCTTCTTATGCTCTGTCACATGGGTGTTAAAAACATTGTTAACTGAAGAAAGGTAAATTTTCACATTTTCACTTTTTAGTGAATAATTCTGATTAGGTTGAAATTAGTCAGATAGACTCTTACCCTTCAATAATTATCAAGCCAATAAAACTTTATGGTATGGCAGTGGGGAAATGTTTTTAATTACATGATGCTTAGTACTATTACTATAATTGTTACTTGGATGCCAGTAAATTGAAGTGAATTAAAACTTCTAAATGTTCAAGGCAAATTTCAATACAAGTTGATTGAGAACAAGATGAGTACGCACAAGTGAACAAGGAATGACTTATACTGTAGATGCCAATGTCGTATAGTAAATAACAGTATATAACTCACTCCAACAGGTCCATCATCTTCTTCATTCCAGGGTGGAGAAAGGCAGAGATGCTCATCAGAGGGAAGTCTGCTTAATTGCTGGCTTGCTAAGCCTGAAGTAGGCTCTTGTTTACCAGTGGTTCGGCTGAAATCCTGAAAGTTTACATGGCACAAAGTATAAGATTTACTGCAAGGTTTTTTTTGCACACAAAAACTTCAAAATAACATGGTTTGGAGGATATACAACAATTTATTTAGAATAATTTATTTTGCTTTTTGATCATATTATATGGAATTCTTTTTCATCTGAACGTCATTTTGAAGACAATTTATCAGCTAAAATAGAAGTCACCAAATGAATGATAACAAACAATCCACTCATAAGTTACCACTAGAGATGGCCAAACCTTGGCCATCTTAAGGTCTCCATTGTCAGTTAAATTATCTCTACTCTCTAACATGGGTACCCTCAAAACAGTGTTGGGATCCAAATCAATAACAACAAGGCACTTCACAAGTGCAACGAATAGACTACCAACCGTACAGCTGTACTAGATAATCACTGTACCACATTTATGCTAAGTTAGTGCATTTAAACAATTCTCTGAGCTTTAATAAAATTATATACACAAGTATACCAAAGAGAAAGGATAAAAATCTTAATCCCATCAAAATTTAAATTAAACCTTAGAAAAATCCAGGAAAACCAGTTCTTACTCTGACTGAATCAACTTCTTCATCGTGCCACAAAGGAGGTCTTCGTATGTGTTCCTCGGCAGCTCGTTGATAGATCACTTCATCAGTTCTTTCCATATATTTTTCTTCCTTCTTACGATCATTACCTGTAAAATCCTGAAAAAATCATTCAAGATTTAGTCATGCAGCAAGAACAAATCCATTCAGTATAAGATACTACAAACAACAATGTACATGTACTCTGTCATAAACTTTGTCTCTAACTTAAAATTTGCTGAAAAAATAAGGGTCATACATAAAGGTTTGGTGCATGTAGACATGAAGAAAACTGTCAGCCATTACTTCATGTATCGGTGAACTAGAAACTACTCTGTATTGTTCGTAGCAATATTATTCATTATTGCTCGAAGAGAATTAAATCTATAAACACACACTGACTTTGTTTATCTTATGACCAGCAGCTTTGATAACAGAGCTACATGTACTGTATTACTGTCACTGTACCGTACCTTTAGTGAGTCAACATCATCTTCATCCCACACATGAACATCAGGAGTTTCCCTGTTAGACAATGACTTGCCTTTTCCTAACTGAACTGGGTTTTGCCCCCTTTCACTGGCACCAAAATCCTAGTTTGAATGGAACAAAACCATGAAATTTAAAAACTGACAAAGGTTAACAGAGCATCTTTTCAATTTGCAGCACAGAGTTAGCCCTTCTGTGCTTATGTCACATTGTACGAAGTCAATACATTTCTTCCAAAATGACAATGCAAATATTATCAATGTCATGCTCTGTGATTTCATTTAAGAAAATTCACAAAGCGTGACCAACTTGTCCTGTAATCATCACTGTGGATTGTTCTCCTTTAAAAAATATCTGATTATAAAGGGAACAATAACTGACTATTTGAAATCCTAAACTATGACACTGAAACTCAAAAAACTGTTTATACCAGAAAGATTTCCCAAATGTTATTGCACTGCAAGGAAATGCCAATCAGGTGTGAGAAAACTAAACCACAAGCAATAACGATAATGTTAGTTTGAACTTTTGTGGCTTGCTCATTTTTTCTGATCATAATTGTGATTGGTCAAAATACAATATTCATCATGCAGCATGCAAAGAAAGTCTTGTCCAATAGGCCAGTGGATTTTGCGTGCTCAGACTCAGTCTTTTTGGGAATTAAAAAAATTGCATGAGAAAAACATGTACTTTGTCTTAAAAGACAAATTGAAAAATCCTTATTTTTCAAGTTGATCATTAATTTTGTAAAAACAAGTATTGCATTACACTTCAGGTGAATGTGTGGTGCAATTTATCAATAAACTTTGATCAATTATCATTAGTCCTGTTCATCAAGAATTCTTTTTGGGCTAGTCAAAATGACTCTTGGGCTAGTACATTCTAGCTACAGCTTAACCCAAGAGCAAGTGGTAAAACTGACTTTCTTTTCACCCTGACATAATTACTGAAATGTTCAAGTTGTTCATGGTTTTCTGAGTTTGACTGGACATATTAGAGTCATGCCAGCATTACCTTTACAGAATCACTTGTCTCTTTGTATGCAGACTTAACCAATGCATCAATCTTCTCCTTGTCCAAAGGATGTCTATACAACTTTGGTGATGGACTACTCTTTATGCTTCCCCCTGAGCTTGTATTTCGTGGCAAACAAGGCACATTTACTTTAGGAACAGGACTGTCAGTGCTTCTTTTCATGACAGGGCTTTGGGTTGGTGCAACACTGGGATGTAACATGGGGCTACTTTGTTTCATGGCCAGAGTCTGGCCTAGACTAGCTGTAGGAGGAGCTGATGTGGGAACAGTCCTTGGAGACATTTTCTGTCTTGGTAACTGGCCATTTGCCATTTTCTTCTAAAACATAGATTACAAAACTGTTGGTTCTAACACTTGCTCTAGTTAAAAGTCATTATCAGTGGTTTCATAAAAAAAGCAGCTGCCAGTACTACGTTCTCTTGCACTCTAGTTGGCTAGCTCTGATATCTTCTTCAAAAGCTACCAAAAACACTGCATATAAATTATTCATGTACAACAAACAACTGTGATCTCGCAGAGAGAGAGGTAATTTGCATGCTCAAGCAAGGTCTGCCACATGAAAAGGTACATGTAAACTATGGGCTACAAGTTACATATTTCTACCTACAGTGTATATTATGACAGAAACCCAAACAGAGAAAATTATCTGAGAAAATGTTCTAGAACACAAGAAAAAGAAAACCGGGTTAAATTTAACCCCGGGTTAAGCCTTAATCAGCCTTCAAACAACTCGGCCCAGCATGTGAAGTGCCAAGATTTAGACTGTATTATGCTTCTGCGGTAAAACAAAACATGCTGACCAGGCATAGCACAGATAAATAATGCAAATGAACCAGAAGGAACGATAAGAGTTAAGCAAGTAACCAAAAAACCCGAACCTTCAGGGCTGTGCTCCAGTGGCACCTGGTACCTTGTTTTGCTCTTGAGCGATTACAAAATCACAGTTTTTCATTTCAAAAAATAACAAGCACGGGGTATGCTCGTTTTTCACAGGCTTAGAGTACTGGGCTCTCTTTAATTATTCTTAGAGCACGGCCTTGATTTTAACACTAAATTTAAAACTGAAGAAGCAACCAGCCCTGCTTGTCTAAGGATCGGAGAGACCTCTTTTAACTTACTGCAGATTGATGCTGATTAACTAATGTTTCCACGTCACTTCCTACAGATTCCTCTTCTTCTGACAGCTCCCACCTAAACAGAACACAAGTGTCAAGCTGCGCATGAATTTATTTAATTTCAGCAAGCAAAACAATTTTTCTTAAACGGTTACTGGGCATTTCTAGTTGTGCTGTTAACCTGAGCTGCAACAGTACTCATTTACATGTAAGAAACTGGCTTCCACACCCGAACATTCAATTGATGCACATTGTAAGTCTTGAACCCCTTTCATACAAAAAGTTGACTCAGATAGAAGGGTCACTCTCCCAGCTGAGGCACCTTTATAGGGGGTTTAAATGAGAAAAAGCACTGTTGGCTTGGGCAATTATTGCCTGAGCTAACGGCGCTCGCACATCCTTTGACTCGGCTAGGTGAGCCAAAGGGTTTATGTGGAGAAAAGTTGGCCTGGCTAGGAGGGTGACCCAGTACCACCACAAAAGGGTAACACAGCTAGGTGGGCAACCCTTCTAGCTGTGCTAACATTTTTGCTTCTCATGTAAACTGTTCTGCTTGTGTTGTAAGGCAATGTATGAAAGGTTGAGTCACCCAGGGTAGCTCAGGTAGGTGGGTGACCCTTCTACCATGGACAGCTTTTCTCCACACAACCAGACCCTAAGAGAGACACACACCCAGCGTTTACAGGTATTTTGAACTCGGCCTTTTGAACCTAAGCTTTGATTACTTGGGCCTGCTCTTTCTAAAGAAAAGGATTTTATGCCTGTTTTTGATGCCCATGTATGTGTCTTATTCATTGTATCAAAAAAACTGAGGGGCTTATATACAACTTTTACTCTGAGGCCACGTCTTTACTCAGCAATTGGCATTAAATCAGGAAAATATGGTACATGTTTTGATATAAGCAAGTAACATAACTGCTCAATCAAACACAAAGGTCAAGAGAGTAAAAAAAAGTTATCAAGAAAGATAAAAAGGAAGAAAGAACTGGTTTGAGATTTTTGGCTGAACTTAAAGTGAAAAAGTATTTTCATCTTTAAAAATGAAAAAAGGTCAAGCTGCTGTCACTGATGCTACTTGATTTTAAATAATGAAAAACTGTGTTACATTATCATTCTTAAAGAAATAAAAACAAAAGAATTGTTTCAATGGAGCTGACAGCTAAAGGACATTGATCTTAGAACTTACAGACTATCAGTACGGTAAATAAATACTGCTATAAACTGATGAAAGACAGTTTTTTTAATACTTGTAAAGAGCTTTTATTTGCAGACTACAGGTCATGTAGATAACTATACATTTATCGTAATCACAATTAGAAACCACATCTACTTACCTTGGAGTTTCTCTAACATCGAGCTGGTCAATATTTCTATCAAAAATATCATCTAAGCAAGAATTAAATAATGTCTGATTAATACATTGGTATTATTCATTTAACTCCAGAAATGTTAATTCTGGTGTTTGTATGCAGCAGTAAGTGAACAGGCAGTCAAATAGACGTAGCGTACATGGTATCCCATCACTTCATTCTATGGTCAGACCATCCAAGCCAGATCCTTCCAATTTATCATTCAACAATATAGTCAGAACCTTTCACGAGCCTTAAAGCCACAAGCAGAAACAAGGGTGTATACCTCATTCTTTGAGCTAAGAACCCAAAACAAGCGTGCTCCACATTGAGTTTTACACTGAAACTGTGAAACGATATGACTATAAAATGGAACAATGTGGCTTGGAATGATCTGACCATGGAACATGTGACAACTAACAAGCCTTTTCATAAATTAATGCTTGGGGTTGGTGATAGTTGAAAGTTATCATTACTGCTTGAGTGTTACTTCAAAGTCAAGTATTATTTGCTTTCCACCAGGAATACTTAACATTGCTGTTAGGAGAGAACTTAAAGGCATTTCAGTCTAGCAAACAGCATTTTTTTTTTAAGGTCATAAGGAAATAATTTTTACTTCAACACCCATATTTCAACCAATCAGATGACTCTAAAGCGGGAACCACGAATCTAAAACTCAAGCATTATACATGTATATAATATTTTTAAAAGCTGTTATCATAACTCTTTACACTTCTGCACCAAAGAAGTATAAAGTTGTCATTTGATGTGGTAGATTTCTCGATACAAGCAAAGCCTAATAAAACAGAAACCTTTTTTTAAACTGATCGCAAAAGGTACATTGGAATGCTAATCCATGTAAAAGAAACAATCAAAGACTGGATAGACAAATGCAAAGGAATAAAATTATTCTTGCCGCTTTTAATGAACCCGTCTACTGTTTCAACTTGTTTTGAATACCAAAAACACTACTCGATGAAAACAAAATGCGTTCGACCAGATAAAAAGAACGCTGACAACAAAACTTTCGCATTTGACAAACTCAGACAAACTGCTCATGGCATCGTCGAAAAAGGTATGCATCTTAAGTTGGAGATTTGAAATGATGCTCATTAGAGAAATCCAACGAGTAGGTAAAGAGGACTTCAAATAAAGAAATTAGAAAACCATCTGTTTAGCGCATTCACAGAAAAAATGTGCGTGATTTACTTTGCTGAAATCATCAAAGTATCATGCTACACTGTATGTCTCTAGTACTCATATCTAGTCCATTTCAGCTCAAAACACGTACAAAGCGACTATAAGACATGAAGAGAGTGTTAGCAACACGAGCAAATTTCCAAAAACCAAAACACCACAGTTAGTATCTTAACTCCCAAAGCTTATCAGTTAGAATAGTGCTTACCTATTTCGTCGACTTCCATAGCACACTGACTTGGTTGCTTTTTCTATGATAAATCACTGGCTTGATCAGAACCGTACACCGTTCTCCGAGATGCGCGCATTCGAAAGATATGGTTTCCAAAGCACTTCAACAGCGATTAAAGTATGGCGGCACTCTCAAAGAAGAACATCGTAAGATTATATTGCCGACAAGCTGGAAGAGGGCCGACAAATTGTTCAATAAAACACCTACACTTTCCGAAAGAAACACCGACAAAGGAATGATGGCTACAACTTCACCGACATGAAAAAGACACTTTACCAAAGATGCACGAGACAACACGCAACAAACGTAAACAAAATATCCAACGCTTGATTTCTAACTCATCGGCGACAAAGGTTTCCGTATTTCATTCAAAGATAATCGTCATGAGAAGCCCTCCATGGTCCAACAACAACAAAGTCGCGCCGACATGTTTTGCAAATGAAGCGTCTAGGTACATCCTGGACCGTTAATTGATGGGGCTGACTGGGAGGAGTGACATAGGGCTATCGTTCCCAGTCCTATCGGCCGGGGGTTGGAGTCGAACCTCTCAGGTGGGGTGGCCGTTATGGGGAGGTAGGGGTGTAATATGACAATTTTTTTTAAGGAGTACGACCTTTTTATTGTGCTAAGTTCATGCTTACTGTATCCTTAAATATGGTACCGTGTGGCACGAAATTTTTGTGGGTTCTGATTTTTGTGATTTCTGCTTTTTTTTTTCAGCGATACGCAAAAATAAGTTCCCGCAAATAAAAATTACGGCAAAAAATTTTCCCGCAAAAATTTACTGCAAGAGTAAATATTTTCTAACTTAAATTCACTACACAAAAATACAGTACTAAGAAATTGTATTTTTGAAGCAAGGACAAGCTTACAAAAAAGAAGGACCAAAAATATAAAACAAAAGACGCATGGCTGATTACAGTCAGGAATATATATTCGATATATTTTTTATCAACATTTCGGAAGGCAGGGCCTTCCTTCCTCAGGGTCTTACATATAATGAAAAGCCAGTTCAAGCTAAGACATTACGATTTGAAATATTTCAAATTGTAAAGTCTTAGCTTAAACCTTTTCATTATATGTAAGATCATGGAAGACCCTGAAGAAGGAAGGCCGTGCCTTCCGAAATATTGGTAAAAAATATATGGGATATATATTCCTGACTTTAAAATCAGCCATGCTTCTTTTGTTCTAAGAAACTGTGTCTGTTCAATTACAACTTGTCTTTTTCGTTCAGAAACAAAGCGCTATAAAATGAAATACTGACGCATACCGTAGTATTGTTTGAAAATATGTATTTCTATAACACGCACTCAATGAAAACGAAAATATTGTCAATACTGGGTACTGGGTACTTCCTGAAAATCGCAAAAATTAATTCCCAGCAAGAAAAACCAGTCTCTCCTAATCGGAAAAATTAGTTCCCGCAAAACACAAAAAATCGCCAATCCGTAAAAATAAACTGCAAAAATTTCGTGCCATACGGTAATTGAGTCATAAATAATGTATCGTAGACAATCTATGTTTTTTGCAGCAGTATAAATGGAACACAATTAAAATACGATTGCCTCGATTAATCATCAACACGCCATACGCCGGGATCAAATTTTATCACTATCGGCATCAATCGCTGTAAAAACCGGCCGTTGTCGAGGGGTTATTTTGGCAGTCTGGGACACGCTTCAGTGGCCGTTTCTATTGTAGAGAGGTTTAAACAAGAGCAGGAGCCTATGACAATGTATAGACTGGACAAAAAAGTAGCCATTGTGGAGAGGTGGCTGTTAGTGGAGGTTAGACTGTGATACCAAACTGAAATTCTGCGAGCATTTATTCATTGGTGAAAAATATATCGTTATATTAATACTCACAGAAAACAAATTATAGTAAACAACCTTTGTTTTTAAAGGAAAAAAGGATGTTATCTTCATAGAAATTTATTACAGTTATTTTTTCGTCTCTCTTTTCTCATCATATATTTATTTATCGAAGAGGCAACATCCAGGACGGAGCAAGTTTGAGAGTGCCGGACCAGGCGGGGCTCTTCAAGCCAGGGTTAATATGTTTGGGGGTCCGGGGGCATGCTCCCCGAGAAAACTTAATTTTTTGGGTGTCCTGCCAGAGCTCGGGTGGCAGGGAAATGCATCTGGCTATCATAGAATTAATGCGCCCAATTTTAAGGATTACATTGCCACTATGGCTAAGATTGATTATAGCTTGCAGCAGTCAGAAAGCTGGTACCCCTAGGATAGACCAATTTCGATATATTAAAATATAGACTTGGCACCGAGGCTTAGGGGAAGAAAAGAAAATTAAAGAAATTTATTATTCATTGCTGAGTCTCAAGATGACTTCTTTTTTATTATTCCCCCACATCGCTGCCAAGTCTGAATTTTAATATATCGAAATTGTCTATCGGAAAAGGTAAAATACTGCAGGAATCTCAAAATCTTTAGGCCATGTCCTTGATACAGCGCTGACTATCAGTTTTCCAAAAGAAGTATTCTGAAAATTTATTTCCTTATAATGTGGGTTTAGACGTCTCGCTCGCTTTTGTCCCAGAAAAGATATAAAAATCTCCCGCTCGCGATTCGAGCTCAGGAAAAATCTTGAGCTCTAAGCTTGTCATAAAAAAGACTTTCTAAATTAAGCTGTTGTTGAATGTTTCATTTTAGAACGAAAACATAATGTAAACGGCCGATTGCCGTAAAATTCATCGTGACTTCAGAACAACAATTAACTTTGCCTGAGTAGCTGGCGGTTTGTTTGCCTGGCGAGAGGGCCAATGAGTGGCGAAGCTGAGAAAATGAACCTTGAAGCCCCACTTTTGGCTTTGCCGCTCATTTGCGCGCTCGACAATCAAAACTGCCAGCGGCTACGCTAGCCTCCCACGCGGCTACAGCTACGTGCGCAGGCTACAGTTTAATACATACCGTAACAGAAAAACAACGACAACCTGGCTCCTATTAAATTATGGCGCTGTTTATTACATACAAGCAGTTCTAGGAAGTACATACAAAAATACGCTACATTTATAAGGATTTAGTACAAAATTTAACTAGCAGACGTACACTTGTCATAAAAGACGATGAGAGGAAGTGAGAAAGATATATTTTTCATGCATAGCATCGAACATTCTACAATATATAAAAGTGTTTTCTTCAAACATATTTTCGTAACGTTTGGGACTGGAACTTTCACGAGAAATGAAGAAAAAGAGCATCTACCTGCACTGGCCTGCAGTGAAACAATACCGTAATACGTTTTAAAAAGCGGCTATTGCACATTTACGAGGTTATCCAGTACTTATATAAAAGACGAAAAACAAACATGAAAAATAAAAATAAAGGCAAATAAATAATTTCTACAACACCAAGTACATACATGAAATTCACTTTCAAAATGTATAGAAATGTCTCAACACCTTATTATTACTCTGATTTTGCAACCGTTTCTTGACACAGCTTGCATATGAAAATTCAGTTCATTTAAATTTTAATTCCAAAGAGGAACTTTTTTACAATATTATTATTGAATATTTTTGTTGCATATATATATTACTTTTCTGGTCGGCACGATGCAATTCGGCAAACGTGACGTCGGAAACTTGCCATTAACGGTGGCAAGAGTCAATTCATATTTCCGACAATATCTCAGTAAGACCCTCACATGATTGGCTCAAGTTTAACCGAGTTCTCTACTGGGTCAGTTAATCGTGCAACCACATCTTGTGTCTCAAGTTAACAACAGAGACAACATATTGCCCTCCTTCTGAGAACAAAAATGTAGTTTAATATTATATAAGGACGGCTTTAAAGATTTCTCGTTGATTACAAGACACGTATAAAAAAACTCTCAAAATGGAAGGCAGGTGATCGCGTTGAAAAATGCTGTGGTCTTGAGGTGCAACACACGGTGCCGGCGTACATGTGGTAGTCAGTTGGGTTTACATCACACTACACACGGAACTTTTGGCTGCACTAGTCTGCCTTGCAGAGTTCTGACGCTGCAAAATAATCAGGTAAAGAGATACAGAATGAACATGGCAGGATTATGAGAGTTACATAATGTTTTAATTGACCCTTCAATCCCGTCATCCCGAAACCACCCGCTCGCTCGAACTTTTGTGCAATAACTCGAGCGGAAACGCTTGCTACGCAGGCTATCTTGCGTGTTAAGGGATGCCTCGGTGTCATTCGCAGGCCGAAAAAATCTTCGGCTCGAGCGGCGAAGCGGGTTACCATAAAGACTTGACCGAAACCGGAAACGGCGCATGAAAAGTCTCTGTCACCCAGGATATCCCATGGCAAATTTTCGCTCAATCCCATAATCTCGTAATTATTCACAGCATTCTGCATCCCATGCACTGACTTTCAATCCCGAATCACGCCCCGACTTTACTTTAAAATTCCGCATCCCGGCACATGTCGGATCCCCAACAAAATTATCGGGGACTCTACCATGTTGGTGGTTTCAGTTCCATTTACCCTGGGTTTACTTGCCCACTCTACCGAAAATTACCGATCGTTATTAAATGCCAATATTTTTTCCTTAACTTTTCTTTGAGGTTAAGATACTAGCGAGGCGAGACGCTAAGAGCTGATAGTTCCTTTCTTCTCAGTCTTACCGACTTCGATGGTGCGAACAGCAACTATTTTTTTCATTACAAATGGCCGCTTGGGATGTAACAATAGCTTCGTTAAAATGCCATATTCCGGTTTTCAGGGGTTTTGAACACATAAGCTCAGAGAAAAAACGTCCTTAAACAGGCGCACGGTGGATTAAACTTCTTCACGGTTTCGGTATGGTTTGTCGATTTAAAGCTCGAAAAATCGATTTGACACCTGAACTTTGATCTACTCAGAAAATAGAGAAATACAGAAATACAGATTACAGATTACCAGAGAATGGCAAGCCTGTGTTTTCCAAAAATTCACTCTGCGTCTCCTCCCACAATTCCCGTTCGGCGGAATTGAACACGAATATAGTCTGCGTCGTATAGACTCAGCGGAGAACTGCTCGGTCCGTTTAATCCACTTGGTAGATTTATAGGCTACTTTGTAGATAAAACAAAATTATATATAAAAAAACCATCAGCTTACCTTTTCCTTCGCCTGTTGCCTCAATTGTTCCTTTAAAAAAAGATAAAAAGAAAAAAAACGTCGCTAAAAATCAATTTCACAAAAGGGTTAGGGTTAGGGTTGTCTTTTCGTTTTGTCAAAAAAACATGTGTAGAATTATACGTTATTAACTGAACCGTATAAAATTGTTCCTTTCCATAAACGTCAAAACTAGCAAACGAATTGAAAAAACCCGCACTAGCTATACCCTAGCCTGTTCACAGACCCTCTATTTTCCCTTCGAAATCCGTCGAGCGCGCGTAATAAAAGATAAAAACTGTGGGGGATTAGTCTGTGTACAGACCCGTCTGTACACAGGCTATGGGGGATTTATTGACCGCCATCGCAAGGGGGTAGAGGAGACAGGCTAGCTATAGCCAAATGTTTAATGCTAATAACAGTTCGATGGACGATACATGAAGTACATTTGTACCGTACCAAGACAGCTCAAAAGAAATGAACAATACCGTAAAGAGCATCATGATATTTTTTTCTTTTTTCAAAGAATAATACAAGAATATTTTCAGCCTAAAATCGGCAGAAAAATAAGAAAATTCAACCTCGGCCGGAAAAACAACATCCTTATAAAAAAAAAGAGTGTATTGGCCTCCAAAGCGCCGCGCAAAGCCAATTGAAATACAGGATTTGTTACATTTCAGCCCGCTCGGGAAGGCTGAAATAAAATATATATTTTTTGTCAGGTATTTCACAGATGACCCAAGGTCGAAATATGACCATCAGCACTGTTGCGTAACGTTCAAAATATAAGGAATTGTATGAGAGAAAAAACAATTGTTTCTGCAGCCCACGAATGCAAAAGACTTAAGGTATTTGCACAGGCAAAAATTCATGTTTCAGAAATCAAGTTTTTTTCAGCCCGTTTATAGATTATACCACCTAATATTGAAAAAGTAACGTTTTATCTCAATATTCTTGCAAATTTAAATTCTACGCTTTGTCAAAGTTTTGCATTTTTACCGGAAGTGACTTCTACAGACCGAGAAAGAGGCTGGGTCGGTTACTAGGAAAAAGTTGAGTATGCATAAAACTCGGCTAACAGAGAGAGTAGACCAGTTCCAATGTCCTGACCCATTAAACGGCCATAAATTACCCTGGGTACCAGAGGTTTTTCTCGAACAATTGTTTTTCTCCCATAAAATCCTTATATTTTGAACGTTACGCAGCAGTGTCGATGGTCATATTTCGACCTTGGGTTACCTGTGGTTATTTCTAACGTTTCCTGTGTTACGCACACAAACCATAAACGTTAATCCACAAAAATAGATTTTAACGATTTTGGAATCGCAGAAAATAACTATGGAAAAGTTATTTTCCAAGAATAAAATACAAATATGCTAATGTAACCAATAATATCATGTAGTATGCGCAGGGGATCGCGTTCGATTCAAGGCAGTGAGCTTGTAAACACAGACTTTTGCGAAAGACAAATTTGGTTCGGAATTTTTAATAGCTGCGTGAGGGGAAAAGACAGGCGAAAATAAGGGAGCATACCGAGACACAGACGGAGCCCGGTGGCTGAGGGCGTTACACTACGGGTATGCCTGTAAGAAGGAGTGCGTTCCATTGATCGCATTCCGGAATAAGAATACGGAAAGGTTTTCTTGCAAATCTCTTGTACTAACCTTGTACCATTTCAGTCAAGAGTTTATTCCCCTGATTCTTATTCCGGAATACGGTTAATCGATCATGCTCAAGGATATCAGTGGAAAAAAGAAATATTTTAACAATGTCCAGCCCACCTGCTGCATACGAGCCAACTGCTCCTGGAGAGACAACACCACATTGAAGTTATCTTGAAGTTTGTCGCATTGCTGAAAACAAACGAACAGAGAGTTACACAAACACATCGAACATTGTTTACTAGACAATCCACTCAGGGCCAGTCAGAATCGAAAAAAAAAAAAATTAATGTGTGGAACGGGTGTCTGGGGGGGGGGGATAGCGCCGGGGAATGGTTTTTACTGTGGACTGCTTTAAAACGTCGCCCGCAATTATTGAGCCAATCATATGGTTTAGCAATGCAATGCAAATGCAGTTACACAATGAAGACGGCTTTAAAATCACATTTCTTTTGAAAATATAGCTTTCTGAGACTCTTACTCCACAGAATAACAGTCGCAGTCTGTCTCACCTTTGACAATTCCATTTTTAAGCTTAAGACTTCGTGAGACAATTTTTCCTCAATCTCCTGAGAACGAGAAAATGGAGGACACCGTCAGAAATCTCACATTTTCTACTGTAGTGTCTCAAAGAAAGAAAAAAGGACTACATTCTAACCTTAGCTTCCTTTTGTTGCTCGTCCCGGGACTTCTCAGCCAGTTGCAGCTCCTCTCGATGCTGTTGAATTTTCTGTTCATACTGAAAAGTAACCAAAATAACGGAAAAATTCAGTTCATTTCCAGCATAATCGGAAATGAGAATTTCTTCAGTGTTACTAACCTCTTCCTTTTCACGCTTAAGTCTGTTTATTTCTTCCTGCAAAGTCGCTTGTTTTTCAGCAGATTCACGGCGAAGCTCTTCCAACGCCTGTAGAGATGCAAATGAGCGGCAATTTACGCGCGTGGCTACAAACATTACAAAAGTAACATTAATTATGTATAACAAGTCAAAATAAGCAAAATAAAAAGGCTAGTTGGCAAAACAATATAAAACACTTCCAAGTTGTTTTTGTGACGCGAAACATATTGTTAACACCATTTTGAACTGAAATTATTTAAAGCTTGGCTACAAAAGCTAACAGGCAGTGAATTCCAACAACATTCTCGGGATTACCAATTCAAATTAAAATAAGGAAGAAGACCAGGGAGTTAAGGAAGAAAGATACACATTGAAGATAGAACGATAGAAACCATGTACAAGAAATAATGAACAAAAATTGAAAAAAAGAAATTGAGCAAAGAAATAGCTTGATTGAAAAAAGGCTTTTACCAATTTCATTTTGCGATTTGATGCATCTCAGGTGATAAACAACGCGGCATTTAAGCATTTCGCCGAATATTCACCAGCTCGCCAAGGGCCCAAACTGAAGGCCTAAATAAGCAAAGAGTATAACTGCGCAAAAAGAAGAGAAAAATTGCCCAAAATCCACTAAGATTTTGAGAAAAATAATAATGAAATAAATATACCTGATCACGCCGAGTATTCGCCGAACGGGAATCGCTCGACGCCATTTTCCCACCAGCCCTGTAATTCAAATTGAACAGAAACAAAACCAACTCTTAGCGTTTAAGTTGTATGGCCCGAGGAGTTATACAAAGAAAAAATTGCCTCCGACCACAAGTTAATAAAAAAGGTTAGGAAGAAGTCAAAACATGGGTATACTCACCATAAAAAATGCAATTTGTTCACACTTCTTCTACATTTGTTTTGCTTCAGTGAATAAATTGAGTTTTACTATTTCGTTTTGCTTTCCTATCTTGATTAGCTTGATGAATAATTCTAGTTGGCCATGGTATTTTGCATTCTGAGAGTTCCGGTTTGTCGGATTACAATATGGACACTCACTTCTCAGTTTTCTCGAAGAAAATAATTAACCAAAAAGCACATTAAGTGGTTTCGGCAATTAGCTTTCCAGAAATTTCTGTTTGTAATGAATAATATCCGATCGGTATTGAAAATTGTGAGCATCTTGATTTAAACATCAAATTAATCAGAAATGGATGAATACAAATGGATGTCCGAGTCGTTGCTTCGCGACAATGGTAACAAACACAATAACACTGACACCATTAGCATGTAACAGAGGAAATGGATGCGTATTAGCAAAAAAACCATAACTGATTCAATTAAACGATTCAAAAGATTAAGCACTATTTTCATCTCTTGTGGGATTAAATATAGCATCCCATTACAAAAGCAATGAATCCATTAGTGAGGAATGTTTATAAAAACCTGAAGAAGAAAAAATCGTGTCAAAAATTAAAAAGAGTTTGCATAGCTTTGCTTGTCTTAAGTCGACAAAACTTGCGCAAATAATAGCAAAGCAGTACTCTTTTTCTCATCTTTTTTTTCAACTGACTAAAGCAAACCTTAGCTCGACCGGCTGACAATTTGTAACTCAGTGATTAAATTAATGATTTAATGTACAGAATTGTAATATTACAACCGTAAGTGTCATTAGAACTATGTCTGTGCGACTTTATTTTGCTTGGATATCATTTTGTAATACTCAGTCATGCTGATAGTTCTGCAAACTTTTAGATATACAATCAAGCTTTTATTGAGAAAGGGATATCCTCAATACACGCCAGTTTAATAGGGTAACAATAAATCTCTTCCGTGAAATTTGGCCTTCTACTGCGAAAAACATAAAACTACGCGCCTGAATGCGTCTTCCCCAGATATATTCACCATGGAACTACGGGAAGTTGAAAGAAAGTGACAGTTTCTGATTCAGAGTGGCTCTGAAATTTCGCGCGTAAAAGATGCGCAGCATGCGGCGAGTTACGAGGAAAACAAACTTATTTGTGAATACCTTCTTCCTCCGTAAGTAAAACAAGAAATACCGCGTAACATACATGTCCCGAACGCTGTTTTTCGCGCCATAATCAAGGACACAATCTTTCACGCAGTAAACAAGAGTTGGTAAAAACTACAAACAAAGAAGGAAAGGGCAACACAAAAAAGGAAGAAAAGTAACCGAGCTTCAGCCAGTGTTCAAACAATCAAGCGCGGCGGTTAAGTATTTGATTGTTATCCACTGGATAGATAGAGCAATTTTCAATTGAGTGTTGAAAGTAATCCAGGATTGAATTGGTTTTGCTTTACTGTGCTGTTTGATTGGTCTAGAAAACTCGCGCCACCCTCTCAGCCAATCAGACGTAAACTAAAACCAATCGCTCCTTGGTCACTCGCGTTTTCCCGCGCTACAGGCCGGTTACACGCGTTTACTTTGAGTTGCCATTGGCTCCCTCTGATTGGCCGTTGTGATTACTTTGGTTTTGGTTTTCGACACTCAATTGAAAAGCGCTCTATTTATCCGGTGGATCCCGGTGGGGAGCAATATCCAACTTATGAACAAGTAGTTTCGCGGGTTAGGTCCGGGGTTGATGAGTTGATGTTCCAATCAGAAAGAAACAAATTCTTACTTACCCTGCTCTCCTGAAAGGAGCCTGACTATTCCGCGCTCTCCCCACAGGTCTCCTGTGAAGCAGCAAATGACAAAATAACCGCGATCAGTTTAATATTTGTGTGAGTACGTATAAAGATTTAAAGAGTTTCGGCGCTTCTGACGGATTAACGCAAATTACAACCAACCAGGTTGCGGCCTACTATACAGCCACAGTAAAACGCAAAAGTTTTTTTTCATCTCAAGGCCGAAAATGTTTGGATTAGCACAAAGCCAAAAAATCAACAAAACAAGCAGACCATAGTTTTCGTCCATGAGTTCACCGTGTTCTGTTTCCTATAAGGTACGGCTACACCTACGCTACAATCTTGGACAAAATAGACCCCCCCCCACTCCCCCGCCATTCGCTCGGCTTCATACTTGTATTTCGGGAGGATGGGATTTGCTGTTCCACATTATTCTGTCCAAGATTGGAGCTCTTCGTTACAGTGGACACGCGTGGACATTTCACTAGTTATGAATCAACAGTCAGTATCTGTCATTACATACTAGCATTTGCATGCTCTACAAAGATGAGGTTACATTCGAAAAACGACATTTCTCGCCCTGTTAGCGCTATTCCAACAGTGACTGATGAACTGACCTGTACTCTTGATAACGATCCGAAGGTTTGGTCAAGGTTGTCTGGCGATCTCCAGCTCTCGGGGAACGAGGAGGCTGCGGTGAGGAGCTTCTAAGGCAAATTTGAACCAAGTGTCAATAAAATCTCACAACGGATACTGGGTTAACTCGACCATAATAATTGATTTCCGTGAGTAAGACCACCATTCTTATCCGGTTCTTATCATCAAGCCCAATCCCTTACCCTTTAATAACTGCGCTAATCTAGATCAAAACATTTGCCAACAAGACCGTTCAAATAGCTTTGAACTTGAAATAGAAATAAACAGCAATCTTATTACTTACCCGACACTTTTCTTAGCTGTTCGGGCGACACTAAAGGGGAAAAAAAGCAACAACGGTTAACGCCGAAATGTTCGCTTTATTACTATTGTGACTTACAACAAGTACACCAACGTCTGTGCTTCTATCTCGCAAGGTGACCTTTTATACGAGCGACCAGGATACAACCTTTTACGATACGGTATTTCTTGTCTGTAAAATGACCAACTGCTTATAAACCATAAACTGAATATGAGGCCTTCCTTAGGGGTTAGGGGAGAGGACCCCCCACCCCTTGAACTTGGTCTATAATTTTACGACTGATTCCTTATCGTCTCGCTCCAAGTTGCGTAATGAGATGTCCTTTATACACATTTCTTTAAAAACGTAGAAAAGACGCCAGGAGGCATTTCATGATGGAGAAAAACAGGCTTTACTTTCTGCATAACTCGGGCCAAATGAAACCTTTTAACTCCTCCACCTCCTTTGTCCTGGAGCTCCCGATCCCCGCCAAAATCATTAAACGTTTCCCGCAATTGGCAAACTTTTTCTTGGCTTAAACTGTTGAGAGCAGACTGACGAGAGATTAAACTGACGCTCTGTTCGACTGTCTAAAGCTACAGGATCATATCGACTAGCTTAAACTCTCACTCAGGTTTGCACAAAACATGCTCTAATTTCACAAAAAATATTCATAAAGATTGACCTTCCTCAACCTGTGACCAGAAAACTCAATAACTCATGCCCTTGCTTGAATTAGCCTAAATAACACATTCCTCCGGTACAACCTTTCGCAGCAATTTTCCGAATAGAGATCCAGAATTAACGCAAAATACAAGCAATTTCTGCGAGTCTTCCTTAGGCTTGCGGTAAGCTTTCCCTAAAATTTTGCTACACAAAGAATATCTTCTTAACAAAATTTGTGCCGGATTTCAATCAAGACACAACACTGAGAGTATCACGTACAAGCAAAATTAATCACTTACTCAAGAGCAAAAACAAGTAGGGATTATCCACGCATGGCGAGATTTTGACGCAGAATAACATACTGCATGTCACGTTACGTGTTCTCAAGTTCACCTGTTTATACCTGAGTAAAACTCTCTGCAATCCACTTTTTTCCCATTTGTACAATTAAGAGAGCTCAAAACTTACTCTAGAGACGTCTTGCGTGAGCCACTAGCGGCACCCCCTGATCCCTCACTCGAACTATTAAGTTTCTCCACAGGAGTCAACTCTACACCAGAATCCGACGGAGTTCTTTTCTTCTCATCAATAATGAGCCCATCTGAGGATGAACGCTTGTGTTTTGATGTAACAGGACTGCTGGCGGGACGAGGAAACACTTTGGATAAGTTCAAAGAAGATCCTTTATCTGAATCACCAGTACCCGGCGACTCAGAACCCACATTCTGTAAAGAAAGGCAAAAAATGAGCTGTCATCCTATCAATACACAGTGCGGCATGCAATCAGTTCCTATCGGTTTTTGTTGAATTTTTGAGAGTCTCGAGGATCTTTTAATGAACCACATAAAAGAGAAGCGCAGGCTTGAATTGAGGTGATGTTTATCATCAAGCAAAGATTTTATTTCCCTTACATGACGTAAATATGCGAGATTAAATTACTGCTGCACTTTCAAGATACTGAGCTGAGATATACTCACGAAAAAGCCAAACCACCCTCCCATTACAATTACGAACGATGTTTTTTTTATACGTGAACGAAAAATTTGAACGTCCATTGAATCAGAAGCCGCAGCAGTGCAAGACTGCGACCAATGGATCATGGACTCTATAAGTAACCTAACGTTAGGTAGAAGTGATTGGCATGTAACATCTCCTTAGGAGGAGGATATACAATACGTTGCCTAACGGATAGGTGGTGACGGTGGTGAGAATTGGCAAATTTATCAGCCAGAGGATGTTATTTAACAATTATTCCTCGAGCCCGAATGGGCTCTGAGTCAATAGCCCATGAGGCCGACGGCTGAATAGGCTATTGACTCAGAGGCCATGAGGGCGAGAGGAATAATTGTTTTAGTAAAATCCAACTAGTTAGTCAAAAATATTGAGACAAAACAACTTAAAGTAAGACTTTCATCCTTTTTACCGCCAAAAATCCGCCGCTTTTCGCTACTGGTGGGCTATAACATATAGCCTAGTAGTAGCTCAACCAATCAGAACGCAGCATTGATAATAGACAACTAGTTGGATTTTACTAAATTGATATATCCCTGAATTCCCTTATTTAACATTCAATAAAATGTATAGCAGTCACAAAGGAGAATTACTAATCAGATCTTAGGAGTAAAAGGGTCAAGTAAGATATGAGAGGTAATGCAGTGAGAGTAGATGTCAATCTTTGATACTTTGGTATATATTTGGATTTGCCCCAACGAAAGCCCGCTTTATTCGCAACAACAATAAAAACAAACAAAGCAGAGGAAAATATAAAATAAATCAAAAGACGTACCTTGTCTTGTATTTTCTCAAGATCTGGCTCCGATTTAATCGATACTGAACTTGACCGTACACTGAGAGGTACTTCATTGTCTACTGCTGTGTTAATAGCTACGCCTCCTACAATTCTCGTCTCCGATTTAGATTTCCTGCTTTGCTTGAACCTCTCGACTTTAGCCGCAAGCTTAGACGCAGAACTCTTGGAGTTCTTTTCGCTGTCTGATACAAGCTCAGCTGTGGATTTGACTGTGGATTTGGAACTGTCTCTCTCCTGCCCTAAAAGAATTTAAAAAAGAGCGTTTTAGTGAATTCTTTATATAAGCAGTTATGAGGAGTGACCATTACGAATTCAACAATACAGTACTGTTTATTAAATAAAAGAGAGAAAAAAAAGGCTCACAGGAATCAACACTTCGCAAACGTTCATCAAACATTCGACACTACTATGTTTCAGGAACTCTCTTCGCGGTGTTTAACATGAAATATATGTATCTTGTGTTCGATAGGTTACATAAGAACACATAATTCTAACAAAAGTGTTAACTACACAACAAAACGATCACCAAGGAAATGGGGCAGAAGGCAGACAGTGGTCCCCGCCTGCCAGCTCTCCATGACTACTTACCATTGTCTGTTTCCTCAGTTTCACTGTCAGCCTCTTCACTATCGCTATCGTCATTTGAGTCCTGTTGATCCGTGTTACCAGCTATAATCCCTTCTTTTAACTCATTCTTTAACCACGTCGGAACCTACAGGAAAAAAAAGGCACTCACAACTTTTAGTATAACCTGTCCCCCACCTCGCTCAAAAAAAACTCAGGATTTCAAACTATTTTTTGCCTGCATTACAAAACTCTTTTCGTAGAGGGGGTACGTATTTATTTTTTATTCCTACCTCTCCTAAGGTGGTTTCCAACTCGGAGGAGCTCGATCCCATGGAGGAGTCCAACCCAGGCGCCCGCGGACCTCCAATCGCACTGTAAGGAACAACCAAAATTGTCTTGTCAGTTAACTCAGCATCATAAAGCTGTAGCAGAATCTGCATTACTTTGATCTATTTCTGAGCATTAGTCTCGCACGAAACCGTTATTCTTGTCCGCGTCACTTCTTCGAAAAGTGCGTGACAGAACTGATTACAACTCTTATAGTCTGCTAGAAAGAAAGGGTGCGGGATCATTCAGCTTTGAAGCAGCACTTGCAACTTTAATCAGGACTGAGCTGCTGAAGGGGATTCGGCTTGAACATGGATTCCGCATAAGGCTGGTTTTCGCTTGCGACAGAGTTAGGAGTCGTAATATGACCTTGCATGGAAAATCAAAAGTCAAAGTCGTCAGCCGATTTATGAGCGCGACTGAAGAATCAATACGTTTCCATTTTCTTTCTGCTTCCCTTAAGACTACCTCGCAGTTATGATCTAGTGAGAACCAGATGGACGTAGACAGAAGCAGAAGGATAAACAAATCACAAAGCTTAATCTCCTGCTTTGTAATTGGTTTAGCTCTACCGCTTCTGCTTGTGACGCCGACAGCCTTGTTTTCACCAGATCGTAGGCGACGTAGTCGTAAGAGGAATCAAACGCTGTTTTCACTACATCACAACACCCTACGCTTCTTTTTAAACACTGACTCTAATTCCGTCGCTAGTAAATACCAGCCTTAAAGTGGTTTATTGATGTTTCATTTAGCTTGGGTTTTGTTTAGGCTTCCTCTGTGATTGGCAAAACATTTCCACCACTCATTCAATCAAACAGCCATGGGACCAAAACCAAGTGTCACTCACGCTTTCCCTCGCCTGTGCCTACTACTGTTCTGAATTGATTAGATATCGATTGTACCGTTAGGGCTGACATAATCGGTCGCTTTGCTTTCAAATAAAGAAGCTTTTTGTGTCTAAAACAATTTCTCGACTGTTTGGTTTTGCGTTGGTATAAACCTCTGGGACTGGCTTAAAGTCTCACGCCAACTCTCAATATTTTCCCGCGCTTCAAGTGCAGCCTCAGTGCTTAGAGATCTGATTGTATGATTGAATCACCGACCTCCTCTGTGATTGGCTACAACTATCATACGAAGGACACCTACCCGTCAGACAGTACAGTTTGCTTGGACAGCCTTCTCTCACTGGCTTTTTTCTGCGATCTTTTCTTGGACCGTCTTCTGATAGGAGCCGGTGCTGTTGTTTCTATTTGTACGAACACGTTCACGCCATAACCATTGACATCAAGCAGGTAAACAGGAAATTCTCGGTCACTATCTGCTCCGTACATACTGTAGGAATCCCAGTGAAAAAGGCGAGTAGGAGAGGAGACTGTTTCATTATCACTGATTCGTAGAAACCCTACATATGATTGGTCGTTCATTTGTCCCCGGCGAGAACTCATTCTGATGTAATTAACTGACGTATTTTCCTTTGATCCGCAGTCGCTCCGTTCTGCGTCGGAGAAAACACTGAAAAGGGAATGGAGTTTAACAGTAAAACAACCACTAAACTTCCAGTCATAACATCAATTATGTTAGAAGGATACCTAGATTACGTTTTTCACCTTATTTCCTGGGGGAGATTCTCGTTCTCCCGTTCAGAAACTACACTCCCATTAGCCTTCGTAGCAGGCGCTTGGAAGAAGTGGGCGCAAGAAGGATCGCACGCCCGTTCTTTCGTGCGCCCACTACTTCCAAGCGCCTGCTACGCAGCCTACACTCCCACATCACACCAGTTTTCACTTGGATACAATCAGAGACAAAAATGGAGAGAAACAAACAATCTAGACCCTCCCCTCCCCAAACCAAAATTGGCCTGTTTGTTAATTCGCACAGGCAGCACGAGTAACGGCACAACATCATTTAAGCCGCGTGGGGAAGGGAAGGCTTGCTTTTTCCTTTTAGAAGTGTATAGTGTTGGAAAAAAGTAGGAAATGCGTGTTGACCTCACGTAAAAGTTTGTCCACAAATTCTGTCGCCGATTGTAGCAAAGAAATAGAAGGAAGGGGGGGGTATGCAGTATGCAGGGAAAGTTTTTTGCGTACTCACCCATCCGCACTGTTACTTCCTACTAGTTCCGGTTGTGAGACACCTTCCTGTACCCCATCCTTTCTTTTCTTGTACGACTGAGGCATTGAGAATCCCTCCTGCATTCCATCTTTCCTGCCACGTTCAAACCTGGTGGAACTACTGGAGAGTTCTAGAATGCCATCTCGGCGCTTCTTGGCGTCTTTTGGAAGAGACGCCTGGCTTCCGGAGTTATGATCGCTTTTACTCCTGTAAAATTCAAGAAAAAAAATTCCTAAATCTTTCAGTTCTCCTTGGTTCTCTATCTAGCATTACATTGAGTTAAAATTAAACGCTCTTTTGCTTTCTTTCCACAAAAACACTGTCGAGAGAAGGCTTAAAAAACATAGATGGTCAACGTTTCCAGTTGCGAAAAAAAGCCTGGAATCGAACCCGCGATACCGATGCAGTACTCCCACCAACTGAGCTGCCAAGCTAACTAGGAGTTCGTCAGTCAGAGACTAGGCTTTGTTTTCAACTGAATTTTGTTGGTGTGCATTGTAGTCGAAACTATAGTACTAATCCTCATACCCCGTACGTTTACAAACAGCCACTAAGGCTTATGAAGGAGGAGGATCACAAGGTCATCCCTACAGATATAAGATACGTTTATCACTGTGTGGCCCAAAGAAAATGAAGTAGGTTACTACATTTTGACCACATGAGGGAAGGGAATGGCTCTTGAGATTCTTTCCAAGAACTTAGCTAAGAACACCCCAAAGGAGGCTTGTGTTGAGGTTGGTCGGCCTCCTTACCCTGGGGACAGCTCCACACTATCAGCACTACCAATACTCATGCTTCCACTTGGATTTCTCCTATGTCTTTTGTTGTTACCACTTTCAGTATCTGTCTTGTCTCCGCTTTCACTCTGGGGACGTCGGCTATCTGTGGGTCTCGCCCCCCAGAAAAACAGATCATTTTCATTTGTTCCAGCCACTGTGAAGCCATTTCCGCAGAAAACCACCTAAAGAAAAAAAGAATTCCTGAGCTAGTAAGCCTGTGGGATACGTTTAACAAGTAGTTTATTAAGTAAATGCACAAATAACCGCTGATTGGCTGGCTCATTGAAAGCTTTAGCGCTAGGGTTCTAAGATTCTTGGCCGGAACAACACTCAGAACTAAAAAAACTGATGAAGGTGCTGCTTTTGTTCCACGGCTAGTTCTCAACTTCTGAGGTCGTCTAGTAAGAAGCAAAAACCAAGGCCGCGTCTCACAACACTTTCACTATCTGTCTACCACAGGACGTAACTGAACCACTTTTTATCTACATCTACATATACTACATATCATACATCTACATATACTAGTGACGTAATTATCTCAAGCTACCATGGGTCAAGGGAGTGAGTAGGGAGGGGAGGGAGGGGAGTGAAGAGAGGGCACCTGACATGTTTCACCTATCCATCCCCTACGGGCTAATCTGTGCCTAGTCAAGTCGGTAAAAAATAAAATAAGTAAATTGGCCTACATACAGTTTTATAAATGTGTTTGGCATGATATGTAGGAGCATGTTCTGTACTTGTTACATCCTTCTTAAGTTTTCTTCTCGTAGTAGCCACCGCTTGCGGTGCGTATTTTAGCGCGAAATTTTTGTGTTTGTGTAAAGTTGGTGTCCTAGAAACCCGGGATAACTTTTTCGGTAGCTGACATATGTCTCATGGGAACAAACGGTCATTCCCGAGGTAAATAGGCGCTATCCCGCGGGAAAAGGCTCTTACTAACCGCAAAATAATATTGTTGTCTTACCATAGTGGTCTTGTCTTCCAACGCTTTGACAATAGCAGGAACATCACGTGGTTTACAGTTACCACAAGCCAGTTGTCCGAGTGAGTTATCACCAAATGTGTAGACCAGTCCTGGCTCTACAATCACCGCACTGTGATATGGACCCAGTGATACGTCTAATACACGATGCTTGGATAACACTTTGACAGCTGTTGGAACGTTTTTACCGTCGACTTGAACCTAAGGTGAAAGGTCAAGGTCACGGCGCTATATCAGGTGATCATTTCCTATAACTCTCGCCGGGCCAAGCTGCTTGTAACCTGTTCCAGGTGATCAGATTGTGAAGAGCGGAGGGAAAGAGGCGTAATTGTGGTCGTTTTGCCTGAAAGTCGATTCGCCCGAAGTTGTTTCGCCCGGAACTAAGTCGATTCCTCCAATGACAGGCAACACTCTACAACACGGCTTATCAGAGATGTTTTTAAGTTAAGCTTGGATTCTTCTACCCCATCTTTCCACCGTCCCCACAATCTGAACGACTGGAAGCCTTCTTAAATTCAACCTTGATTAACTGTAACCAGTCATATGACTTGTTAAAGCCCTGGATTGGCGCTTGACGCCCATCAAACAACTCAGCCCCATTTCATCATTCATAACGTCAACTAAAACTTCCATAAAATCCTTTATCGAGTAAATTATTGTCAATGTCAACAACCGCAATTAAAATTAAACTCTTTTAGTCACAGTGATCCAAACAGGTACACAATAAAAATGACGTCAGTGAATGAATATGTACCTTATTTTTAAAAGGTTTGAAGCCAGGAGTCATTTCATAAATTTAGATGGAATATGATATTACGGGTGAGTGTATTGCTGAAGAGTGAGTGTAGTCCTCCTATTCAGGTCTCAAGCAGAAGATCATATTCCACCTACTTATTAATGTACCTTATTCAGCAAATTTTTCATCTGCATCAAAAATCCTTGCCGATTGTTCAGCCCAAGCTTGTTGTTTGTATTGCTGTTTAATTCAAAAAGAAGAAGAAAAATGGCATTACTTGTTGGAAACTTTCAGGGTAAAACAAAACATAGGTTCATTCTTGAGTAAAATTAAATAAATTTACCTGCCACATGCAAGCAATGCCCCTGAATCAGTGATAAACATGGTGCCATCATATCCACACTTGACTTGTTTTATGGACACAGTCTCGTCAATAGCAGTCACCTCTGTGGGGACACATCTGATATACAACAACACTGTTCAGTTTTGAAACATCTCATATCTTATCTCTCCGAAATGAATATAGTGGGGAAGTGGGGTCACTGTTGGGCATCAATTCTATACACTTCTCACTGTTGATTTGCCCTCGAATGTTCTGTGACTGTTGTGGTCACTTTCAGGGGCACAAAATTCTATCATAATTTGTTACACAAAAAATTCTACAGTCGACTCTTTCTTAACGGACTTCCCTATAAGAGAGACACCTCTGTAAAGCGAACACCTGGAGTTGGTCCCTGTCTTTCTTTACCTCCTTTATTTGACTCTCTATAAGACCAACATATCTCTAACACAGACACTAAATGCCCATCCCAAAGGTGTCTGTCTTAGAGAAAGTTGACTCTATAACATTACAGTCCTTCAAGTCTCTAACATTTGTCAACTTTAATTTCCTCAATCAGTGGTTAGCCACTGTAATAATGGAGGTACGTCCAGATTTGCATAAATGGAAAATTTTCAGCTGCATTCAAACCTGGACATAACTGGAATAACAAAGAGCAGAATGTTACCTGTAAGATTAAATAACTGACCCTTTCTCTGCTGTCTGCATTTGACTTACCGGTTTTCTTCATCCCCTAATCCCAATCTGCCATCACCGCCAGATCCCCAAGAGAAAACAACACCTTCACTAGTAACAACTGCCACATGGGCGGAACCACAGCTCACTGAAGTCACATCAAAACTTAACAATGCCTCAATCAACTTTGGCTTAGTTGAGTTGATCCAGTCGCCATGCCCTAGGCAGCCCAAGTCGCCCTGGCCACAGGTCATGACAATACCATTGTCTGTGACAAACACAGTGAAGTTATCTCCACAGCAAACACTGTAGACAAATCAAAACAAAACTTCTGTTGAGTTACAGTCTTTTGGTTAAAATTGGACTGGAATCCCTTAATCATTTAATCAAAATATCCCATTAACACCTGGAAATTTTGTTGAAAGCAAAGTTTGAAGCTAGTAGAGCTGTTTTTTCCTCTCAATCCACCCAAAAAGAACCAAAACTAGAGAAAACATTGTTTACATGACAACGCTATGCTGGCTTTTTGTCTGAGATGTTATTACAGCTTTTATACTACTACATGAGAAATTTCTGCAATCTGATTGGCTTAGAGCAGTGGTATTTCAGCTTAATTTGAAATACCTACATGCGAAAATTACAAACCTTTTGTGGGTAGTAGTATAAACAAATAATAGCATAATTTGTACGTGATATTTGGCATAAATACCACTCGTGATATTTCAAAATTGTCTCAAATTTCACTCGCCTGATGGCTCGTGAAATTACATATAACAATTTCGAAGTATCACTCGTGGTATTTATGCCAAATATCACTGCAAACCATACTATTACCTATACTCAGGCACGCACGAAAGGCAAAATTTCAAGATTTATTTTTTCATTGGAATTTTCTAATCAACTTTATAAGAGGTTTAATTTTGGGTTTTCCTTTGGCCTGTTTCAAAACAGAATCGTGCTAATTCAGGTACTGTTTGAAAGATCTCCACCCCCTGCAAAAGATAGCTGCCAAGGTTATGTATGTCTTCCTTCATTCATGACATCACCAGTGGTACAATGGACGATAATCTCCAAGGGTGTTTAGGGGCAGTTTATCAAGCTAACCCTTTACATTAAAGAAATGTCAGTTGAAAACATCAACCACAAAAGTTATCGGGCATGCAATCCAATAAACCTTAACTTCAGTCTCTATCTCTTTATAAACCATAAGTCTGTCAACACCTTCCTTTTCACTGTAACAGCAAAAAGTACCAAAAGAACAGCTGCCTAGTTAGCTCAGTTGGGAGAGTGCCAGTCTGCTGAGCGGGAGGTTGCGGGTTCAAACCCCAGCCGGACAAACAGTCAGGGTCTTTAAATAACTGAGAAGAAAGTGCTACCTTTGTAAAATTTAATGACATCTGCAATGGTTAGACTTTCTAGTCTTCTCAGATAAGGATGAAAAACAACCATAGGTCCCATCTCACAGCACTTTCACTGATTTGTTCTTGTGGGGTGTAAAAGAACCCACATCACTATTTGAAAAGAGTAGGGCTCGTAGACCATGGTGGTGTGGCCAACCCTAACAAGTTGTGGGATTGGGTAGGGATGGCACCTCGCATGGGACCTGAGTCCCATTCATGCACATTCCCTCTGGGCATAGCAGGCCTGTGTCCAAAAAAGCTGGTAAAAAAAAAGAATATCACTCTGTGATGACAAATGAATAAATCCTACCTCAAAATAGTTTTAGACTTGAGTGCTTCAACTTGTGTTGGTTTGTCATGTCTGTTGCTGTCACCATGACCAAGCTGACCACAACAGTTGCTACCCCACGTGTACACTACATGTTCCATTGTCACCATGGCAACATGGGAACTACCAACAGCAACCTTTAAAAAAAGAGATGTGGTGCACAAAATGTGTGATCAACTATGTACAATAACGTTACTAATAGAAAACAACCAAATCTTTTAAGACATTACTGACAGTCCACTGGAATATAAACTGTAACGAACATGAAAGTAACACTAGGAGTTGTTTGAAACATTGACTTACTTGGCTAGAGGTTAATGAGAGCATTTTACTGGCAGATAAACAAACAAGTTGGCTGTGGAATGAACAAGGAATTCAAGAGTACAGCACGAGACGTGACCTGAAGTACTGTATGAAGAATTTCCAGTTCATTCTATGCCCATCAAGTGCATTATTTTATTTGCTAGTAAAGCACCGACAAGAAGTCTCTAACCCTCTTGATAATTGATCTGACTGCTCTGCATCACAAAACTAGCCAAGAGTTTTAAAAGAACAATGGCAATAAGAGCAAAAAGTACATGTAAAAACATATTTTTTCCTAATAGTGGCATCTACAAGCAAGTATCATACAAATATAGGTAAATATAGGGTAAAATGAAGTTCAAATAACATAGCACTTCCAGAATTTCATGCAGAGCATGAACTTTGAATTGTTGCAGTAGTACCTTCATTCTTACCTCTCTAAGCTGTCCCTTTGCAGGTATTTCAATAGGGCACATGTTAGTGTAAAGCAGGTCCAGGTAATACAAAAGTGTCCTAAAAATGAGAACATACACAGAAATTAATAATAATAAAGTAAAAAATATAGGTGCCATTACTAGCATTCTCTACAGGTAATTTTTTGTAGCATTAGCCCAGCACGAAGAGAGGATGAATATTTAACACCAACATGGGTCCTCTATATTTCCAAGATTGTTAACATACTGATCTTCTATCATATCCCAAATTCTTGATCTTATTCACCAGAACAGTTTTGGTTCATATTTTTGACAGTATGATGTCGAAAACCAGCATTAGTTTAATTAGTATATATTTGTCTGCAATTTTTGAAGAAGATCTCCTGACCGAATTGTACCTTCTCTTTGGTTTGTTACTAGGATCAATGGAACTACCAAGTTCATCTTCACTGGTGTCTTCAAACCTTTTCATTAGCTAAAAAAAAGTATAAACAGTATTACTAAGTGTTACCAACAAAAATAACAATAAATAATAATAAACTTATATTATAAACTTTCAGAGTGTTTCACAAACACACAGATTATTTCATAAATAACATACCTTTGGGAGTCTTTCATTCAATAAATCATCTATTTCTGGTCTCAGATCAGGGTCGTTCTGTAGTATATCCCCAACCTAAAACAATACAAATGTCTCAACCATAATGCATTTTATACTTAACATTAATTAAGTTGAGCAAAATGCACGTCATATTATTTTGTTTTAGACTTTGAGACCTAAAAAAATTCAGTCAGAAAGTCCTCATTTATTGTGACATGGAAATAATAAAAAGAAAACTTTAATGCCTAATTATTGTCCTTTGTCCTTTTCCCGTGTACTACAAAAAAGGAAAATTAAAACAAAGAGAAAATATAAGCAGAAAATGGTGATTTTGCTCTAAAGCCTGTTTTTTGGCAAAATTGTCCATAAAACAAGTGTAAACATCATGCATGTACTTATGTCTAAATTTTATGTTTCTTTGAAGGTCAGAAATTTGAAACTCACGGAATTGAGAATCATCAAGTCACACTCTCTTACTTCAAACCAAAATTAGACAACTATTGTTTCTATTGTCTATTTACTTGTTTAGTTAGGTTACACAACACAATTCAACACCTGAAATCATTGCCTACTCTCTCTTCTTGTCACTGCATCAGTCAACAGATAAAAACCCTCAGCATATCAACAAGTCAGATGAAAATAAGCTGCTTAATTATGCATGCACCAATGATGATTTTTTGAACTAACCAAAACTCTAAATTCCGGACTGTAGTTTCCTCTGATTGGTGCAAACTGACCCTAAAACACAGAAACATGACATGCTAATTTTAGCACATGTTGATGACTATTATTTATAAGCTAGCTATACAATCTTGAGAATTTCACAAGATCAGAGTTTTCTTGTACCTTCATAATTTTGTTGACCAATGCTGGAAGATTAGAGCCTTCAAATGTTTTCTGTCTGCTCGCCATTTCATAAAGAATACAACCCAATGCCCACATATCACTTTTATGATTGTACTCTTTTCCTTCACACTGAAAGTAAAAGACACAAACCTGTACATATAATAAATTAACTAAAAAGAGAAACAATATCATGTTCATTTTTGTCCAGGGCTGTCAAAAAGTTTTAAAGTAGCAGGCTGATAATAAATAGTAGGCAGCTTTAGAGACTCGCACCAAAGCACAAGTTCTTGAGGGCTGAGGCACCTGGGGACACTTTGAAAAATAGAATCTCGGAAATGGCGTTTCCAGAGGTTTTCAAGAGGTATTTTCCACCGCTGACGCCAGGTTGTTTCATCTGAATGCAGGCAAGACTGGGAACAATGCCATTGAAATGTCCCAGGCATTCCAAGACATTGCACGGTTTGAACGTTTTACAGATCTAAACCTGTTAGCATATGCGTTCAATGTCATTCAAAACTGGGAAATGGATGTTTTACAATTTTATTTGACGGTGCTTATTTTTTGTTAGCACTAATGGTAGACGGAGATAAAGGTAACCGGCTAAAGAGGGCTAACTAGCTGGAGTTTTTGGCCAGCTACCAGCCCTTATTCACAACCCTGTTTGTCCTTTGTTTCATTGGCAGCTCATGAGACAAGGACAGTCCAAGACCTTGACAAAGTTGGTCAATTTTTATTGGTGCTTTTAGTAAACTAAATTAACAGCAGCATTCACAGAAATTTTTGTGGTTCTGAACAGACATTCATTCCCTGTTACTCCTGAGACAACCTTGATAAAGATTGTGAAAGCATTCCTTATAAAAGGGCTATCAAAATGGCTATTTGCATAGGTAAACCTCTTCATCATCCTTTCATGTTTGCTTAGTATTTTTAAATTCTGATTTGTAACAAAAGTACATGTAGATGTTTGGTGCACCGCTATTAATGGTACACTGTTATTAATAAGATTGAAGCTAAAATAACTTCAGACCAATCTATAAGTCCCAAATGTATGCTTTAAAACACATTCAGTAAACTGTTTCTGAGTGAAGGCTCTAGAAATATCAACCACCAACTGCATTGTATTTCACACATATGGACTCTCTGTGTATTTTCTAGGGATGGAAAAACCTTGAATTTGGCTTTACCATGGTGGTTGTGGCCCTACGTAAACATGAGTGAATCCTACATCAGTAACCTACCATCTCTGGTGAGATATAGTAAGGTGTTCCCAGCACAGTGTTTGCTTTAGAACCTTCTAGCTGTTTGCTGATACCAAAGTCACCAAGCTTGACCACACCCTCCTTGGTTAAAAAAATGTTGGCAGTCTTCAAATCCCTGGTAGAAGGCAATAACTATTAATATTGGAAGATTCCAGGTTAAATCCAGGACATTTTCACAAATCCTCTTTTTTGTTTTGATATAGTAATATTAACAAGGGGTAATGCAAACAATTTTATACTGCTAACTTACCTGTGTAAAATGTTGTTCCCATGAATGTATCTTAAGGCTGAAAGCATCTGTTGGAAAATTATTAAGATCTCTCTTTCCTCCATGTCCTTCTCTAGCCTTGACAGGTATTGAGCCAGAGTTCTGCAATATAAACAATAATATTATTCAACAGTAAGTAGCTCCAAATGAGCAGAAAATTATGAATCTTATTCTTTAGCACAAAAAGGTTTGGCAGTTTTAAAACAAATCAGTAGCAGATAAATAGCCATACAGAGCTGTACATGTAACACAATTTCTGTAATCTGACTGGCTAACATACATTGCACTCACCATCTACAGCATGATAAATAGTAAGGAGTTGGTGTTTAACAAAAACAAAAGCAAGTTCTTCAATAAATTGTTTTTGCAGTGTTTCTCAGAAAAAGATTAATTTATTAATTTATTAAAATGAAGCTTGCCCAGAAAATAAACTGAAAAAGGAGTATGAAAGGAACACTAATGGAAAGAAAATTTAGTTCTTTGTTTGTGCAAACAAATGATGTCTTCCTGAATTCAAGTTGATTATTTTCATCACAACATAGTACAGAATCAAAGGTAGTATGCTAGTTGGTTTTTGCTAAAACACTAATTTTATTAGACTACTTGTATAATTTTCTAACAAGACATGTACAGTATACTAAGCGTGTATTGGGCTGCAGTGGTCTCAGAATTATTTTATATCCGCTGAGTTTATAACTCCCCCTATTACAGAGTATAAACTGTAAAAAAATACTTGTCATGGTCAAACTATTCTACGTTTGTGTTGATTACTGTCTAAAAATGTCTAAAAATGCATTCAAATGAACCTCTAAATACAAAGAGGTACAATATAAAGAGGACTGAAACAATCACAATTGCCAGGACAGAGGTAACCAAGGCAACCCGAGGTGGGTACAATGTACATGTATGACGGACTTGACTCACCCTCCATCAGCATATTCCATCTCAATCATCAAAGTGCCATCCACCTCAAAACTGTCATAGTAGCTGATGATATTTGGATGCAAACTTAGCTTTGAGAGAACCTTGGCCTGAAAAAATGAAAAGTGAAATCCACAAAATAAAATCACCAGTGTATTTCATGGCAAAAACCAAGAAAATTAACTAGATGGGGTAAGGTCTGTTTCAGTTAGCTGCAGGATCTCTGAGTTATCATGGGTAGAATTACAAACAATATATGTACAGTACCTTTGGAGCAATTTCATGGAAAATCAATAATATTATTTTTTTGTAATGGAACATTTTCCAAGTTAGTGTGAGATTCAAGTGATCAAGGGTTTGAATTACCAGTAATTGAATCAACTTTATGTAATAAGAGCAACAGTTGCAAAGACAGACCTCATTCATGGCCATTTGCCGCTCAGTTGCTGTCAAATCATGAAGAGAAATCTCCTTAAGAATAACAAGTGAGTCATCATCCTTTTTCCTGTAAAGAACAGCTGCACCATATGCACCTAAAGTCAAAATAAAAACATGCACCCAATATGAGAATATTATCATGGCAAATATTATTCTCACCAAAAAACAAGAGTCCCAGTCATGAGAGGTTCCATGACAAAAACTAATGAGTCCTGTAAAAGGAGCTTGAGTGCCCTCATATTTCATTCAAAAAAGGAGAGATGACAAATCTCCTTAAACAACAGCCATTCAAGATACACTTTGTTTATTTAACCATGTCCCTACATTTTAGACCTCTAAGAGGGCTTTTTAGAGGACTTACAGAGGAATCTAAGGATCTGTTATTTAACAAAGTCTAACTTAGGTTGCGGTTCAAGAAATCATTGGACCTCCAAATCTCCTTCCTAGTGGGTTAATTTAAGAAAATAAGTGCTTTCCCAGTCTAAACTATATGCTTTATTGAAATCGCTCATGACAAATGGTGATCAGATAAAAGCGTTGAACAAACTGAAAATGGATAAGAACGGGGTTTTGTTAAACACGAGCTAGACTCTGTTTAATTAAGTGGCCCTAAGAGTTTTGTTCAACTACTTCATAATATTTTAGTTTGGTTATACACCAGAGCCTCCTACACCAAAATTTCGCACAGAGGTACTAGCATATAGCTGTTACATTTAACAGTTAAAATACCTTTTCCAACAGTTCTGATCTTTTCAAAGTTGTTAATATTTGGCTGTGGAACGCCTGACCACCCTCGCATCTTCTCCTGCTTAAAGTAAAGTTCACCTGGGTGAAAACTGTCACACAAAAAAAGAAAATAACAAAAAAATGACTTATTGATCTCATGGAAACAAAATATTTCTTGGAAGCTTTTCTTCTTCATTTGCCTCAGAGAAAACACTTTTATGAACCAAACAGACAAGACTGTAAGAGCTTACAGAAGTTAAAGTGCTCTACAATATTCAGTTGGGAAAACATGCACTCTCTGCAAAAATTTCACAGAATTTTCCTGTTATATTTCAGTATTCAGGTCATATTTTTATTCAAATTTTATATAAACATTACAGCTATAATTATGCTAATAACAGGCCACTTGTCATGAGGTTTGAATTACACAGAGTTACATAGTTTTGTTTGTTTGTTTTTTTGCTTTTAAATGTCTGCTTCTCCATAAGTGCAGCTAGCATTTTACCTTGACTCATCACCTCTGCTTCTTATATCAGTTCCCATGATTTCTTTTGTCATGCCAACAGAGACCTAAAAAAGTGTCCAAGTAACACAAAATATAACTCTATTGGTAGGGTACATGCATTTACTCTCAGACTACAATACTGTGAAAGGTTTAAACCCAGGAGTCATTTCAAAAGGTTGAGGTTGATCGTCCGGGTGAACGTAGTCCTGAATAGGACTGTTGTTGTTGGCAGTGACTGACGTTTCGACAACCTGTACGGTAGTCATCTTCAGAGTCAAAGTGAGTTGTAATCACGTCAGTTGATGGTATTATACTCGGGTTATTGATTTGATTGGTCAATTATGTCGCAATGTTATGGGTCGTCTGTCAGTTAAGCCGTGATGTTATTGGCTATGAAGACTCGTAATCACTGTTAAAGGGGCTGTGTCACGGCAGTCCAGTTCATTTTGTTTAATTTTGCCAATTACGCGCCCTCAATCTCTATGGAACTTAAAGTAAGCAAAGAAATTACATGTAAATCACTAAATCAGAGACCCGAGACAAACAAGTATGTCTCTTGAACATTATTTTTGAAGTTGCAAGCAGCAGGGATCAACTTTGAAAAACTGTTAGGCTGAACAGTTTTCAAAAATCCTAATTTCAATCCGTTTCAATCTTCTTCAGTTTTGCCCATCCGTGGCATCTGTTGTTTCTGTTGTGTTATTTTAACCTTCCATTAAAGTTTTAAGCGGTTATTTTTATGTTCCTCTTAATTTAACGGGCATTTTGTAATGTCCTAATTTGGCTGAATTTCGTGACACAGCTCCTTTAACATCAGAGTTATTTTTTGAAGTAACAAGCTAAGACCTTTCATTTCTCCAATAGCAAAACAAGTATGTTTAAGATGGCATGACAGCTAAAACTCCTCTGATTTTTGTCCACTCGCTTGTTCTCTTTATATTACTTACTTTTTTTAATGTTTGTAAGTGAATTTTTTTTAAAAAATGTCAAATTAATAAAAATATTGAGAGATAATTTTCAACAATTCAAGAAGGCAAATGAAAACACTTACATGCGTCAAATCTTCTAAAATTTGCAAAATTTCCAAAGCATCAGGGCTCTGAGTGAGTGGACAGGCAAGGAAATCTAACCTGGCTCCAGGAGAATCAACATCTAAACAGAGTTTTACAAGTTCAGTAAAGAAACTTTGAAGTTCATCCACCTCTTTGACAGCATGAAGCAAAACCACCTTTAAAAATAATATAATGAATTTCAGTTTAACTGAAAAATTAAAATGTTAGATGCTCTACTATGAAGAACAATCATCTAACGCACTGAGCAATAATTATTAAAGACACCATACTCTTTTATTCGTTTCATTAGAGCATTATTTAACATTACTCCTTTGTCTTGGTTTACCATGAAATTCTGGCTGAGGATAGGCTGACATTCAGTAAAAAATAATAAATAATAAAAGACTTGATTTTATGAGGGCCACACATAACAGTAACTAAACATTACTGATCAACTTGTGGCCCTTAGTGAGTTAAATTCACTCATAGAGACAGCATGCAAGGAAAGTCGTGTCTGATAGCCCGGGGCTAGTGGATTTTACTATCGGGCAATCGAATTCTGTTCTTAACTTGCCCGACTGGCAGGTGAGTTTTTTTAAGGAATTCTAATCAGAAAAGAACTGTTTTCAACCCTGCTCATCATCGGGCTAGTTAAAATGACTTTTGTTAGTAGAAGCTAACTGCAGCTTGCCTGAATGGTAAGCTGTACAACTGACTTTCTTTGCACCCTGAAAGAGCTCTTAGCTACATTCCTGACCACTGTAAGTCAAGTACAGTCCTTGAGGGGGAAGGGGTCACTCCAATAAGCTAGAAAGGCATGTGCCACCCAAGAGGGTATGGGTTTTTACAGTCTTGATCCATACATGTAAATAGGGTATCATCTGTGCTTTTGTGGGCAATATGTTCCTGGTATGATCCTTGGATACAGATGGGGTGCCTTATTGTGTTTGTCTCATCCTCAAATAGGATCATACATACATATATACATGCATACAACCATACATACATGTTTTTTATTTGGAGTGTTATACAAATATAAATAGTATATCAACTATTTCCAAAATTATAACTAAAATTACAAACAACAAAATTCCTAACCATATATGGCTAATGAGTTATTAATTAAGTCCTAGAGTATTTACTTTTTGCCGTCTTTTCTTTTTTCAAAGCATTCGAATAGATGTTTTGCTATTAGTTTTCGTATTCTAGCATTTCCACTAGGGGGGTTTATTAGGAACATGAATATTTTGTTAGGTGACATTCTGCTTATTTTCACTCTATATTCTTTTACCACATTATCAAGTAACAAACATCTGTTTTCATGATAAGCAGGGCATATATTTAGAAAATGGTATTCGTCCCCTACTTCTATTTTACAAATTGGGCAAATTCTTTCTTCAGGTTTCTTAAATGGCCTCGAATAACACCCTGTCTCTATAACTAATTTGTGGTTGCTAAGACACAGTCTTGTTAGAGTTATTCTGTGTAACGTATTGGTGACCTGATGTCTACTAGGTAATCTTCACATTTGTAATTGTCTGTTGTTTTGATTAACCGCTAGGTTCTCATTTTGTTGCTTTGGTTAGCATCTTTTCTAGTGTCGTTATTTACTTCACTTAGCCATCTTTGTAGTTCGATATCCTTAAGTCATTGCCTGATCATGTTTACGATTCCTGTCTTCGCATATTGTGCTTTCTTCCAAAATTCTCCTAACCCTATCTGTTCCAATAAGCTTTTGATTTTTTTGCTCCAGAAAGCTTTATTTTCATTCCATTTAATGTCATTGTATGCTATTTAGGATAATTTGTTTTCATTTTTGGTTAAGGTCAACCAGAACTTAAAGTTCTTACATTGGGCTTCAATTCTGATTGGAAACCGTCCTGTCTGAGCCCTGCATGCATTGCATATTATGGCAGTATTTATTATCTCCCAGCAACCACTTCATGTTTCAAGACCCTGGGCAGCCCCAACCTCCCCCCCACCCGCCACTCCCCTGCCTCAAGTACATTCTGATTGTGGATTTTTGACTAGCATTAACTGTATCAACAGTAATTGCCACCTTTTCCAACATTAAATGTGTAAGCATTTTGTCTTCATTTACCAAGTGTTTGAATTTTTTTCCAATTGATTCTGAAGGTTGCTGAATACTGGTAAATCACTGGTGACAGTTTTACTCTGCTGTCAATAATAACATGATGGCTTTTATTGTTATGCATTTTTACCCTCCATAAATGACACAAAGGATTACAGAGATAAGGACCTCTCTTAATATTATATTGCACCTGCATTTGGGCAATAATTGCTCCTAAACTACGAGTGTCTCGCATACACACTATGACATAAGTGTCAAATTTAGAGTTAGATGTTTTTGAATTTGCATGAATTTCCATAAGAATCTAGTTGCAGAAATTCATCCCAGAAAATTATTGTTCTCATTCTTTTCTATTATAAAAACACCCCAAATAACTAAGATCTTTTCAAATTGCAATGCCATTTGGTGTTTGCAAAAGGCTTAACCATAAGTTGGCAGACAAGCTATCAATATAATATGAAATACACATCGTTCCTGATCTGTAAAGTCAACACAACAATCTGCTAATCTCATTTACAAAGGTGGCACAAGATTTGCAGCTGCTTGCTACTTAAGTCAATTGGAATTTCAAAATAAGTCTGGAGTCTGGAAGATTTCTTTAGATCGAATTTCAGGTAATTAACACACGAATAAAGAGGCAAATCGAAAATTTTATTCCAGAACGCAAACGTATTTTTTACATTAGGATATTGCCACCTTTGACAGAGGTTAACCTTAGAAAACAACAGGATTTTGACATGTAAAGTACAAAACAGTTTATGAAAGTGAAACAAACGCATTATTTAAGCTTACCTGATCATCGTGCGAACACAGCACTGTATTACTTCCTTGCCCGTGAACTAGAAATGCGATACTTTCAGCTTTTCGTCCATTTAGCTTTTGTTGAGCTTGGAGAAGGAGAGACTCCAGTGTTGTATTATCGTAAATGTAGGGCACAAACAAAACTGCTGAGCGAGCAGCCGAGTTAAGAACAGTAGAATGGCGCAATTTGGAGCTTACAAACACAACACGCCATGCTGGAGGAGACACAGCGCTGTTTGAGCGACTGTGGTTTGGAATTGTAGTTTCTCTCGATTCAGACACCGTACCGCTGTCGACCGCTTCATTCTGATTTTCACCCTCACTTTGTGCATCCTTTGAACTTGAAGCCATTCCTTGCGTTACATCATTTATACTTTACGGTGTTAACCAAAGGACTCAAGAAGTTTTGGTGCAGGGTACATCTGTCGGCCTTCATGGTTAAAAGTGTCAAGCTCAAAGATGAATTAAAAGACGACACGACCTCGATCGTCGTGAATGCCAAGAAATTTTTCCTCCTTGAACTACTTCCTCGTTCAGAAAAATTATAGTCCTATTTTTAAGCCATCCTCGTGGGTTGAAATTTGTTGTGAATGAACACTAATTTAGTAGAAAGTGTTCCACTCCAGATCCGGCGCCGGCCTAAAGATGGACAAGATGGCCGGAAACAGTCCGAGATCAATATAGAGAACGGATCGTCGACTCAGTTCATCCAAAAATCCAAAAATCGTTGCTTGTTTAAAGTTTCTCAGGTACTGGAATAAGCGAAAAGCTTGACAAACTATAAGTTGATGTACTGATGTATGACCCACATGCACCAAAACAAATCTTTTCGCTCCAAGACTACAAGTTCTTTGTAGTCGGAAATATTCGTCACATGCCGAAAATTGTCGTCAGAAGCTCGGAGATTCGCCCTCGGGGGCCCTGTAATTCATGGGGCTCCCTGGGGCGAGTGGGGGAATAATAGGCTGCTCATTGTTTTCAATTTTGTTTTGTTTTGTTTTTTTTTTTCGGTCATAATTGCCGTATACCCTACCACCTGCATCAGCACAAGTTAATTTTTTTCTGGATATCTCATCGAAACCAAGACTTGTTCATTTTTTCATAGACTCTTCTCAAAACCCCCGCGCGTTGTCCCCAGGGGCCTCTCCCGTTCTATTACAATGGGGCTGAGAGAGACTCAGCTCGACTCAGCATCAAACATACATTTTGGACAGTTTGTTACTGGTGCTATTCCTTTTGTGAACGATTTTTCAAATCAGCAATGACATAGAGTGGATTGTTGCATGAAAACTTCGATAAATGGAGCACATTTGCATGAATAGAGGCCTACTTAAACCTTTGTTTTAGGCGTGAACATAAAAAACCTGCAAGTCCGCCTCGACATCGACCGCGGTTAAGATGTCTCCCATCGAACTCAAATCCAAGCGTTGCTAGGATGTTGTTGGAGTTTATGTCGCCTTTCATTAAGCTGCTGGAATTTGCGAAGTCGAAATCTTCGAGTTGTTGATCTGTTTGACATACCGTGATGCTTTTAGTACAAAATTAAGCATACTCAAGGGATTAACTGGGATAAATAATTCATGCTCTGTTATGGAAGTTTCACGGGATCACTTGTTCATTAAGCTTAACTTATTTTTAGCAGTTATTGGTAAGTAAGCTTTACATGAAGGATGGGAAAAGTGACACATTTTGGCCTTTGCAAGGATACAACCTTGATTTCTAGGGGAAGTGGATGAGCTTTTCTTGTTATTCTGTGCAAGGTTGCAGTTATGTTTCAGTCTCAGACTGTAAATTATATCTTTTGAAGTATCCATAGAATGAACACAAGTACATCCCAGTGACAGTCACAGTGGATGTGCCATCCTGTGGAGAATATGAAAATATAGACACTTTACTTTGTTTCAATGACTTGCTTCAATGATTCTCGTTGATGATGATGATGATGATGAGCACAATGCTGAAGATGATGATGGGGGGGATGAGTCAATTTCAGTGATTCGATGAACAGTTTCATTCAGAAAGTGTTAATTTGGTTGGTACAAATAGTGCCGAAATTGATGAATTGACCTAATTTTTATTTCTTTCAGCTATACTTCTTGACTGTTCACTTGTTGAAGGTAATGTGATAAGGAAAGGTAATTGAGTTAAAGAGGTAGGCTCGATTACCAGCTGCTGTTCGGGAAGTGAGCCCGTGCTCCTCTTCTGAACAGTCTCTTCCCAGCGAGGAGCGAGAGAGCGGGGAAAATCAAGCCTATTACAGTAGGGGGGTTAAAATACTGAAATTGTTTTTGTTTTATAAGTTAATGTCCTCTATTAACTATGAACAAACAAATTTGATAAACAATGGTTTGACCCCCTCTTCACTTTAAAATGTTCTCTACCAAGCCTGGTGAGAAATTGTTTTAGTGTCAAATAAAATTGATATTGTTCAATGGAGAAGAGAACAGTTTTAATAGGACAAATACTAGTAACTAGGAGCTTCAAAGTAAAAGCAAGTGGTGGCATTGAATCTTAGTGTCACTTTTAATTTTACCGCAGGGCTCGAAATTGTGACTGATATGGTTGCCAATTCAACTAAGATTTTCTCCCTAGCGACCAAAAATTTCTGGTTTAGTCACCACTTTGGCAACCAGGTATCTCTATGATTTAGATTTAAATTAAAAGATTAAAGTTTAAACAAACATTTCATCTTATCTTGCTTTGCTTTCATGACAAAAGTGTGCCAAATCGCATAAACAATATATACTTCTCACCATGATTTTTCAAACAATCAAATCGGTTGGATCGCACCAAACAACAGGGCTTCTGATAGGTCACAAAAAAAAAGCCAAATTTCGCGGATTTTCAGAGACAGATTCGCTGCAATTTTGGGGGCTAACTTTACGGAAAAACAATCGGTAAAAAATGGCCAATTTCATGGGAATTTTCTGGGCAAAATAATTTTGTTAGAAATCAATCAATTTTGCACTGATTTGATGAGCGTTTTTAATGTTTTTTTAACAGAGATAATCATTGGCAATTTTGACAACAAAGCACTCAAAGCGTAAATTCGCATGAAAGAGCTTAGCTTCCGCAAAATAATATAAAATGAAACGAATCAAATCGAAAAGTGGTAAAAAGAAGTCAGGATATTTCAGTTCGATGGAAAGTAAGTGATTGGGTAGGTGATTTGCATACCGATAAAAACAACGTCTAGCGCAGTTCAAAACCGTTCAGCTTCCTGAATTGTTTTTCTGGAATTCTATACATTCTCCTGGCCTAAATCGTTAAAATATCTTATGAAGTCAAAATATTTATCAAGTTGAGCGTTTGCATTTCCTTATAAAACAGAGAGTAGCACGAAAGCTTCGATCTATAGATTTTCTTAAGTTAAATTACCTTTGTATCGTGGAAACAATACCCTATAACACTTGAGTCTTGAATCAACGGACTCGACATGTGTGTCGGCTTCCTTTGTGAGCGTGCAAACAGTCATGGGACCCGCGATTTTGCGGGTGACACGGATCTAAAGGCGCCGTTCCGTAATGGTGAAACAAAGAGTTGGCAAAACCAGCAGGTCTAAAATACAGGTCACTTTCCACAGGTCAGAGTTCAGGTCATCATGCGACAGAAATGAACAGCGCCAAAAGTGTCTCCTCGCCTTGGCGATTTAGATTGAGGGGAAAATATTTTACGTTGTAATTTGTCAATGGACTAGTGACTTTTAGTCTTGACCTGTGGAATGAGACCTGTACTTTAGACCCAGCAAATTTTATGTGATGTCAAACATGACAGTTGTATCTCCTAGATAAACTTTAACTCACCGGCATATTATACTCATAATGACTATCTTACATCCAACAAAATTATCTTGTGATCCGGCCATGGTTGTTCAAACGTTGGATAATGCTATCCACTGGATAAATCACTATCCAACGGATAATGCAATTGTTTCCCGTAATACTTATCCTCTGGATAGTGATTTATCCAGGGGAGAGCGCTATCCAGCTTTTGAACAACCCGGGCCTGTTGTATATAAAGATTAGTGTGCAGCATAGTTAATGTTTGCCAGCAAAGCCACATAATTCAATTATTAAATATGCCCAACTGAAACATTTTTCTCACTGTGAGTTTTATATCTTTCATTTTCTCATTTTAGGAGAATGTGGGACGCATCTGACCAGTACAGCAGGAACCATTCAATCTCCAAACTATCCCAAACCTTACCCTCCAGGGCAACAGTGTACATGGACTGTATCAGTATCTGGGTCAGTGGAGAACATTAAAATCTCATTTAGGTGAGAAAAGCAATAATTGGATGTGTGCAAATCAGTCTAAAAACACAGTTCCAAGCAGCTAAGGCTATTTTGGTGACCATGTAATGTAATGTTTGCTCAAAATTTTTAACATGAGGAGTTTTTGGAAAAATAAATTTTGACTAATTACAATCTTAGAAAGTTTTGTAGACACTGTATTATTTTGTTCATTTATCCACAGAAACAACTTTTTATTTGAATGATGAATATTATATAGCCATCCAAAGTCCCACAATCTCAGCTGTACAAAATTATTGATGTAATGCATTGTACACTGTACTTTTCAAAACATGACTTGACTAATACTTTTGCAAAGCATTTGATTATTGAGAGCATAACTAACAAGTATGCCAGACTTCAGCGTGTGCTTTTAGTAAAATGCTTTGTTGTGTAAGGAATGCTTGAAGGCTATTAGAACAATCAACAGATGTTACTCTTTTGAGTAGGTTCGACTAGGTTGAAGTCAACTCTTTAATTTAAAGACAAAACTTCATAAAAAATTTGGGAAGAGGGCCTTGTTTGCACTAAAAAAAATGCACTTTATTTGAGTGTCAATGTATTTAGCATGAAAGTGCTAATTGAGGACACTATATTAACATCTCCTACTGGAGAAGGGACAGCCATTTTACATGGTCATCCAAGCCACGTGAAGGTCTAACCATTTGCAAGGCAAAGGTACTACCTTCATTTCCCATTTATTTTAAAGACCCTGAGTATTAGTCCTACCCCGGGAATCGAACCCGCGACCTCCCGCTCTGCAGTCAAGCACTTAGTCTGCTACACAGCTGTTTTTAGAGTCGTCACGCAACGCTCCTCCCCACTAGCGGCTGCTGAAAACCGAACTACATTCCTTTCCCATGATTAGCCAATTATAATTCAGCTCCCATTTTCTAGAAGGTGTTCGCGCTACGTCTGCGGTACTGTGACTCCTCCAATCATAGCTTTTCTTTTATCGGTGCCACATGTGTGAATGACAGAATAATCAAAATCGTTGCATGAAAACAAGCAATTAACTACAGTAGTGTTGTCGTAGTCGACTCCTATTAAAAATTTAGGAGATAAGCAGCAGCAGCAAGCAAGTCGAGCAAATTGCGATGCACAACATGGATGTGCTCATAAAGTTGCTAGGTATAGTTTCGGGAAATCGCTCATCAATAATTTATAAGATTGCTTTTTGAATCAGTACCCTGGAGAGTTTAGTCTTCACACGAACACAATGAGCACATCCGGCACATTAAATTCTTCATTACATATCAGTACATATGCACTTTAAATGAAGAACCAACCGATCCTGGTAAAAGTCTTCTAGGCCTATCAAACCTTTTTTTCACTTGGAACTTTCTTGACAGCTTAAAACAAACTTTTTTGCAAATTAAGTTTTTCGTTGCTTGAAAACACAGAGCCCGTCTAAATTCAGTGACGATTGATTGATTTGTCGAAAACTGAGAAGCGTGCTCGCTTCCTAGCGCCTTGCGGCTCACGTATTGTCAAATCTCTTATACATGATTGGCTTGTTCGTTAGACCACAAACACAAAGGGAAAGGAATGTAGTTCGGTTTTCAGCAGCCGTTTGTGGGAATGAGCGTTGCGTGACGACACTAAAAACGGCTGTGTAGCAGACTATCAAGCACTCTACTGACTGGTATTTAATTTGGCATTTGCAAAAATTTAAAAATTCGGTAATCACCAATTTTTTGTTTTTGCAACTTTGTTGGCATCTGAGAGAATCAAATTTTTTGTGTAACCAGAAACGTCAGTTAAAGGAACTTTAATATTGGTCAAGTTCACGAAATAAGATGACCTAACAAAGGATAGCTGTCAAGGAAAAAAGGATTTTGTCGCCTGACAAAAAATTGTAGGCCTCCAAATGTTCTTGATGGCATCCTTGAAGTTTGGTGACAGTTGAGAAAATTTTGGTTGGTGAAAAAAAAAATTTTTTATTGTGAAAAGGGCCTAGGACACTTATTTCCTCTTTGATTTAAATAGTACCTTCAAGTTGAAACCAAAGCCTGCAGGTGGCCAGTGTGTAGATTACGTGGCGATATACAGTTTACTGCTTAACAGAGATAAAGATACAAAGATGAAAGGGAAATTCTGTGGAGATTCAAAACCATTATCTATGACAATTACCCAGTCATCTATGACAGTACAGTTTGTCTCGGACTCAGCAGATTCTGATTCATATACTGGATTTTCCCTTTATTATAAAGCCAACTTTAAAGATGATACTGGTAAGTTAAGTTTAGGATATTTTGTTTGCCTTTTAAACCCTTAAGCCCTCTTCAAAATAATTCAGGTTTTATCAGTCTATTTTATTTTATTTTATTTTTTTGCATATATATATATGTTACACATTTGCAAAAACACCTCTAAGGCCTATTTTAATACCTAGATCCCTCAAGGTAAGACTGTAGAGAACATTACTTTTTCGACTTTGAAATCATTGTATGGATGGCAAAGTCTAGGCTGTGCTCTATCAGTGCCCAGCGGCCCTGGCACCTATCTTTTGCTCCCGGGCGACTAGAAAATCTAAGTTTTATCATAGAAACATATGCTGGGTACCACTGGATTTCACAGGTTCAAATCACTGAGTTCTCTTCAATTTTTCTTTGTGCACAGCCTTGAAAGTATCATTAAACATAACTTAAACTATTGATGATTAGAAGGGATTTTTAATGACATTGCCTGCCACTACATTTCTCTCTCTCCCAGATTTTGTTTGAGGGAGAGGGGGTGATTGTACACTGGATATATTATACCATACCAATAACAGAGTGCAAAGAAAGTCAGTTTTACAGCCTACCATTCAGGCAAGCAGTAGCTAGCATTTGCTAGCCCACAAGTCATTTCAACTGGTCCAAAACCCTTTTTGATTAGCAGGATTGATTACAGTCCTTCTGTAATTTGAATTTTCCCAAAAAACAGCACTTGCCCGTCGGCTAAGATAAGAACAAAAATCAGTAGCCGGATAGCAAAATCAACTAGCCCCGGCATGCTGCAGTAAGCCCAGTATAAGATTCTGGCTGGGTCTATTCTGATTTTACTAAGAAGTGCTTCTCTCAGTGTGGGGGCAGGGGCGGGGGCAGGGGGAGTTCAGTTAAAAAATATATTGTTCCAGTGACTGACATATTATATCATATTGCAGCATCTAAAGTGTCTCAGACAACAGTTGGCATTATTGCTGCTATCTTCTGTGCCGTGGTTTTTGTTGGAGTGGGTATGCTGCGCTGTATTATGATTGGAGCATGTAATGTTTGCAATGCTCCAAACCCACCACAGGAAAGGCAGGTTATGGGAACCAATGATTCCTACACATTTCGAGCAGATTTTCCTCCTTCCTACAGCACAGGTTAGTTTCAATAATAGCAACGTAGACCTTCATTTATATGATTAAAATTTTATGTGTGATCTGAGGCTATTTACTTGGAATCAAAGAGTTTCAAATATCCTATTCACCATATTCATCAAGACCATAATGCACCTTGTCTACCCCCTCCCCGCCACAATTTTGCGCAACCATTGTCTTTGATTTCTCTAGGGACAACTGTAATACAGAAGAGAAACTGGAAACAATTGTTATGTAAAATTTTGTGTGGTAAACAAGGTGCATTATGGTGTCAGTGAAAATGGGGAATGTACAAAAAAAGGAATTAGTGCAAATTATTGGGAGTTTCAAAGAGTGGAAGGTAATGTTCAAGTGTAGCTGAGTGTTTGATTGGGGAAGGGAAGCTGAATTACAAAGAGTTATGAGAAATCAAGAACTCCATTCATCCATTGTATGAATGCCATCTCATTCATTGTCTTCGCTGTCATCTACTAGCTGAAGGCTCCCACAAGTTGGAGTTCATTGGTGCCATAATTTAACCAAACATGTCATAACTGTGAGTCCTGTTAGAGAGTATTCACATTTTCTCCTCTGAAGTTAAATACCATTTTCAATTTAAGAATTTTTTAGGAGCATTAAAATGTTCATCTTAAGTTTTAGACTAATGTCACTTTTCTGATGCTTAAGTTTTAAGACATCCAGAGAGATTTCCTTCACCAGAGTCAAGCCCCCAGTTTAGGGAGCTGAGAAATGGAGAAACAGCTAGGGACTCTCATTCAGCAGCTCTGGGCCATGGTGCAACATTTGAACTACAGTCAAGCAGCAGTGAGAGTGATGATGATGATGATGGCACAGCACCACCTCCCTACCCTGGGAATGTGCATGAAGATCAGGCTGGTGTTAGCAGAGTGTCAAACTTGGTTAGGCCCACTGTCGAAGATGGTACAAATGAACATAATGTTACTGCTGTTCGTGAGATCCCTTCATTAGCAGTGATTATGGCAAATGAACAAATTCCTACAGGAGACAGTCCTCAAGATCCACTAGCAGATTTGCCAATCCTATCGAGGCCCATTTATTCTTTTGATGCAGCTAACAGTATGAACAGGAATGAAGGAGTTGCGCTTTCGTCACAAACTTGTGGGTCTGGTAATGATGAACAAATTCAATCAGCAGCTAGTGCTCAAGATCCATTGTTAGATCAACCTACTTTATCCAGAACCAGTCGTAATGATACAGACAGCAGCTTAAGTAGAGCTGAAGAACTTGAGTTGTTGCAGACTCATGTATCACATGACGATAACACGGAAGAGTTTACAGTTTAAGGAACAGAATAATACCTTAAAATACATTGCACCAACAAGTTACCAGTACTTGTATGAAGATATGATGAATCCCGTGTAAATATGCAAAAGAACTGAATAGAAGTGAAGGTTCAACATGACACAGTAGTGTTGCCAGGAGCTGGCCCAAGCAGGAAGTTTTTGTCTTGGTTGTTATTTAATTTAATGCAAAGCCTCTTAGGAGAAAAAGAACCTAATAACTGTGTGAGCACAGCAAAACTTTATAAGAGGTAAATAATAGATTGTTAAAAACACAGATATTTAAGCTCTTCAGACAATTCATGGCCATAACTGTGAGGAGTTCCTGTCACTACATACAAATCAAGTACACCAGGTTCTAAACCTGTGACAGCAGACAGGCATTTTTATGTGCAAGCAAACTTCTATGAAATGATTTAGGAACCCTTAATTACTAAATAAATCTAATAGATCTTTGCCTGCTGATTTGCATGTTTGCAATCAGAGATTATTCAATATATGTTTTTTTAAAAAAAACAATTTTTTGGATGAAAAAATTAGGTCCATATTTTTATGTGAGCTCATATGGTTTGTCAACTGTAATCAGTGATTGTGGTTCTTGTTGAAAAAGTAACTGAAGAAAGACATCAAAAGATTAATTCTTAAGTCGGATAAAAGAATCATGTTTCATTTTTAAGCAATCCACAGTTTACTAGGCCAGAATTACCGAAAAACAAATTTTGGAAAAAATAAGACCTAACCAGAAAGATTGTATCGCATTAAAATGCACATGTTATTTTTAACCTGTCATGTACATAATAGCCAGTCAACAACTGTAGCTGCTTAAGTTAACAGTTCTTTATCCATAGGATTAAGGAATAATTTAATGTTCTGTCAAAATATTGACCTTGTGACTTTTTAAGAGTGGAACAATATTATTATTGTATAAACTAGGTATATTTATTTTCTAATATGACATTCATAATACAGGCAAACCTGTATAAATTGTAACGGCCCTGTATATAGTGGTCACCCTGTACATAGCAGTCATCCTGCATATAACGGTCACCTTGCCATTTCCCAAAGACTGCCGTTGTACACAGGTTCGACTGTATCATTTTACGCAAAATTAAATGACAATAAACAATGTCCCCTAGGTTACAGAAATAGAAATTTTATACATAGCCCTAGAAATTATATACAAGAAGTACTACAGCATTCAATGATAACAAATTTAGCCAGGGCCAAAAGCAAAGCTCTCTTTATTATCTATAATTTACTCAAGCAAAAAATAAAATCGTGTAATGCTAAAGAAAAGGTGAAGACAACAAGAACAGTAAAACACAACAACAATAGGTCTAATGGAGAGAAGTTGTTACATCACGTTGCCTTGGTTGCCATGGTTTCTGGATCTCAACAAACCGTGGTCCCGCAGATATGAAAGAAAGCAGCAAAAACGTTGACATGTATGACTTTCCTGAGCATGATTACACTTAGGAACAAAACGGTAGCCCATATTCTATTTCCACCTTTGACAATGCAAATGGCCTGGCAAGAAAGATTGTTGTGATCCAGAAATTTTGCTACCATGGTAACCTGACATCACACTTCTGCTCTTTATTCACAAAACAACAAATTTGCATGTGCAGCACACTTTTTTTGTACATTTCTTTGCTGTTTTTTTGCATGACAATGTGACACTTAACAGCAGCAGTGAGAAAAATGAGAAATGCTTGTGGCCACCAATGTAGACTGCCTAGCAGGTGCTTGGAAGTAACAGGTGCGAGAAAGAACAGGGAGCATGCCGTGTTCTTTCTTGTGCCCATTACTTCCAAGCAGGCTACCTTGGTGTCCACCAGCATAGCCTGCATAGCAGGTGCCGAAAGGGGTAGGGGATTGGGAGGAAAAGGGAGGGGGATTGCAGCCTACCACTAGCACTTCTCATTTTCTCACTGCTGCTATAAAATTTTCATTTCTTGTTCTAGCTCTTTCTCTGTTTTCCACATTAATGTCAGCTTTTTTTACTCTCTAAAAGGCCACGTAGCCATGTGATTTACCGCTGAAATTCGTGGGGTGCTTGAAATGCAAAATTTCACCCCAGCTTACATGAAGGGGTGGACATACATACGGACGGATGATTGTGTTTTTTTTTTTACTTCAGTAATTTATTTTTCATGTTCTAAAAATATGCTTTTCTTGCATTAAATGCAAACAATGAATATTAGTATTTTTATTTTTACTCTTCATTTAATTCTGTTCACAGTTTTAAATAGAAGTGGGCAAATTGTACAATTACTTTTAATTACGTTTCTTTAGTGTGTACAATGAAATATTGAGTATTGTTTAAAGGATGACATCATTATGGGATAAAGTAAACATTTTGTACCCTCAAAAAATAATTTGTCATATTACTCCCCTACCTCCCCACAATGGCCACCTCTTCACAATGGCCACTACTTTCCTCTGTGCCAAAGGTGGCCATTGTGGAGAGGTTCGACTGTAACTTGCATTCCTAAAAAAATTCCTTTGTAACGGCATATAATTTACAGGCACTGAAGAAAAACATTTATAATTGTCGATATTTGCATTAAATCAGCGGGTTTCTTTTGACCCAATCATGTCGAGAGAATAATTTGATACGCAAAACTTGTATATAATTTGCTGAATTGAAATGACAGGCTGTTTAGCAATTGTTTCCAAGTCTTGTCACCCAAACATGCCACCTTTCCAAATCTACCTTGGAAACTTTTTTCTGTTTGTAAATTATTAATTTTACCCCGCGATTTTGAAAGGACAAACCTTTTAGCGTTGTAAACGGCATTTTCAAATACCATATTTCCTTGAATAAGCATCCAGGACTTCAGATAACGTACAAATTTTCTGCAACCATTTTCTTTGTTCCAGAATATACATGAAGAGGATGGGTCAAAGGTGGATTAACAATAATTATTAGACGGAACACAATAAGAAAAAAAATCCTTTGGAACACAGGGAACAGTTAAATTGCCAAAAAACTCCCTCTTTTGCAGGTACACCTTCCGTCTTTAAATTTCTTAGACTTACACAAATTTATCTTTATGGTAAAACCATTTTAACACATGTATTACACATAGACTAAACTTTATGATGATATTTTTTGGGGGGCGATCAGAATAAAAATCACATGACAATGACGTCACAATAATTTTAGATCTAAATCGATTTGCAGTCCTTATCGGCATTTTCTTTAGAAATGCTTGACGCTACCTATACTTTGGATGCTTGTCTTCTGTAGTGTGAAGTTTCACAAAAATCTATAAAACGAATTTCAAAAAAAAGGTCTAAGAGATTCAAAGATGGAAGGTGTACCAACAAAAATAATGGGTCAAGCCACCGTTAATCTTAAGTTACTTTTAAAAGCAACCTAGCCTGAATTTCAGCCCCCTCCCGTAAACAGAGGTGGTGGTTGATTTAACCTTTGTATAAATATTATTTTAGAAATCACAATCACTCAAGCATCTTACAACTGATTTTATTTTTAAATTTTATCTGTTGTTAGAATTTAAATAACATTTTCCTGTAGTAACTTGTGTTTCTTTTCATAATTAAGATCGTCTTAGCACCTCATTTTTGTTGTTTTCAACACTCTGGACATGATCTTTCGTCCTCAGGCTATCTCCTTTAAGTGAGAAAAGCAGACATTAAAATGCAAGTTCAAGGCGTACTCACGATTTTTTTTTGACCTTGGTTGTCATGTGGGAGAGAGTGTCTTATTTTTCTCAAATACACAGTCATGAAAAGTAGGAACTTTCAAAAGATCTATTTCGGAAAGAACAACTGCTTTTACCAACATTTATCCCCTGGATAGTGATTTATCTGGTGGATGGCATTATCCAGCTTTTGAACAACTGGTGGCTGCTTTTTTGTGTAAAGACAGAATTTTAAAATGAGCTAGTCCTCAAACAGCTTTGAGCAGTGCTACAAACAATAATGTAACACATAATACTATAGGAGGTACAATCTTAATGCCTCAATAATATTACTAATTTTAATTCTACATCTTTGTCCCAGTGTATGATAGAAATAGCAAAGTGAGGGGTTTTTTAAAAATAATCTGATATTCTGAGAGTTGAAAATTAAAAAATAGCCATTGTAGGGGTCTTGTTTCCGTGACAACATGGTCACTGTTGTGGACGTTTGGCACTTCATTAATGTTCTGAGCCTGCAACTTTAGCTGTCAGTTGTCTCTCCAGTTCAAGTTGTTTTTCATGAGCTTCTGCTTTACTGCGTTCCTCTTTCTCTTTCTGTAACTTGAGTTTCATTGCTCTCTTCTAAAATGTTAAATTATTAAAATACAGATGTAAGAATTTGTCTTTCCAACTGGGAAGACATGGTTGGTAATTTTACTTCATAAACATAATAATTATCCATGTTTCACTTTCAATACAGTAATGAAAATATTTTCGTACCAGTACTTAGGATGATCCTTTATTTTGTCTTTTCTTGCGTTTCCATAGAGTAGGTACCTAATCTATACCATGCCAAGTTTAGGAAAGAATTTTCTTTAATTTTTTCTTAGTATGGCTATGCTCCATTTTCATCAGCATGCATGCATGGTTTTTTTCGGCTTTAACACAGAGCACAGCATATAACAAAAACAACTGATAAAAAAAAAAAACATGCAGTGACTTAAGGAGAAACAAACAGGCCCTTTTCACGCTTTACTCAGAATCCAGTATACACAGAATAAACTAACAAAGAACTCGCTACATTCTAAGTATGCTAGTTAGGCGTACTAAGCAAAAAAATTAGAAGGAGGTGCCTAGAACACGCAGCATATGACTTAATCCTGTGACACTGCACACAATGTGGGAAAGCTGATGAATTGTTAAACTAGTAAGCTTACTATTAAACTCCTGGTTAACTTAATCCAAAAATGACTATGTAAATTAACTCACCTGAAGTCTTCCTACTCTGTCTTCAACAGAACTCATATCCTGCTTGATTTTCATAAGTTTTATATGGTATGTGCGAACATATGACAGCTGAAAAAAGGAGTAGAAATTATTAAATTTTATATCACATTGCACACTGAGTAAAATAACTACCATCTATCTTTTTGTAATGGTCTCTGGAGTTGAAACTTCCTCATAATACAAAGTATTTCAGGTGTGGTACATTATTTTCCCTAAGTCACTTTAACAAACCTTGTTTTGTTTAAACACAATAAAATTATTTGTTTTAAAAACAGCATTTTCTATCAGGGTATCTTCTCCATTATGGTTTGGGAATTTTTGGTGAGAAACAACAAATGGCTTTTCTTAAAGTTTTTTTACTTTTCTATATATATTAGGCACTCCACTTGGGCTAAAAATCAAGAAATCTTCTGTTCCCTACCAGTACCAATACAAACACACTTAATTAAACTTATTATTATTTGAATACATTTTCAAATTATTCTTAACTCATATTTGACCTGTCACATATATGTTTATCAAAGAAGCTCAAACATTCATTATCGTTACAACACAATACGAAAAAAGAATCAATACAATAAAAGCTCTTTACATACCGGATCGGATTTAAATGTTACAAGCCAAAAATAAATTAAAGTTAAAACATTTTAACCTTGGTTAATTCTCTTTGACTCCTAGCATAATTAATTTTATCAACACAGCATTAATGGTCATGTTTTCTTACCATCAAAGCAAGATTTCTGGCTGATATACAGTCAACAAACTTGTCATTTTCCTGTTGCATAGTTTCAATCAAAATGCCTTGATTTTGCCTGAAATGTCACAGAAGACATAAAACATCACCATAATGTTCAACTACATGTATGATGGCTTTTTGAAGGTCAGAGATGTTTAATTTGTCTATGCTAATGCCCTGTTTTAATTTCTTTAGTATTATTTTTCTTCAAATAAATGAGGCAGTTTTTAACTTAAAAATCATGACCTGTAATATGAACACTTTCTATTGCCTCGTCATGATCAGTGTCATTATTAATGCGGTTTGACTGTAATCTTTGTCAGTGACAATATAGCCAGTGCCAAAATGCTGCAGAAACAGTGCTATGAAACAAAATATTTTTGAACTTTGCAGGGAAATGGGCTTAATTTAAAAAAAGCAATCAATAGCTAAAAAGTTTTTTTTTTATCTTTAAGATTTGGTAACTAACACAGGAGACCAGAAGATTTCTGCTGTAACTGGGAGTGTTGGCATATATGACCTCTGCCAAAAAGTCCCCCATTGACAGTCAGCTTTATTCAATAATTGTCAATTATGTATTGGTCAAATCAAAGCTTCAACATCGCCCCTGGGCATTTGACATCTTTGCTGTCCCAGGGGCTGGGGAATTTGAACCACAGCCTTGATTTCATGTGACATGTCTCGGTGCTTCACACGAGGCTGGTGGACTTTGGAATGATTTCAGAGAGAAAGATTGTGGCTTCATGGCCAAATGGCTGCAAAGCAACAGTCCAGACAAGCTTTGTGCCATGTTCGAAGGTATTTAAATTCTTTTTTATGATTCCTGCTTTGAATATATGAATATGTTTTAAGTTGAGTTACAATAAAATATAGTACCGGCGATTTGTTACTGGCCACATGTAATGTTTATTAATAAAAAATTTAAAAGGTATGCAATGATCATCAGTGAAAAGGTCATGAATGTATGGATTTGTAGTAATAATTGAAGTAGGTGGAATGTTTAGAAAGCTTTATGTTGCATGACCCCCGAAGAAAAGCTGTGCATTCAGTGTGGTATATGTTTCCACCGCTTTGCACAAGAGTTTTGTTCGTATTATGAAATATGGTAACTTTTAAAATTTCCTGAGCTGGGGGCATTTGATCACCTAAAATGGACCTGTATGATGGGGCATTTGAACGGCTTTTTGGCTTGGGAGGGGGAAATTGGAACAATAATTTTCAAAAAAGTAAAATGCCCGGGGAATTACCCGGGGGGATGTGGAAGGTTCGATTTGACTGATACATTACAATGTGGCCAAGTATTCCTTAATCCAATATGGGTACCATAAGGAATGTCGGTCGTTTCGCCAACGAGTCGTTTCGCCAACGGTCGTTTCGCAAACGTCTCCGGTCAGTTCGCAAATATCTCTGGTCAGTTCGCAAACGTGTAGAAGTCAGTTCGCAAACGTTATCAACATTCATATGTGTAGAAGCCAGTTCAGTTCTGATTTCGGATGTCAACATTTGACCATACAAACTAACTCTCAAGCCTAGTCTTGTAGTTGATTTCGCTCTATCACAGCGTTTGCGTATTGCATGTACAATAGCTGTAATCCGCAAATCAATCTACCGGTATGAAACAGGTCTTACTGTTGTTGTGTTCTATCAGGAAGCTTTTCTCCTGAGGTCCACAAATTCCGAGAGACCGGATAAAAACGCCTCCATCTTGGAATGAAATATTGACATGGTTGCTAAGTGACGTACGTTGAACGTCTCAACGTCCTTCACTCTCTATTTCCGGTTCCGGTAGTGACTCTGGTTTGGTTACAGGAATTTTTCAATGAAGTTGTTATAATACACAAACATATTTATTGCTTACAGTTAACACGAATTACATGCAGGGACGTGTGGGCTGTCCGAGTGACGCCCGCCCTAATAAAGACAATTTCAAATTTTGAGTGCCGTCAACTACCATTAACTTAACCGATTCATTTAAATTAAAATATACCTTATTACATGCGGGGACGTGTGGGCGATCAGAGTGACACCCGCCCCTATAAAGACAATTTCAAATACGTATCTGTAGCTACTTTTGACAAAACCGATTCATGTTAATGATAGTAATATGGCTACCCTAACATTGAGTATTTTCGACTAAACCACTAATAAACATTTTTCAAATTTTTCTGTGCACGTCAACTACTATCAACTTAGGCCGATACACTTAAATTAAAATATACCTTATTTCAAATTTTTCTGTGCACGTCAACTACTATCAACTTAACCGATACACTTAAATTAACATATACCTTATTACATGCGGGGACGTGTGGGCGATCAGAGTGATACCCGCCCCTATGAGACAATTTCAAGTATTTCTATGTAACTACTTTTAACGTGCTGGGCCGTTTAGATGTGAACAGACCTTGAGGAGCTGCGAGGCGGTCTTCTGTCGGTTGTCATACTGCTCCCAGTATTCAAACAACTTGGCTTGTAGATGTCTGTAAGTTTTACGCTGCATGCGCTTCAATTTCCTCTCGGAGACCAGCCTAATGGTGAGAGCTGTGAGCTCCGCCTCCCTGTCCAGTAGCTCGATGAGATAATATAAAGGCAGGTTGCATTGCCCACCAGCTCTGCGATTTAGGGCGTTATGCCAACCTTCTATGTCGTTGTTGGTACGAACTGGTTGTTTGTAGACGCTCCAGTCCTTTGGCGTGAAGACGGGGTTTTCGATCCACTGGCGTTTCATGTAATCGACGAGATCCACAATGGGCTGTGCTTGTTTCGCGCACTCGCCGGATCTAACAAAGGCGTTGATGGTTACGAGCTGTTTGAAGGGATGTCGTACTAGCTTGAAGGTGCCATCGACGTACCAGGACTTTGCTATAGCCAAAGTCTGCAGCTGTTCTGGTCTGGCAAATATGAGGTGCCGTCGGTTCTTCACTATTACATTCGCCTGGTAGAATCCTTGGGGAATACATTCTTCTATCAGCTCGAAGTTCAGGTCCTTCGGGTCTTCAGGTCGTAAACTTTGGCGCAGACGGTTGGCGGCCCTCGCTATGTACTCGGGTTTGGGAAGGGCTGGGCACGGGGCTTCTGTCAATTGATCCAACAGGACCTAAAACATAGGAACAGATTAATGGGGTTACAGTTAAACTAGGTTCTTATTTTAGGCATGGTTATCATCTAAACTGTATTCGACAGAATTATTTTTAATTCATATAATTTACGTCATGCGGCGTACGGGGTTATATTCACAAGTTCTTTGGGTCAAAACACGTGAACGAGCGAGTGAGGGCTTTTGACGCAAAGAACGAGTGAATTAATTACCTCATTCACTATCGCCGAAGCTGGCTTGAACTTGTTCTCCAGCGCTTTGGCTTTAACCGTAGTGACGATCTTTCTCGCGGTTGCGGCGCCAACATCCGCCCGAGTGGTTATGGGAATTCTTCCCGCTTGGAATGTTCCGTCTCTTTCTGCTACCGAGGCCTTACAGGGGTTGCCTTTTGGACGGACCGTGCACTGCCAATAGGTAGCGTGGGATCTCTTGGCATTTACGTTATAAGTAAATCCAAGGCTATCGACTAGCATGGCTCTCCCGCGTTTGGTTCCCTCTTCCACTAGATGGTAAGTAACTGAGGCCCGGTGGTGGGCAATGACGTCGCGGCTTGGGAGTGGCTCAGCAATTGAAGACTCGGTGAGGCAATCGTTATCTGTGGAATAAACGGCAAAAATCACATTAATTATAAAAAAAGAAACAGAAAAGGGCGATTATGATTAGGGTGAACTATTGCGAGAACTAGAAAGATTTTAAGAGAAAAGACAGACTAACTGATTAATCATAATAATTCATTATGGAAACACCAAGTACAAGAAAAAAAAAAAAAAACTTACGGTTGTCCTCCAAGCTCTCTCGGCTATCGTATTCCGCTGTTGATCGCTGGGACGGTGTATCAAGTGACGGTGGAATGTCAAAGTCATCGAGTCTTGTACTCTCAGCGATGGGTATGGAATCATCATCAGCACAGTAAATGCATGTCCAAACGATCTCCTTTCCTGATCGCACTGCAGCCCTGTAGTCTTCCCTCGTGATGCCTGTCTGGCATCGCCGGTGTTGCCACCTGTCGCAGCCATCACATAACAGAGCTTCCTGACGAGAAGTGACTTCTTTAGCGCAGAAGATACAATAAAAACTTTCCATGACTAGTTGTCGACTGACCGTGAAGGTAAGTTGAATGAAATGAACAGAACTTCGCAGCCCTTTATATACTGTAGTGACCAGTAGCAGCGGATCAAAATCACAGCAATGTGATTGGTAGTCGATTACATACTGCACCACTGATTTGTCGTTTTCCACTAAATAGGTGACAACTAACTCTAATTAAGATAACAATAGCGCGCGCGTGTTTCCTACGAGGTAAGCTGTATGAAACAAAACGCGAACCGAACCACACGCGTGTAAGTGAAGAGGACGAACAATTATCCTAAAGGACTGGGTTTAAATAAAGCAACTTCAAAATGGCGGTCTGTCTTGTCTGTCCATTTGATTGAGGAATATACTTTAGCGGGAAATAAGCGGTGAGAGTTCACATCCAATAATTTACGCATACAACGAGTAAGTAATGTAGTATTCTGAATCGTACAGTTAAAGCCAGGTTGACATGTAAATGTTTGTAACATTAAATTTCAGACCCAATAATTTAGGCATAACGTTAGTATTCTGAACTGTACAGTTAAAACGTAGGTTGACATGTCAATGTTTATAACGTTTGCGAATTGACTTCGAAACGTTTGCGAACTGACTTCTACCCGTTTGCGAACTGACCGGAGACGTTTGCGAAACGACCGTTGGCGAAACGACTCGTTGGCGAAACGACCGGTTTCCACCATAAGTACAGAAAGCAGTATTTATATAAACCCTACCACAATCACCCTGCCTCAAGCTGAATTTGCACAAAAACTGACAAAAAACAATGGAATAAACGCACGCAGTATGATGTGATGCATTTTAAGTGAACTAAAGCTGAAAGTACTTGAGCTAACAAGAAACAACAAAGCTTATACAATTAATATAGTGCGAACCGACTTGCTCACGTTAATTCGCCCAGACGTCCTTGAAGGCTCTCCATATTCGGAACAAATGACTGCATGAAACCTTCGGTAAGAATTTCTGTAATATCTGCACTTTCCTTGCTTTCTATACTACTGTCCGCGTCGTCAACAGCTGTTTCGTTACTCATTTCGAAACGAGGTTTCGCCAGCAGGGAACTAAGAACTTCTTGCAACTCGTCCTCTCACATCCAAAATCGATAACACTGCATACTCGGAAACGAATTCTACACGAGACGGTATCGACATGTATCGGTAAATCCGAACTTTTCCTTAAAAGGGGTGTTTACCATAATCCGCTGACCATCTGTAAAGGTGCGAAATTTCGAAATCGTGACTTTTCCTGAATATTTTGAGGAGAGAGAGAGTGGAGGGATGGGAACCGGCGACCGCTTCACGCGCTAGTTGTGAATATGATCACGTCTTGTGGCACTATTCTATGGCTTTGGAAAATTTTCTCTTCTTTGGATTTATAGCATCATGTCCGAACATTCTCCTTTCGCGGAGTGTGGAGATTTAAGGCCCCGCCAAGGGTCATTTCTAGCCAGGAAAAAAACTTGGAAAGATCTACAAATTGCCGTGAAACAGACCAAGTCCGTTCAACAGAACCTTGTAAACCGAGTGCCTCATTCATTCACGTTTTGCGATAACAAGCTTTATTTTCTCGCTGTTCCTTTTGGGAGTCGCGAGAACACAGTTCATTATGTGGATCTTCCATCTGAACACCTAAACAAAGAAAAGTCAAACGATTTTATGCCGCTCTCGTGGAAACCTCTTCTAGACTCCTTTAGAATAAGTCGTTCGTTTTCGGGATATTCGAGAGAAGAACAGCTACTCCGAGAAAGAAAACGTTTAGGTGCATTTGGTATCACTTCGTACGATTTCGACGCAACTTCAAGGCGGTTTATGTTTGCGGCCTCCAGTAGTTTGTATACGTGCACAGATTGGCGAATCGATGAAGAGGTAAGAAACCACCAGCTAATCACAGTAAGGAGCTTTTAAAGCAAAAATGAGAGTGAGATGTGTCCGTGATTGAGATGGCGTGAAACATACAGTTACACCGTGTCAACTGCTAATTGAATTACAGTTAACTGTTGGGATGATTATTATCTTATCATCATTTGTCATTGGCTAATGAGAAGCAATTGAACCTGTCTAGTTTCATCGTAAACCACTTTAATTTGTTGAAGCTGTTGTTTGTATTTTTTGTCAGTGATCTTCATTATTCTGTTGGTTGGTTTTGTATCTAAAAGAGTCCATTGATCTTTTTACATTCATTATGCCTTGCAATGCACCTATCAATGTTAATCTGGAGCGGGGGAGGGGGGTGGGGAGGGCAAAGGCCAGGGATTTAAACTTGAAGCAATTTTTTGGGTCAAATGCCCTACCCCAGGGACATCATATTTGGTCAAAAGCGGACGAATTCCCCACTACTCCAACCAAGACTAGAGGTCAATTGGGTTTCATTGAAATTAGCAGCATACATGTACCAACATTCTGAAAAGGCCTCATTCATTTATTGTAACAATAATATTGTCTTTAAATAAACAGGCTCAATAGTTTTGTCAACTTACTTTTATAGAAGTACAACAGAATGCAATCTTTCTTAACCTTACGCAGCAAGACCTCTAAAACTGTATGGCACGGTGTTTTCCATTTTATTAGCCCCAAATATAACTAGCCAATACACTTTGCTGCATTGTGAACTTTAATAACTGTGAAACCAGTGGTAGAGTTTTGTTTTTCACAGCCTTTCAACTTTTCATTCGCATGTTGCATAAAGTTATTATTTGCGAGTCATCACTTGTTGGATGCATTGATTTGAATCAGAATAGACAGGATAAAAATAGATATCTTGTCACGTTCTAATCAGCTGTTATCTTGCACATGTGCATAAAATGTACTCACAGATCCTTGTGAGAACAATGGCCACCATCTTTGGTTACCCAGTACCCCTGATAATGCAACTGATAACCGACTGGTAACCAGGTCTTCCCAAGATGGTGTCCACAATCAGAGGAAATTCAAAAGTCTCCATCCTTGGGACTTGGTGATGATCAAAAGTTCCAAACCACAGGCCGACTTTCTTTATCAAATCTTCGCCCTTCACTCGACCTCCCTCCCCCCCTCCAGATTAAACATTGATAGGTGCATAAGCTGCCCATAGGTTTTTAATTAATCAGCTGTTACCAGGAAGTTGAAGAATAATATTCATCAACCACATTCCCAGCTTTAACCTTCATCTAATTGCACAAGCTTTGTGACAAACATGAAAAGTAAAAATTTACAAAAATCACAAATTCGATGTTTGTATAAATTGCCAAAATATTACCATTGCAGGGTCATACACAGGATCTTGTCTGACACATTTAAAGAACACTATTTAAAGTCTCCATGTTGGACTGCAGAACTGAAGAGATACATGTAAATCGAGCCTTGTTTTTTGTCTTGGTGACCACTACCAACTTAACTGTTTGTATCTAAATTTGTTAGAAGCAGCTGTGATGTACAAGTCATACATATCATCACCTCATGCAATCCAGGTATAAGGTAGACTTAACAAGGTCTGCCGTGCCATATATGTGTGTCACACACTCACAGATCAAAATATCGGCAGTCACACTTCACAGGACAATTTCACACACTTTTGGATTAATGTCCTTTTCAGTATAGACCTTTACCATAAAAAATGAATTCAATTTCCATCCAAAATATTCTAGTGAATGGCAGTAAATGTCTTGTTTGAGTCCTAAGTATCAAGCTTAAATGTGGTGTTCCAGTTCAAGGAACAGGACACCAACTTGTGGTTGTATGGTGTGACACATTAGTAATGTATTAACATTCACATGAGTTCTCATCCGTCATGGTTTGGGTACATTCTTTGGAAATCACAGGAATCTTTGTTTATGTTCAGAAGGTGTCAGAGTGTCTTTGGTACTGTTTGGAAGTCATCAGATTTTTTCAGAAATTTAGGTATAAAAGTAGCCTGCCTTTGATTTTTGAAAAGTCGGGAGGTATACATACTGTACTATCATTAGTGGCTTCTGCCCATTTAAACGGTCCCTGTCTCTTCCGTTTTGTTGAGGATCAACTAACATATAGCTGACAGAATTTGTGAATCACAGCCACCATGGTGATGCCAGTTCCAGATCCAAGCCAATATCCTGGAAAATTAAGGGCTTGAATCTCAGACTCAGTTTCTAAACCAGTGCTCTGAGTCCAGTGGAGTTAATTTTGTTATCATTCATAAATGTATTATATTTTTTGTAGGATGAAAACAGACTGCCAATTTTGCCAGAAGAGCTTCATTCACAGACCCCAGAAACAAAGATGGATGCTAAACTTTGTCCTTGTGATCCCAACTTAGTGGCTTTTATTCATCGTAATGACATTTGGATCCATAATATTATTACAGAGGAGGAGAGAAGACTGACGTACACAAATCAAGGCTCACCGAGTCATATGGAAGAGCCTGTATCGGCTGGTGTAGCATCTTTTATTGTTCAAGAAGAATTTGACAGATATACAGGATACTGGTGGCAACCAAACTTTAGCACTGACGAGAGTATGTACTACCTTATTAAAGCACATTAAAACTTCATGGAAAAGTATAAATCGGTTATTTTAGATACTTTAATTTTATCCATATTAATACTTAAGCCTAAATTTCCACTCATAGGGTAATACAAGATTTGAGTTTGAGTTAATTGGAGTAAAGCATGTGGTTGATGACGAGTGTTATTGACTCAGTTGGTCATTTGTTTTTAAATTGACTTATTGATCATTCGTTGACTAATCACAGCTTACTGGCTGGTTTGCACACTAAATGACTGGCAAGCCAATTCATGAGTTGATACAAGAAAGTCAGAAAAGAGGTTCTGAAGCTGACATTTTGAGTGCTAACCCTCTGCCCAAGCAGACAGTCCATTCTGAGTGGCTCTAGTAAAAGGCTAGTGCTTAACAATATTAGCCTTTAATCTAGTTAAGGTAGCAAATTGACTTCATCACCTTAGTTGATGAAACCAAATTTTGGTATTTCCCTCCCCACCAACACAGCACCAAAGTTTCTTTTACAGTCAAGCGAGGTCAAGCATACCCCGCAAGATTCCATTAATGAATTTACTATTCGAAAGTTAAATCGGTTGGTAGTTGTAGATTTCAGTTTCATCTCAGCATTCCTGCATACGTAATTAGCAGTGAATTCACATGCGAGGTAGTTATGAGAGTTCTGCCAGCTGAGTTTTCTTGAATTTGATGTAAATGTCTGAAAAAAGAAATTTTATCTAGTCAAAGATTTTTCAATCTGACCGAATACAGAGGAGTTATCTTGAAAAAATCACCGCTCATTACACATGCAGGAATGCAGATTTGAATTTGAGACTAGTTGCAGCAATGACTAACATATGCATTTTTCAAAAAATCGATTCATTAGTGCAATCTTGGCGCGTGCGCTTAGCTTGGCTTGACTGTAAAGCTAACTTCTTCTTTCATTGGCTAACTGATTGACTAATTGAACAGTTCACTAGCTGACAGTTCTGACATAAGTGACTGGTCACATGGCTTCAAAATCAATCAATTTGATTTAAACAGGTGATTGATATAAGCCTGGATACTCTTAAGGTTAATTTTTTCTTTTCCAAGTAATAGTAGTTTAATCTTTCATTGACTTATATAATTTTTAATGATTTGTTAATAGGTTTGACAAGGACCTATAGGATTTTGTTTGAAGAGGTAAGCCTAGCAAAATGTAGACTTGTATAACTAAGCTCCCTTCTTTGGTAGAGAATCAGTGTCAGAACCAGTAAAAATATGAAAGTTCATAAGTTGAGAGATATGATTTTATAAACTATTCCTAATGTGAAATCAGAAAAACTTTGCACTGTTTTGCTGACCATTCACAAGTTCTTTTAACATTTAAACATGATCTGCTGAACTCAAAACTCTCAGCAACAGCAAGAACATGTTATAAATAAAAATAAAAATAATGGAATTAATGATATTTAGCCAGGGTGGCCTCTGCAGCATAAAATGCTGATATCATAGAGGGCCCTGGAAAAAAAATTAGAACAACTAGCCTAAATAACAGCAACTAAAAATACAAAAAAAAAAAAAAAAAAAAAAAAAAAACTACAAAAGTTAAAATACAACAATAATAAAAAGTCATTTAAAAAAGCTAAAATACAAGAATTAAAATACACTTAAAAACTTTAAAAGTATTTGCTTGTGATGTAAAGAATTCCAAAATACAAGTTTTAAAAGTGACAACTGACACATTGTTATACACAGGAATGAAGAAAAAGTTACTAAAATGCCTGAAAAATCAGTTTTTTCCTTACATTTATCAGGTGGATGAAAGCGCTGTAGAGGTTCTTCATATTGTCTCTGGCCCTGACAGTATGGCACGTAACAGTCATGTGGATAGCTATAGGTACCCTAAAGCAGGTATTGATTGCTTGTCTGATCTTTCAGAACAGTTTCTCAATAACCCACGTAGCATAAATAGAACATTATATGTATACTACCTTCAGTAATATACCGTAAAGTTCCCAATGTAACCACCCTTGAAAGTAGCAATAAACGTTCACACTGTGTTAACAAATGCCAAAAGTAGCGACCCTCCGAAAATAACGACCCTCCAAAAGTAGTGACTTCAAAAGTGATTTCCCTTCTTGCTAGAATGACAAAAATTACAGTTACAACAAACTTTACCAAACTTATCTGAGATTTATTTTTTAATGGTTATAATAATCTTTGACATTCCTTTACATAATGTAACTCAAAAGGTACATTACATCTTTTTTTTTTAAAAAAGTCTTCCTTTTGTCTGTGAGTACCTACACCATAATCAAACATAATTCTTTTGAATGTTTGAGTGGGAGGGGAAAGGGGGTGGGCGTTTATTCGAGGCCGGGTGCTCATGAACTTTTTCTGCATTTAGGGTGGGCAGTCATTCGAGCTGGGCATTTATTCGAATACAATAATATGGTATGCCACTTATGCTTTTATGTAATGTTTATGGTGTAGTTATTACTTTGCAGGCTCTACCAATGCCAAATCCAAGCTCAAAATCATACAGTTTAGTATAGATACAAGTGGAAGGGTAAGTTCATTAGCTTAGTCTGTCATCAATCCAACACAGAACTCTTACTTAAACAAGTTTGAGGTCCCTAGTGTAAGTTACAGACCAAGTTTTTTACTATTGATTTACTGCTCAAGTGTGTAGCACGTAGGCCATATATTAAGGATCTGAAACTTAATGTACAGACGGAGAAAACTAGGTACTATATATTACTTTATTGGTACTATATTTCACGCTTTTGGCAAGACAGTATTTTGGGGGGTTTTATTTTGACAATTTCATTAGGCAAATATGGAAAATTAAAGAGCATTAAATTTCAGAAAGCATTCTCAACTTGATTTTAGTTTCAAATCTTCTGAACTTTTTGAAAGATCAAGATAAAATGAAACAAGCAAAACACATATTAACGTTATATCACAACAGAACACAATGTCCAGAGTAAGAGAAAAATTTCCTTATCCACTTGTCTAAAAAGTTTTGCTCCGAACTTCGGCATTTAATGATCTTCTCTTGATTGACTTAATTCTTTGCTAGCATCCAAGATTTTTTATTTTCTCGGTCAATTTGAACAGTGAAGACTGTAATTTTTGGATTTTTGTGATTCTTCCATTATCAACTTGAATTTTGAGCCTGAGAATAAGTTATGTCTTAACAGAAGTAATTCTAAGATAATTTGAATTTGTATGTATAGCACTTGCAGGTAATATTATACTTCTTTGTGTATTCTTTGTCATATCCTTTAGATTTGTGATCATGTGACTGAATATCAAATGAGAGTGCCCCTGTCAGAATCATTTCCATTTATGGAATATCTTGTGAGATGTGGTTGGCTGCCAGATGGTGAAAGGTATACTGAGCTTCACTGTTATCACTCATTTCCCTGTGGATCGGGGGATAGGGGGCCTGTTTCGTAAAATTCTAGTCTAGCCTTTCTGGCAGAGGCCATATTGTAAAATCAAATCTTTGGAACAATGTGTGCCTTGATAATAATAATAGTAATAATAATAATAATAATAATAATAGTGAAATTCTTCTAGAGCACAGCTCCATAATCTCAGCATGCTTTACAAATGTAAGAAATAAAATATAAGAAATACATACGAAACTAATTTATAATTGAAAACCGGTAAATAAAAATGTTTTGAGCTTTCTTGTAAAGAGAAAAAATGTTTGCGTGTTTTTAATGTCTTACTGGCAAGGAATTTCAGAGAGTAGGTGCAGCTACAGAGAAATAGTGGTACCATATGCCTGTGTCTGATGATGATTAGGTACCCACCTATGACAGACCCCTGGATGCAGAACAAAGATTTCGGTTGGGGGTGATGAACCTGCAGTCGATCACAAATGTAGGACAGAGCCATTCCATTCAGTGCTTTGTAGTTTTTGGTTAGAATCTTAAATTCAGTCCTTTTGGTAACAGGGAGCCAATGTAGGTTACGCAATACTGGAGAAATGTGCTGAAATTGTTGAGTCTTTGTAGTAATTCCGTATGTCCTAACCCCATAACAGTCCATTTCTTTTATTGACTGGGAGTTTTGTTGCTGGCAGCATTAGTTTCAAAACTATTTAAACTGTTTTGTTTTGCTTGATTCTCAGTGTGTATGCTGAGATCCTTGATAGAAATCAACAGCATCTTGTGTTGGTTCAAATCCCCGTGGCATTTTTTGTTCCTGTCAATCTTCCAGCCAATCAGCTCCTTACAATCACAGAAGGCAGCCCGATGATTGAGGTCTTAGCTGAAGAGTCAAATGATATATGGATAAATGTGAGTAGTTGAAGACCTACATGGTCACATGCAATGTGAAGATTAGCCTACGACACAAGTCAAGCACCATGTAAATCAAATCAACAGTTGGTTTGCAAGTATATAGACCAAATTGAATTGATACAACACATGAAGCTTGTGCCATGTTGGATGCATGCCTGCTTATCTTGAAAATTTATGTATGTTTTGTCAACTCTTTTCTTAAAGAAGTACATAGCTAGAGCAGTGTAGGTAGATTGGGGGTGTGGGGGGGGGGGTTGTTGAAGGTAATAAGTATGCTTAAACTTTTCATTATAGGTGGCGGACATTATTCACTTTTTGCACAAAAGTGATTCAAGATTGCAATTTATCTGGTCAAGCGAGATATCAGGATTTCGTCATCTTTACCTGGCAACTGCAAACAGTAACCACACTCTCACACGAAGGAGAGCTGGAAGCTTTATCGCTGAGTGCTGTATTCATTATCCTCTTGTAACACAGCAGCAGTTAACGGATGGAGACTGGGAAGTGGATTGTAAAGAGGCAAGTAAATGTTATTTTTCATTCATGATTTTTTTTATCGTCATTGCAAAGAACTGCTGTTCTAGCATGTAATAGACAGGAGTAAAACGTTTAGGTCATGTACTTTTGATACAACGTCTTTATGCATATTAGTGCAGTGTGTCTGTAGGCCACTGAAATCTTTTATCTTGCAGTTTTTATGCACTGAGGTTCTCTTATTATTATTGTATTACAATTATTATTTTCACTCATTTACACTCATTAATGTAAGATAAAATGTATATTGTAATTTCTTCTTAGATTTGGGTTGATGAAAATTGTCAACTTATTTACTTTATGGCCACGAAAGACACACCACTGGAGCAACATCTGTAAGTAACCTGATTGTCGTCTATTCTAGCTGTTAATGCGGTCCAATAAGCCCCTGTAGCTACATCTCTAAATATTATAAGCCCCTCTCTAAACCTTGTTAATACGACTGGATTCTCATGGACGGACCATGGGTCTACAGTTTATGCTGCCATGACAATAATTTGGTCTCACTGTACTTCATAAGTCTTTCTGCATGTTGCAGATTCTCTTTCCCTGGATTCTTTAATGCCAGTGATTTTTAACTCTTAACTCAAAATGGATGTTATAACTTTAAGTGTTACTTTTTTGTGTATTAGGTATGTAGTATCTTATGCAGAGAACAACTATGGAGAACCTCAGCGGCTTACACAAGGTGGCTACTCACATGCAGTCACTCTAAATGAGGTAAAGAAATAAATACAGATGACACAGCTACTAATAAAGCTTTCAGCAGGTATTCTGAGAAAGAAGAAAGTCAAGACAAAGAAGTCTCTCTGCCTTTGTAAATTACCATTATTTTAATAGACCATTTCTGATATATTAAAATTCTTACCTGGATCTGAGACTTGGGGCAATAAAACAGAAGAAACCATCTTGAGGCTCAGTAATGAATAATACATTTCTTTTGTTTTATTCCTCCAAGCCTCAGAGAGCCAAGTGTGAATTTTAATATATCGAAAATGGTCTATTAGGGTGGTGTAGTGGTGAACGCACCTGTGTCCCACCAATGTGGCCTGGTTTCAAATCCCAGCATCAATGCCAAAAATTATGTGGGTTGAGTTTTTTTTGGTTTTCTCTCTTGCAAACCTCTCTCTGGGTTCTCCAGTTTTCCCCTCTCCAAGACTTCCAAATTCTATTTGATCTGGAATGCATGGACACATTATAAAGGAGTTCTTATGAACTCAAACATGTTTCATGGGTAAACAAATACAATTATAATTTGCAATTTTATATTACAAAATAATTAATTTACAATGAGATTTATGTTTTAGAACCAGTGTAAAATTTAATATGTGCTTTCTCTGCATGGTTATCCCACACATTTAGAAATCAAATCTTTTCAAACCTTTCTTGGTGCCATACAGTTGATGTGTGTCTGCTCCATATGTAACCAAGCCTCAGCAAACTTGCCCCTTTTGTTAACTTAGAATTTGTATTTTGTTTTTACATTTCAGAATTTTACAAAATTTGTAACCGTGTTTTCTTCTATCCAACAAACCCAAGCAGTGATGGTTTATCAAATAGACCATGATGAGGTGGAGATGAATAATATTCCTCTTATTACAGTTGAACCACTTGCTGAAGTGTTGAGATCAAATGGTAAGAAAACTCTGCAGCACAATGGAATTGCACCAGCTATTAACATATACTTATTTTGTACAAATTAATACAATGTGCATTGTTTTGGAAAAATATTGTGAAACATTATATTTAATAAGTATCATATCAAAAGGTGTGCTTGAATGACCAAACTCATTACGAGTGGTCAGAGCCCTGGTCAGTATTGGGGCTGTGTTGGATTCATATTGCCCATGTACTCTTAATTACTTTCTCTTCTGATCTGGACATTTGTTGATTTCTTGTTTACAGTCATTCCAGATTATCAGCCACCTGAGCTATTTTCCTACAGCAGTAAGCATGGTAAGTTTTACTGTCTTAAATCAACTGTCAAGTAATCAACTTATTTTATGGAAGAAAGCTGTTATGCTGGGTGTAGACTGTGTAACTAGTGAAGCTGTGCTACTAATCAGCATGAAAATCCCCCCCCGAAAAAAAAAAAAAAACTAGCTATGATCTGCAGACCGTTCACAGTCCCCTATTTTTCTGTAAGACTGTCAAAATCAACTGCTTACCAGTATGGTCGGCCATATTGGTTTCATATGTACCAAGGGGACAGGGGTTGGGGTCTATAGTGGTCAGGGAAGGGAGGCCTTCTCCAAAACCCTCCCCGGTGCCTTATGTACATTTAACATCATCCCCAGTCTAGACTCGGTACATTTAAAATCAAGATGTCCGCTGTAACACAAAGCACTCAATCTGGACAGTCTTACGGAAAAATAGGGGACTGTAAACAGTTTAGCTCATAATTTTGTTATGCCAAAGCCAACAATAAATTAATTACAGTTATGTTTTGCTTTTAAGGTCATCAAGTGTATGGTATGATGTTTAAACCCCCCAATATTGAGCCTGGAGTCAAGTATCCAACACTGCTGTTTTTATATGGTGGACCACATGTACAGGTAAGTCAAGCAAGGAAAATTGTAATGGTTAATAACCTACTCATACCTCATTCCTTGGGAAACTTTATTTTTCTTTGGTAAATGAACTAATATAATATATTTACTGACAGCTGGTGACCAATTCACACAAGGGGTTTCGCTTTCTTCGTCTGCACACCATAGCTAAACTTGGTTATGTTGTGGTGGTAATGGACTGCAGGGGTTCTGGGCACAGAGGCCTTCAATTTGAGGGACATATTAAGAATCGGCTGGTAAGTGAGACGATGGGCATCTGTAACACTAACTTGCTGAATTGTTTTTTTTGTGCGTAGTCAGGCTAGCTATAAGCAATTATTATGATTTGCAAAATTTTGAAATTACTAACGATATCAAACACAGACCACAATGTTTGGGTTGCACAGCGGTTTATTGACTAGAAGACCAGAGTTAAGATCAATAAACTAAACCACTTTGGGTGGAGCAGGCGGGTAAACATTGACTAGCTACAAACTGGCTGAAAAGCTGAGCTATCTTAAGGCAACTATTACTGACAGCTGAGAGGCATATTTTCTATAGGTACATCTGCACCTCGGGTGATTTTTGTACTTATATATATATGCAGATAATTTTATTAGTCTACTTGGTGAATGGGAAACCTTATGTGAATAAACGCTTCCTCTATTACTTCAAGAAAATAATGGGGGCAATAAAAAAAATAATATTATTGATCCACTTTCATGCATATGTTTCATTCATATTACACATTTCGTTTGTCTTGAATGGAATGAAAAAGGCTCTCATTATGCCTCATTCTTGAGATTGTTTTGTTCATTTGAATTTCAGGGTCAAGTTGAGATTGAAGAACAAGTTGAGGGGTTGGAATATGTTGCCAAGGCAACTGACTTTGTAGACTTGTCTAGAGTTGCAATCCATGGTTGGTCATATGGTATACAATGGTTTCTAAACCACTTTTCTTATTATTTTTGCCTGTGTACATGTATTAATTCAAACTACAAAATTATTCATTAAATTAATAAAAACATGAACGCTTTGTTCATTGTTTCTTATTTAGGAGGATACTTGTCCTTACTTGGTCTAGTACAACGTCCTGACATTTTCAAGGTAAGAATTATCAGCTGCTTTAATTGGACAATCTGGACAAATGTCAAAATTTTTAGCATTTTTTTCAGCAGTTTTACTTTTGAATCTCATCAAGTTTTTACTCGATCCTTGTATGTAAGTCCTTGGTACAGTGAATAGTTTCCTTCCTTTTTTTTTTTGGATGATTCAGATGTTGAGATACACAGAGGCTATTTTTATCTTAGAAAGAAACAGAATCCTGCAGTAAGCTTACATTCTCTTTTTTGTAGGTAGCCATTGTTGGTGCACCAGTGACAACATGGGAATCTTACGATACTGGCTACACTGAACGATACATGAGCACACCGGCAGAAAACCCATTAGGGTACAAAATGAGCTCGGTGTTAAACTATGCAAGCAGATTCCCAGATGAGTAAGTTAAGCTCTGGATTGAACAAGTAGTTACTGTAATTATAGGAATAAGAGAAAATATTTATTATTCAACAGTCAACAGAACAAAATTCATGATTGAGAAATTATTGGGAACACAGGCTAGTCTCTCCACAGGGTTACCATCCTCTGTGTTGTGAATTGGTGCTCAAAATGCACTTTTCAGGCTCCCCAAAAATCAAACTTCTTCGGGTGGAGAGGAGCCCCCCACCCTCCATCGCTTTATACCTAGCCCCACACTCGCTGCGCTCAGTGGAAGACTCTCCATATTTTTTTCTCTCCCGTTTACTGGACAATTTCTGACAACTTGCTAACTTTAAGTCTGGACGAATCCCGATGGTTTTACCACAATTTCAAAGTACACTTCTTGGCACAGTTAGTTAGTACGCGGCCTTCTGCGTCATGGCAGATTCAGACCTCGATTCCCAGGTACAGCCTCAAATTCATGTTTCGACGTCTTCTCAAAACGGAGCACAGATGGAGAGATGAGAGATTATTGAGCGCAATGTCAGCCTCAGTTTGTAAATCAGATGATGACTGTTTCGGCTTAAAATCAGAAGGGGCCTATACCCTTTCTACAGTGATGCTTTTGCACAGCAATATTTGCCTTCTGTGTGATCGTTATAAAGGCAAATGGCCAAATACCGTATTTTAGAGAATTTACCCGGAACGGAGGAGGGGGCGGGGGAACGTGTCTGACCATAGGAAGGCGCGCGCGGGGGGGGGGGGGTGGGGAACGCATTAATAGTTGAGAGTTAGTTTCATAGGTTGCTGAATATTCTGCACATGGACATAAAACGATGAAGGATTTTGTAGCTTAATCTGTCTTTCTTGATCTTTAGGGAGAACAGGCTTCTTCTTGTCCATGGTTTAATTGATGAGAATGTTCACTTCTACCACTCAAGTTTGCTCATTAGTGAACTGATTAAGGCCTGCAAGCCATATCAGCTTCTGGTAAGTGCGGTCAAACATGCTCATTCCGCGACCAGTTAGGTTATCTATGATGTAGGGAAGCGGAATAAGCAAAAATTTAAGGAGTGGCTCCAGTGCATTGTAGGTTTAAAAGGGGCCACACAACTATTGGTGATCCAGTATTTTACATTGTGGACCACAAATAAAGAGGCAAATCAGTTGGCTGTTTACAAGTATGACCGAGGAGTTGTACTTGCGACCCACCGAGAACAAACCTAACTAGCTGGTGGCCGAAGCGGGATTTGAACGTGGGCGATCAAGATAAAATGCAGCCCTTAAAGCCAATCGGTCATACTGGCTCCGTTTGAAACGTATGACACGTATTACCAATGGATTTTTAGCTTCTCACTAAGACCACTAGATACAATAGTCACTATAATAATCTGCTATATCTCTTCCCAGATCTACCCCAGTGAAAGACATGGAATACGCCAGTCGGTTTCCTCGGAGCACTACGAGACGATGCTGCTCTCCTTTCTACAAAAGAATCTTTAAAAGAGAGTTAAAACTACCATAAATTATCTTAAAATAACTGTATAGACTGTATGAAATACCTTAAAAGATATAATGTAAAGTTTTGAAGTTCTGGGTTTTCGGGATTTAGGTAGACTTATGCGTAGTGTAAATTTTTATTTTAGCTTAGATTTGCAAGCACGTGTGCAATCCCGATTTTTCGAACCAAAAACGTTCCCTTAACTTCCCCGGCCAAACAACGTAATTTTATCCTTGAGTTTTAATTTCAAACTTCAGGTTTTTCAAACCTTGAGCTGTTTTGCCATGCATGTGGTAAGCCTTTTAAAAACCATAAAACAGCTACGGCAAAACAAGTAATAAAGCAAATTGCATAATTAGGGCAAAATAACAATCAAAACTTTCCAAAGGATAACTGCTGTTGAAAAGCATCCATTTGTAAGAGATCGCACACAATTTCTGTAGATGGATGTTAAAAGTTAGAACCGTAAGCAAGTACTACCAACACCACTAGCTACCACTCTGACCACTTTGCACATAGCATAATTAATCAAACCAAGGGAAAGGAAAACTCAGCAGTTTGCATTCGAATGATTCGCCATTAAATGGCAGATTTGATTCTGTTTGTAAAATGGCATTTATTTTTTGACCAGAATTAATTGATAGTTTCAAAACGACAGTAAATGATGCATATTCAATGGTAGTGAATGAATACTCGCTGAGAAAAGGCTTCCCAATTTATGACAGATTTTACTCAATTTGCTGAATATTTTGTAGCCGACAAATGATGGCGTAATTTTTGCGTAAAGCCAAATTGAAAGACAAAAAAGAAATTATTTATTTACGCAACCCTCGATTTGGCTTTCTTAGTGATGTTAAAATTTAAAAAAATAGAAAGCGTTCTGCACGGCCGCTCCGCTGTATCTTGTGATTTAGCAGTTCTTTTGTGATCTCGTTTTATTAAGTTGTTGCCCATTTAAAGAACAAACGTCTGCAGTTGCTACACATAGGACAATATAGCTGCTATATTAAATCAGACTGCTATATTTTTCCGCTGGCTTTATCGTGTCTTACATTCTTGGAAATAATAAATTAAAAACATTTTCCTTATCCTGACATCAAAACAGAGCTCCAATTACAATAATACCAAAAAGGCGAATACACTCTCCTTTTCAAGATTTACCCCCCAAAAAAGAATGGTGTCTCGGTATTGAGTCTTAAATGCATTCACTAGGACATTAAAATCCTCGGCAGAATAGATTTGTTATCCATACCGATATCTAATAACGCTGTCAGTGACGCAACCTCGTTCCCAGGGTTCTCTCCTACCAGCCCTAGTGACATAACACTACTCTAATGGCTAATGAGAAGCACGAAATCTTTCTTTTATTTGCATGAGAGTGGAAACCTTTTTATCAAAGATTTTGAACTTACCCTCATTTTAAAAAAAAAAACAGGCTTGAGGCAAATCGGAAATTTGAAAACATTTTCTATTTATTATTCCCGTAGTAATTTAATAGTAGTTCTTTTGAATTCGAGCGAGCTTGAAATGATGTCTTGAAATGAAATTATTTTAAACTGTTAGCCATTAAAAGCGTCAAGTGTAACTTAGTTTTAATCTTTACTCGTAGTGCGAGTAAAATTCTTGCTGTAAATTGATGACCGGAAGTGAAATTTTACTTTGTTTAGCAATTTGGTCCTGTGTATTGTTAACGTTAACCACAGTCAAACCTCTATGTGCGACCACAGATCCAAAACACCATAATTTTCCCAGTCAAAGCCCTATAGTTGGAATCTGTCGTAAGTTTTATAATTTTCCATGGTTTTTAACCTCTTGTAAGCAACCGTGATTGACACATGGTCATCTCTGTTTGCTTCACATACTGTGCGAAGAACTTTTAGGGACAGCATGGAACTACGCGTATCATGACTTAGAAACTGCATGCAATAAATCCTCTTTCAAAGATGTGTCAAGACCTCTACTCGCCATAGAACAAGTATGTGTGCAAGCGTGCAAGACTTGTGCTTTGGTCGATAAGGTCATGTGCTCTTTTAAGGTGGTTTAACCCGTTGGATGGGTTTTCCAGTTATTTGTAGGTTGATCAATACCTTGCTTTTTGATTGGTTGATTCGCAACCGGTCTGGGCTAAGTAAGGGAAAGTTCATTTAATATGACAAGGGGTGGGGGGGATGAAGATATTGAGGGGGGGCTCCGAAAATTTTTAGACACCCGAAGGGGGGCTCTGAAAAAATTGTTGCGCTACTGAGGGGGGGCTCCCAAAATTTGTATACTTCAAAACCAACACATGACATCATCATACAGATCGGATGGTTTTCAACTCAACAATTTAATGACCTGTGCAACTCAGCTATATCACGTGGTTTACAGATATAACAAATGTAGTCTCAGTAATTATTACACTCTTGTTCATCCCAAAAATGCTTTAGAAAATTGTATCACAACTGTATCTCAAGTTTGTCATAGTATAAACCATTGAAGACAATAACGGTAAATATATTTAATACAGTCTAGCGATCTTTTTTCAGGGGAGCAAAGGAATTGAAGGAGGAGAGGGGGGGTGCTCTGAAATTTTTTCGACTACCAAGGAGGGGCTCCTAAAAAATTGAACCGCTAGCGAGGGGGGCTGCTAAAATTTCAAGCTTCGAGTTTCAATATTTTCATCCCCCCCCCCTTGTCATATTAAATGAACTTTCCCTAAGAGAGTTTGTTTGGTACCATCCTCGGAGACCCAGGGGCAGTCAGTCGAGTCTGGAGAAAAGGCGCGCGAATGTTTTCAAGCAAGGGCGGAAGAGCCCCTGGGTACCGACTCTCACCGGACCATTTCCAAACGGTCAAGTGAATGTTGGCTCCTGATTGGGCACAAAAAATATCATTGTGCCCAATCGGCGAACAGCATCGACTGTTATTTTCTCATAAAGGTTTGTCTGGCTCATGCACCAAAGAAAAGCACGCAGTCAGGAAACTTTCAGTTTGATATAAACTCCCCATTTCAAAGTACTGTCTACAATACTGTCTACCCGAAAACTAAAACATGGAAACGTATGTAAGGGTATTTTAAAGACGCTTTTCCAAAAATACAAACTTTAGCTTACAACAAGTATTCAAGCTTGCATCGATCACGCCCTCGTAAATGTTAGGGAGTTTATGATACCACAACGGCTGATGGCCACGAAAACGACGCTTAAGAGTGTATTCACGTTTTTTCAATCTCTATCGTGATTTTTCCACCTCTCTTGCTTTGTCAAATGCAAGCGAACTCTTTTTGAGCTGAATTCCTATCAACCACATTCAAGTTCAGAAAGAGAAAGAAAATTTTGTCATTGATTGTTTACGTCCTCTACAAAACGTCAGCATGTGAGCAAGCTCTCTGGGGGGATAAATCACTATCCAGTGGATGTATTAGGGAAATCAATTGCGCTATCCACTGGATAGCTTTATCCACCTTTCGAACAACTGGACCCAGATCTTGATTAAGATGAAGGTCAACACAATTGATGTTAATAGAAGCAAAGGTTAGACGAGTGTCATCTGCTTACATAAAAGTATACGAGGCTGACAGTGGGAAGACAATTTGGGAGGTCGTTAATACAAATAAGAAAGTCAAACAGTAGAGGCCCCAGGATTGTTCCCTGAGGAATGCCGCAGGACAGCGAACAGTTGTCAGACAAATGACCTTCCACGAAGCATTTTTGATTACGATCACTCAGGTAGGACTTTTAAGTCCATTTAAAAACCAATCATTGGAAACGCCTTGAATGCCTTGTTCATATAATTATGATATAAGGATATCATGGTGTTATGGTCTCCCTTTGCGTTTACCATATATAGTAATTAGATGCGCACGCATAGCCTGCGAAAACATCCGTTTCTCCTCGCTCTTCGCCGCTGGGGAGGTTTCTCCGCGCGAAACGTCCCCAGTGGCGAAGAGCGAGGAGAAACGGATGTTTTCGCAGGCTAGCGCACGCATAGGTTCAATAAAACGTGATTGTAGTAAATCGCCATGTTGTCCGGGGGTGTTCTCGGATCTCTCGTCAGTACATGACACATGGTTCACCTTTTCAAATACTTTTTGAAGATCTAGGAAAACTACGGCGTTAACCCCACCCATATATTTTAAAAGCCCAGTTGCCGGTAGCCTGAGTAGTGCAGTGACAGTCCAGTGAAGCTGACGGAACCCTGACTGGTGGCTAGAAAGTAAATTATCAACAGTTAAGTGTGAGAAGACTTGATCACAAACTATTCTTTCCATTACTTTCGCCACTACAGGAATAATTGAGACTGGACGATAGTTATTTTATTTCAGTCATCACGTTCGCCTTGTTTGAAGCGAATAAAAGAATAACTTTAGAACATTTCCAATCGTCAGGAAAAGCACCAGAAATACAGCGATTAAAGATGGAACAAAGACAGGGTGCAATCAGGTCAGCACATTCACGAAGCAGTCTCACAGAGATCTGACTTAGATTGACTTAATTTAGATAATGAATAAGCAGTAGCTACATCCGTTTGTTTGAGCACGAAGCAATTTTCATCATCTAGAGTAAGATTGAGATATTCTGAATGAGAACTATCACCATTGGGTATGATACTGGCTTTCTTTGCCCCGACACTAGCGAAGTGGTAATTAAAGGTTTTGGCTAACTCCCGTACATCAGCAATAGAATGGCCATTCATTTCTATCTCATTTACATTCGAATTAGTAGATTTTCTTGCATGAAGCTCATTAACGACTTTCAGGGTCCCCTGCATTGACTTGAAATGCGTTATTGTAGTACAATCCTTCGACCCTTTTAATTTGGCTTGTTGATACAGTCAGGACACAAAGTCAACATTGAGCGCCTTTTCGGCGGCTATTGCTATGCTTGTCTTTGCCGACTGAATAGTTCTAAAACACTTCTTTCCTTTAGAGGCTTCTCTGGCCAAGCCAATAACCTTGGGTTCAGGGAGATAAGTGAGAAAAAAAGTGCGGAAAGCAGATGAGATAAATACCCGGCCTTCCACTCTCCTTCTCTCCTCCTTAATGTAATGCGGTAAAGCAAAGTCATAGAAAAAAGGTGGCAACACGCATGTGCTAAGAATTGTACACCAAGGCTATGCCTAGGCTTGCTTGCATTTTTTAATGGTATTTTCTAATTAGTTAAGATAGCTGCTACACTTTGTGAATCATTGCTTAAGCCAAACAGAATGCACATTTAAACTAGGCCCATATATTTTTTTTCTAAACAGATCATCTTTCTTGTTAGTGTTCATGTATATTTTATCGAGATTATGACCTGAATGTTGTGTTTGTATAAAAACCGTAACTTGACGTTAACATTTAGACAGAAGACCAGAGTCTGGGGCTGCAGTTTTCACCAACGCTTGAACCTCTCTGAAGTTGGGATGTTTTGAATCACCCATCAGCATGAACAAGCTGCACTCACTTGTTGTAACAAACCCACCAATTTGACGTATCCGCTGAAACAAAAGTTTTGATAATATTAATTTCTACACTTCCAGGATCAAACTTTCAGGTGTGTAGGTGAGATCTTCAATGAAAGTTGTTGAACAGTTTTCATTTTAACCTGAGAAAAGAGCTGACATTTCGCGACGCCACCACTGGTTTCCCCGCGAAATGACATCTGAGAAACGAGCGAAGAAATTCCTCACGCTGCAATAAATTATTTTGGCGGGGACATATATATTTGCATTTTACACAGACACCTAGTAGTTCTATTTCCTCCGTCACTGCTAGTTATTATGCTAAAAATAGTCTTAAGAGATTTAACTAGTTTTTTACCTCAAGTGCAAACATCCTTTCAACCATTGTGCGTGATGACACCCCATCAGCTAACACATGAACATTATAGTTTCTCTCTAGAAGGTCCATTGTGGTTTGTAGAACACAAACTTGTGTCTAAAAGCAATAAATTCACTTTGCTCTTATGGTTCAGTACAAGGCAACAAAGGGGTACATAAACGTGTAATTGGTCAATTTCTACCAAGAAACACATTTGCTATCTAAACAAAACTAACCTTGTCATTTCCATTCTTCCTGGCCTCCTATTATTTCACTATATTTTTGATAACTACAAGTTCTATTGAAATTTTTATAATTCTATTGGTTTGGGAAATGCATCCTAGTGGATGCGATATGTCCAAGCAATTCTGCTTGCATGCAGAGCATTTAGAGTATGACACTCATGAAACTGTATATATATATATATATACTTAAAAGTAAAATTTTGCACTTAAATGACTGGACTCAGTTCGTGTTTATTGGACAACCCTCCTTGCTTGCTCACCTTTTTACTTAATCTTGAGAGAAATCCCACAAAAGTATGAGAAAACTGACACAACAGTTGACCACAATAGCTGGTGGTAAAAGAAATCATACAACGGACATGACACAGGTTTTGATATCTTTTTCACCCACCCTTGCAAAACCCACTCTTGTCATCAGTCTGTAATTTAATCATTTTTCTCCTCATAAGCTACACATTGGATGTCATTTTTATTGAACAGACATAATATTGTAATCATTGCAAAGAAGAAAATGGCTACCAGTATTGACATTCACTAACAAGTGGTTTGATGCTTTGCCTGGACCTTTCCCTAACTATTCAACATTGTCAACATTCAAATTTTATCAAACCAAAAGCTTTTTTTCTTAGCTCTGCAGAGGTGCACTTAGATAAGAAAACTTTATGGTATTATTTTTGTTGACTACAAATTGAGCATACCTCAATACCCATCAACACAACGTTCTCAACGTTCAGTTGCTTGAGCTGTTCTTCCACTTCAGGAATGACCATGGAAAACTTTGTCTTGGAAAAAACACGCTCCTTGAAAGGACTCGTGTCAATCTCCTCTACTGTATTGCCAAGTCCTTTGGGATACTAAGGAAAAAAGACGATTTACAACATATAGCAAGACATTACTTATAAACAGAAACTCATAAGGGGTTGAAAACCCCTCATGAGTTTCTGTTATAAATTAATCCCCTCTTCATTAAAGGGGCTGTGATGCAGCTGTCTAGTTGATTTTTATAGTACTGCCAATAGGCCATTTCCACAATGACGTCATTTTTCCACTACGACCAGAATCTTTCAGGATTTGCTTTTTTGTGCAAATTAGGGGTTTTGTTATTTAAACCTTGCTGGGATTTACCAAATTTGAATATGAAAGGAAAAACGAAAAGGATTCTGGTCATAGTGGTAAAATGATGCCATCGCACAAATGACCTATTATGCATCTTTATTCGCTATGAAACTTGGTGAAAGAGAAGAAATTACTTTCAAATGACAAAATAACAGCTTAATTCTTGTGCAACAAATATGTTTCCAAAGCATAATATCAAAATTACAATAACAAAGTAAAGCTTTGAAAAAAACTGTTAGGCTAACATCCACTAGATTAGTCTTTGCTATTTGGATGATCCCAACTTGCTCCTTACCTAGTGACTACAATTTTTATTCTTCACTTATGTAATAAAAAAATTGTATTTATTTGTCTCTTTTTCTTTATCTATCTGAATCACATGTAAATGGAGCTGAGTGAAATAAATCTTTTTGTTTATAACAAGTTTTCGAAAAAACAACAGTTCCAATCCATTTTAATCTTCCACATGTTTGTCCATCTGTGCCTTCTTTCATATTTGCTGTGCTGTTCATACCTTCTTTTAATTTTTTGAGCGGCTATTTTTATGTTTCACTCAGTTTGGTGGTGGCTGGGACTTATTAAAATTTGATAAATTTTGCGACAGAGCTCCTTTAACTCTCTTACTACCTTCAAGTAAAGTACATTTTCTTTCTCCCAAGCTCTTGCAAGGGAAATAAAAACTTATTTACTGTAAAGTGAGGTGTTAGTACTACACAACTGACACAGTTACAGGGCTGATTTAGTACCTGTTCAGTTGCAATGACTGGTATTTTCAAGATGTTTGCTGCTGCAACCTGTAAGAAAAAATAATGTGTAAACTTATGCTTATGGAATGTGAATGAATGAAACTGAAATTTTTAAGAAGACCAAGGGTGGTAACAAAACAATTGATTTCCATTATTGTTATATTGGCAATAGATTCCCAAAGAAGTTCAAATTTTGAAATATGTGCATCCATTTAGCCAGAAAATGGCCCTTCATGTTGCCAATCTTATGTGCTATGCAAACTGATGGAAAAGCAGCAAATAGTTAAGGCCTAATCAGAAAAGCACAGCTACTTATTGACACAAGCTCAGGGTGGGCAGTGTTTAGCCATACCACAGCCCCCCCCCCCCCCCCACCCACGTGGCATTACTTTCATCTCATCCCTCCAAAAATGCATGGGAAGATGGCAGATATTGTGAATAAGGTAACTGAAAAGTAATCACCAAGGGAGGAACAATGCACTTCAGCCCAAAGAGTCACATTATATTTAGAAAAACAAGCTGGAGTTTAAAAATCATTGCTTAAAGTCTGAGCAGTCTTGAATGACTCACAGTGCAGTTGTCCATAATTTATGTAGCTTTAGTTTAAGCTGCTGTTCATTCTTCAAAATTGGGATCTGTAAATCTGTATCCCTGAGAATTTGACATCCTGCAAAAACTACTGACGAGTTGGGCCCAGTGTGACAGAACATTGCACGAAAACTTCACATTCATGGACAAAAAAACATTGCTTTTAGTTATTCAGATCAAGGAGGCACTTTGGAGAAAATTAACCAACCTACAAGTTTATTTAGCCACAAAGAGGAAGTTTACATTTCAAAAGAGGTCAAAGAAAATGCTCTTGCATCAGAGGGCAAATTATGCCGACCAAAAACATAAACCGCAGAAAATCAATATGCTTTTCAAGACCTCTCAGTATGAAACAAGCTGCAAAAATAATGCACGTTTGCTCAGTCAAAACGAAGAACCCACAAGAGCAAATTCTACAGCTAGAGAAAAAATTCATTGGAACAAGCATCATTTTGGCACAGGGTAAAACTCATGTGTTACCTAACGACCCTCTTTTACACACTGCATATACCAGGTATTAACTGGAACAGCAGTGATGACCAGTGATTTTCCATAGCCGGTCCCTAAGACTGTCAATATGTCTTTCCTTTGAATATAATTTACAATGCCCTCTTTTTGTTCTGCACTTATTCCCTCCACACCATCAAATGTTCTGATGACTTTGGCTATTGCTCGTACAGCCATCTGATATTTCCAATTCTCTTCCAAAAGGCAAAAACATACGTGACTCGAGATGGATTGTGTCACTTTCAAACCACCTGCGTCCTGATCACGCGCCTCTCTGACTGTAATCCAATCAGAGCATTTGAAACATTCGACATCTCAAAGGCACCGATCAACAAAACATCCAAATTCTGGATGTTTTGGTATAAGTAGGGTTGATGGCTCAGCGCTATCAAAGGGATGGCGCTCTGGTCCAATGGCTTTTCGCGCGGGTCTCTTTTTCTTTTTCGCGCATGAAAAGCCTCTGGCACGCAGGGTATCAACTGGTTTAATTAATCTACAACACAAAGAATCATCAATTTTTTGGTTACTAGCAGGAGCTATCAAGTCGGTAACTAGAAACCTTTAAGAGAGTCTTGACTCTCACGGTATCGCTTTCCTTCGCAGAGCTTTTTAGACATGTCACCCAAAATGTGTAAAAAGCGCAGTAGAGTGGACAGTAATACGACGGAACAACTGCGAAACATTTGCTTGGTGCAGGCCCTTGATCAAACGAAATAATCAAAAGCTTCTTACCATTCTTTGAGCAACTTTGATGATCTCCGGAAAATATATAATCGAAGGACGAAATTTTTCTTGAATATCACAAAGTAAAAACGCTGTGTTTTTCACTGCAAGTCTTCCCAGCTTAGCCGCCGCCATCTTGAAGGAAGCAAGGGACACTAGAACCAGGCTTCTCAGAGCATAGAAATTGCGTGACGGCTGACGGCAAAATCCCCTTCTCTTAGCATTTTTGGCCGTTCTAATGCCTGTTATTCTTCTCTCGATATATATATATAAGGAGAAAAAAATATAAAGACGTCAAAGAGATGACAGAGAGAATAGCGGAAGAACCGAAAACTTCCTGGAATCACACCAAGACGGCCATAAATGCTAAGAAACCACCATTAAAAAAGTAGGGAGACAAGGTAAGAGTCCAGGGGGGGTACTCCCATACATTACCTATACGGGTATGTGCCGCCCAACGGAAGCTCCTGATTTAGAACGGGGTATCCATTTCAGCGGCGTTTTCTAGAACGGGGTATAATATTTCGAACGCACGAAAGCTCCAGTTTTGTAAGCAGCCATTGGAAATTATTCAAGGACAGATTGCTTTTAAAAATACGGTTCAGTGCGTTAACAAGCAAACTGTTGTACTCTTGTTGCACCCTGTGTTTTAGCGTGCAGGGCGGGCGTATTTTGGCGCGAGCCGCGAGCGCTAACTCCGCCATCTTGGATAAATAGTCCCATTTCTAGAACGGGGTATCAATTTTAGGGGAAATTTTTTTTATAACGGGGTGCAAATTTGGAGTCCCGGGCGGCACATACCAGCCCAAAAAATACCCAAGTGCCCCCCCGGGGTAAGAGTCAGGTAAGAAGTATTGACCCCTAAATAACGATCGCTTTTAAGTTTCCATGCAAACCCCTATAATATTTCTGTTACGAAACAACGATTCTTACACGTTTGGCGAAATGCACTTCTTTACGAGTCTTTCTGGCTTTTCGCTGCCTTGGCAAACCTAAAACTATCCCTAAAAAAAACTTTCGTACAACATCAAGAAATGGTAGTTCTTTCAATCCAAAAACAAAGAAACTCTCTAGAACGCTTTTTTAACTGGTTGCTTTTCCTAGCTTGATATCTTTATACGAAGCCCATCATCAACTTCAGTGCATTGACCTCAAAACGTAAAGCGATATTAGTGTTCCAAAAAATCCGGGGGGGTACTCCCTTATATAAGCTATAATGGTAGGTATGTGCCATCCCATCGGGTAGGGTTTTTGCACTGTTTTGTCCTGAAAACGGGTATACACTTTGCCCATTTTGGTCTGGAATCGGATATGGTTTTCGAGGGAACTACAGGAGTTTAAGAACGTATTTATCAAAATGAGTAGAAGAGTTTGCGCTCTAATCTAAGTAATGATAATATAGTTTCTGCCGAAAGGCCAGGTCTGAAAACAGGTATGGATTTTGGAGGTCTGGTCTGAAAACGGGTGTGGAAAATTACATTTTTTTTGTCTGAAATAGAGACAGGATTTGGAGAACCGGGCGGCACACCCCGACAAAGAATTCCGAGGAGTACTCTCTTCCGGGTAAAAACTGTGCTGTGCAGTTATTCGTTTGAATAAAATTCTTTTCTGAAAAACAAACAAACAAAACAAAACAAAACAGATACACACACAAGCGTCTTATAAGCAATTAATAAAAAAAAGCCTCTAAAAAATGGCCTGAAATTCCCTTTCCCTCCCTTCTCGCGCGCCCTTCGCGCTTCTCGCGCGTGTAAAATCCCTTTTCTCTTCCCTTTCGGACGCCTGCTACCACGTGCTCAGGCCATGGAAACAATGCCAGGCTTGATATAATTATCGAGACTAAAAGATTTGCACCGCTGATCCTTGCTTACAGGAACTGTCATTATGACAGGAAGCATGTTGAAGAGTGATTAGCTGTTGTCATAGTTGGCTACTCCACTTTCTATTGTCCTCTCTTCCTCTATTTAGGAGAATTACTTTTTGTTGACGTTTGGTTTGCCCTTTCCTTACCTACAATTAATCACAAGTTTACATAAAAATCCCGGGGGGGTACTTGGATAAATTTTTGCAGGGTATGTGCCACTGGCCTCTCACAGCCCCTACCCCATTATAGTATATTCTGTGGCCAATTATAGACCCCTTCTTAGTCACTTTCGGGCAAATATGTAATTTTCGCGATCCCAACTTAGTTACTTTCTATTTTTATGAATGGACCCATTTTTGGAGCTGAATGAAGAACACTCTACTTTTCACGTAAGGTACGAACATTCTGGTACGTTTGCTGACCGTAAATATGAACAACTGTCTTACCCCAAAAAATCCGAAAATGTGCTATCCCATTCTAGTAACTCTATTGAAAAGGCGACCCAATAACAGTCAATCCAGTCGTGAAGAAGCGACCCCATCCAGAGGGACATTCCCATTAGCCTCTTATAAGGAAGTACCCCCCCCCCGGGATAGAAATGCTGACCAAGCCTCTTTGTAGATAGGAGGTATCTGAGTAAACAATAAACAGATAGAGCCTTTAAAAATAGATCTGCAATAGTGTTATATGACCAACAATGGATTCATGGACGATCAGAAAGATATGATGTAGTTTATGTCCACAGTAGCAAGCCATTATCTTCCAGTTCCACGAGACAAGTACCACGATTGCTTAGGTCTCTATTAAAGAATCCAAAATGGAATTTGAACAGTTAATTAATGTCCTCTAGTTTCCCTGGACATCACATAGGATGCTTGACAACAAAGTAGTCAGTCACGGCGCTGTGCGATCTCTTCTTTGTTTCCACAGCAATAAGCTGAGAGTCTTGAAGATTTCCTTGTTTGGACTCATCGTCAACATTTTTGTGGCTGCGGTAGTAGCAGTAGTAGAGAATTCCTAACGCCACAAAAAACAGCACCGCAAGAATAGGGGCAAGATATAGCAAATAATTCCAGTTTTCCATGGCCCTGGCTCAGTACATATACACTCCAACCACAATTCAAATCGAATTAAGCATCGAAGATGGACAAAGATATAACCCACAGTGAACCAGCCTTGCGCTTTGACTAAACAGAATAAATTATCAGACGCATTGTAATTGAAGAAGTTGTCTGTATCTTTATCACGGGATTGAAGGGCTCTTGAGAAGGTCAAATATTAAAACGTTTCTTAAACCGGAAGTCCTTAGCTTAATTCGGGGTAGCTGTTTTCGTTCCTACCGAAGCTTGGAATGTGGAATACGGAACGCACAACCTCGGCGCAAAGACTGTGGAACGAAAATGTCCAATTGGTGATATAAGATATTGGATTTAGGGAATGTACGAGTTGAACAATGCGACTTGCGAGCAGGGAAAATTAAGAATATTACAGATAATGACCGTAGTTTTACTTACAATTTTACACTGAATTTCTTGGCACTTAAAAGCTAGTCCGGCTATGGGTGCCAAATTTATTAAGTCAAAGTTTCAATTGATATTACAAATGAAAATAAAAATCAGAGAGGAAAAGAAAAGAAAGAAAATGCTTACGTCAAAAAAAAAGAAAGACAGATTTGGGTGATGCACTCTCGGTGAGGAGGCTAAGGTTTAGGATTTCGCGATTTTATTTCTCGGTTTATCTTCTTGTCTTTTAATATTTCAAAGAGTATAATTATTAATTGCCGTTTACAATGTAAACGATTTTTTTGAAATATCCCTCATTCCGCGAATTAGTGCCAAAAATTGGAACGGTTTGTCCAGATTACATTTTTTAATACATAACATTTTGTCGTGAGCATGAATAGTTGATGTTTTCTAGAGCATTCACGATTTTTGGAGGTACAATATTGAATGATTACCGTAAATGACCTTCTTAACGCCACGCCCCCTGTGAGAATTACTCCAAAATACCAGGAATTAGCAAAAAGGAGCAAAATCATTCAACTCGTTCAGTTTCTTCCCTGATAAACAAGGCTTTGCGTATTTTATCTTGCTCGATGATGTCAAGTTCAAAGTAAGGATAGAGAAAAGATGGTATCACAACAACAACAACAATTTATTAAGGTATTTTCATTTACATACATGACATTACCTATTCTCTAAAAAAGTAAATAGTCACTTTGGAAATTACATGATAGTGTCTACAATTCATAATCTCAAAAATAAAAGCAGCAACTGATTTTCAAATCATAAAAATGGATCACAAGAAAACATAACATGACACTCATTTTCAACTTCATTAGCTTGACATAAGGGGCCGACCATTTAACTCTCGAGGGGGGGGGTGGGGGGAGGGTGCTTACTGGTCATCAAGAATTTTTTTCTAGCCGTTGAATCTGGTGGGCAGGATATTCTTCTTTTCCCTCCTCATTTCTCTGCAGGATTTTTTTTTCCTCAAAAAAGGGGCATGTGTTTACATATACAAAATGTATTTACATTTACATTGTGGTCATGGCAGTACTAGTTCTAATATGGAGCTGCAAAGCCTTAAATGTTGTAAGCTATACAAAATCATTATTGTATAGAGAGAGAGAGAGAGAGAGAGAGAGAGAGAGAGAGAGAGAGAGAGAGAGAGAGAGAGAGCCAGAAGAAAGGGAACTTTCGTGACGAAAATGGGGAACTTTGGTGACGGAAACAGGGAACTTTTCTGACTAAGGGAACTTTTGTGACGCCCATAGGGAACTTTAAGGACGTTCATAGGGAACTTTTGTGACGAGACTGGGGAACATTTGTGACATTAGGGAACTTTTGTGACGACATTGGGGAACTTTAGCGACTTGAATAGGGAATTTTCGTGACTTTAACTGGGGAACGTCGATGATGTTATCATTGTACTATGTATTTATATCTCGTACATCTTTCTTTTTAGCTCTGTTGCTTTTGTAAAGTACTTAAAACATATCAGGATAGGCGCAAGAGGAATATATATTATTATTATGTTCATTTCTGGAAGTTAATTTTCGGCAAAACATTACTTTCAGTACAATAGAAGCAACAGGTATTTTCCCTGTTGATTATCATCATTTCTCAGTTGTTGCTAAACACTGACGAGTCTCTTTTTTTAACAATCCAACATTTTATTTAACCAGGCGCTCATTATCAAACATCACTACATCAAATTTAAAAGGCTGTGCAGCCACTCAGTTCAACACAATAAGGCCTGTGCACTGTAA